ACAACGATGGACCGCGCCAAACGAGCTTCAAGCAGGCGGGGAAGCGCAAGTACCGACCGAGTGGCGACGACAACACTGCCAGAAGATCGCGCCCCGTTCGCCACCGAGCTGGCTTAGAAGAAGCAAGTGCGCCGGACGTATCCTCCTCGCGCCGAGCCGACCCCGACGAAGAAGAAAAGTCTGGGGACCAAGATGAAGACGACGACTCGACGCCTCCAGTGTTTTGGCGTGCCAGTGCCAACGCTGTGGAAGCAGCAGCCGATCTATCGGAGCCGACGACGTTCCAAGAGGCTGTGAACGGTCCTGATCAAGTGCACTGGCGCAAAGCGATCCGCGCGGAGCTCAAGTCGATGCGACTGCGTGGTGTGTTTCGAGCTGCCAAGTTGCCTAACGGACAACGCGCCATCGATACCAAGTGGGTGTTCAAGATCAAGCGCAAAGCGGACGGCTCGATCGAGAAGTACAAGGCGCGCATCGTGGCCAAGGGCTTCAAGCAGAAGTACGGCATTGACTACACCGAGACCTTCTCGCCCGTGGTCAAGTATGTGACGCTGCGCATGGTGATCGCGATTGCTAAGTATTTTGGCTGGCCCCTCGACCAACTCGACGTGGCGACAGCATTCCTGTACGGGATAATGAAGGAGGTGGTCTTCTGCGTGGTTCCGGAAGGCGTCGAACTGGATGGTGACTTCGACTGCCTGGAACTGGTGAAGGCCATCTACGGTCTCAAGCAAGCTTCGCGAGTGTGAAACGAGACCTTCGACGAGTTCGTGTGCTCCATCGGCTTCCAAGTGTCGGCCTTCGATCCGTGCCTCTACATCAAGGTGGTGGACGGTCACTGCGTGCTTGTACTGGTGTACGTGGATGACGTACTGATTACCGGGAGTTCGCCCGAGCTGATCGCACGCACGAAGACCGACCTGAAGACGCGCTTCGAGATGACCGACAGCGGCAAGTGCGCGTTTGTTCTTGGGATCGAGTTGGTGGACGGCCCGGACGGCAGCGTGACCATGTGCCAGCGGCGATACGTGGACGACATCCTGAAGCGCTTCCTCATGGACGAGTGCAAGGCCGTGGTAAGTCCAGTGGACATGAGCACTCGACTGGTTCCAAGCGACGCGGCGACCAAGGTGAACGCTCCGTTTCGCGAAGCTGTTGGTGCTCTGATGCACCTGATGACCGCCACGCGCCCAGACATCGCGTACGCCGTTGGCTATGTATCGCCCTTCATGGAGAACCCCCAAGAGGAACACTGGGTTGCGGTCAAGCGTATCTTTCGCTACCTGCAAGGCACCAAGACGCATGGGATCTGCTTCAAGCCGGGCGACAAGATCGACTTTCGTGGCTACTCGGACGCGGACTGGGTCGGCGACCTCGCCGACCGCAAGTCCACTTCAGGCTACACGTTCATGCTCATGAGTGCGCCTGTGAGCTGGGGAAGCAAGAAGCAATGAAGCGGAGTACATCGCGCTCAGTCTGGCTATCCAAGAAGGCAAGTGGATTCATCGCCTGCTATGCGAGATTCTGGCGGCCGCTAATGAGACTGGACCCGAACTCATGATCCGCGAAGACAACCAGTCGTGCATCAAGATGACGAAGAACCCAGTGAACCACGGTCGCGCCAAGCACATCGACATCAAGTACCACCACATCCGCGATGAAGTCAAGCGCGGCGAAGTCAAGCTCCAGTACTGCGAGACTTCTGTGATGCTAGCGGACATCATGACGAAGGCGCTTGCGGGACCACGCCACACGGATCTGACGGTAGCGTCCCCGGGCTAGTCCCGGCTGTATATTTTAATGCGTAGCGGCGGCGCTCGGCTAGTGAATACAAATTGGCGATGCTGGCTCAATTGTTATCGTGTGTGCTAGCGCTCAACGGAGGCACCGTACCGGTACTGTGCCGAAGAAATTGGTCGGCACGAGACCCAGTAAGTTACGCCTGAGGCGTCCCCGGGCTAGTCCCGGCTGTATATTTTAATGTACCTCGCACAGGAAATACAACAAGCTCTCAAGATTTGCGCGCTACTTCTGCAAGCATATTGATTTAGATGAGTGTACAGCGATACCTACTGCGACAAGTGGCACGTATCGGGAATACCTCCACCGTATTCTTGTGCTAAGCTTGTAGTAAGTCAGTACATACTCATTTATGTTCAGACCGCGTGAATCTTGTTGATTCGCAAACATCATAAGTACCACTGTGGCGAATATGCCGGGGATGCCTGTACCAGTAACCAGCAATTCCTGGACGAGTGCATCCCCACCATCATCATCGACATCATCATCGACATCATCTCCATAACTGACACATACATCACCATAACTAGGTCCATACAGTCTGCCCCGGGAAATCTGGAAAGGTCGGACCAATAGAAACTGCGAGGTTGCGAAACTTGCAAAGGGCTTGACAGAAGTATCAATGTACTGAATTACTCAATTAATGGGAAAGTAGCGCCTCATCAGTTTTCAAGCAGAGCGCGGTCGTTGAGGGGGGTCGGCGATATAATACTGTATCGCCGAATATCGACGCTATTCTTGTGTTCGTACTTGTACATGTAGTGAAGAGTTTGTCTTGGTCGCGGAGCATCGCGTCACGTAGACCGCTGCCTGGGACGGTCGTTTAGGGAGTTCTAATGTCCGTACTGCCCCATCGTTCAGGGCAAGGTACTGTCGCCCATAGCGTATGCCGTCATGATTGCATCGTGCTACAGCAATAACTTATCTAAAGTTCATTATGAGCCTTTCACTCCTGCTATAATACTTCCTCTGGTTGGAAATGATCACCGGAAACAGACATTTTAACCAATAACTCCACCACTACGTGCTGTATAAAGCTGCGGATTAGACAATAAGAAAGCCCTTGATCTCCGCTTTCCATAGCCACCGATTTCATCTCAAACGGGTTCCTGTAGCCCACGTCATTTTCATTTTACCGCTCCAAGTAGCAAGCCGATATCAAGAGGGCACCCGCCACAACTGCCGTACTTCGTTTAGAGTCGCGAAAACATGACGAAGGCCAACCTGGTGGACATGGAGCGCAGAGGCATCATCGACGAGCTCCTCAAGCTAAGTGACAATGGAGTTCTACCCCGCAGAGCCTTCGCCCGCGTCGGGGCCCATGTGAAGCGTGACCCGACCACCGTGAGCGCTATTTGGAAGCGCTACACGGCTGCGGTGGCGGCTGGTGTTCCTGGTGGTGAGTGGGCTAGCCAGATCAAGCAGAACAGCGGCAGGAAGCGTAAGAATCGAGATGAAGTGCGGACGAAGCTGCCGAGTGTTCCTGTGGAGGATAGGGCAGTTGAGAGGCGCGTTGCGGCTGCTCCAGGGCTCTCCCGGCACCTAGTACGACAAGCTGTGAAGGAAGGCATGGTACGGCGTCGTACGACGTTTATCAAGCCGGCGCTGACCCCCGAGAACAAGCTGGACCGTGTCGAACATGCGCTGTCGTTCATCGACGACAAGACGTTACACTTCGAGTCGATGCACAACGTGGTTCACGTCGATGAGAAGTGGTTCTACGCAGACCGCAACAGACGTTCCTACCTTGTATTTGACGGTGAAGAGATGCCTCCACGAGCCTGGAAGAGCAAGCGCTTCATACCCAAGACCATGTTCCTGGCAGCACTCGCACGCCCTCGGTAAGTCTCTATATGTTTATAATTTTATACTGTGGATAACCTTTGACACTGTGTATGAAATTTCTATGTAGGTACGATCCACACCGTAAGCAGAGATGGGATGGCAAGGTGGGGCTCTGGTCTTTCACGGAGAAGTATAAGGCACAGCGTAAGAGCAAGAATAGAGCCAAGGGGGAAATTTGCACACGCAATCTTGATACCGTCGATCGAAATGTCTACAAGGACTATCTGATCACCAAGGTGTTCCAAGCTATCAAGTCGAAGTGGCCAAGGAAGGACCGTCGCCAGTTCATCTTCGTGCAACAAGATAATGCGAAGCCGCACGTGTCGCCAACCGACCCGGACGTTGTCGCAGCGGGCACAGAAGGAGGGTGGAACATCAGGCTGTTATGCCAAGCAGCCAACTCACCCGAGCTCAATTGCCTTGACTTGGGAGTTTTTGCTTCAATGCAGAGCATTCAACACCGTCTACCAAGGAAGGGCATCGATGCGCTTATAGCGTCGGTTGAGGACGCATTTCGGGAGCTCAAACCCGACACTGTGGACAACATCTTTCTTACGCTACAGGCGTGCATGCGCGCAATCTTGGAGGAGGCTGGCGGCAATCTCTACAAGTTTCCACACTTGGGGAAGGCCAAACTCCGACGTGCGAATGAGCTCCCGGTAAGTCTATCGTGTAGTAGAGAGCTGTATGACGCCGCACTTGCGTTACTCCAATCTTCAAACCGTGGTAGTGCACTGTTCTTTAAATGAAAAGTACTTCGAAGTAGATACCTTTCTCCTTCTTTGAACTCAAAGTACACTATATAAATTAGTATTTGTCGTGTATAAGATTCGGCCGTCACAGAAAACTGCCGACCTATCATAATGACTTCCGGTGATCATTTCCAACCGGAGGAAGTAACTATTTAGCAACTTGCACTTGCATGCTGCTTCCCGCTAGAAGGCCTGGTCCCTCCATTTAACTCAGTACCCATCATCTAGCAAGCGCAAATCTCGTCTGCATAATTGTACTAGCTCTGCGAGGTACATTCGACATCGCTATTCCAGATTTGGCGGGGAGATCTGTACATACATGTAGTCGACTTGCTGGTGCAAGCAGCGCACTTTACAATCAAACACATTGATGCACACGTTCTAGTTTTGGTGGATTGTTATTATAGAATGCCGGTTAACGTGCTCTAATGTATGCAGCCCACAGTTACTCAAAACAGACAAGAAAAGCGGCTAATTCCTGCATCTAGTGTTCATTTTTGTTTGCTTTTCGTCGTTCTCGCATCTACGGACGGACGTAAGAGTACGGTGCCCTTCTGAGCGCTCCTCGTAAATCCAATCTGACTGCTTCTGGGTCGCTTGAGCTTACTGAGCCACGCGTCGCTTCTTGACGCGGTCAAAGTACTCCTTCACAGTGATGCCCTTGCGTGAGGCCTTCACCTTCTCCGAGACGACAGTCTTGTTCTTCTTCTCCTTCATGATCTCTGAAGGAGCGCGCAGAGTCATCCACGAACCGTCATCATCCTTGATACGGATTGTGGCATTGGCCATCTCCTGTACGTTCGTAGGGGCGGCACCGACAAACTCAACCTGACCCTCACGCTCCTTGCGCTTTGCCGCCAGACGCTCAGCGTCCTTTTGCTTTCGTTCCTGCTGCTTGGCTAAGAGACGATCAATATCGATCTCCAAGCCGTCGGTCGCCTTCTTCTCACCGACACCCTTCACCTTCTCGAGCAGGTCGTCGGGAAGCGCCTCCACGACGTGCAGTTTGTTCGAGGTCATGACTCGGCCGTCGTGCAGCTTGATCAGCTTGCCCTCTGCCAGGTTTTTCTCCAGCTTGTCTCTCGACATGTACATGGTCATCTGGTTGGCGCGCACGAACTGCAGACGCTCGGCACTCGTCATCTTCTGGTTCATTGCATCGTTGAGCTCCTGCGCGTGGAGGTCCTGCTGGATGTTGGCTTCGCGGTTACGACGATTGATCTCGTTAATGCGGAGCACGTCGTCCGAGTTGTGTTTCTTGCGCTCCTCGTTCTTAGCGAGCAGCTTCTGAAGCCGCTCCTCGAGCACAACAGCCTTCTCAAAGTTCTTCATATCTTGGGCTGCACGTAGATCGCGCTCCAGGCGCACACGCTGCACGCCTAACGATACAGTGGACAGGCCGACGGCTTGCTTGCGCCGCACCATTTCGTCCACCTCGGCTTCCGTGTAGTTGTGCTGTGTGATCATCTTTTCCTTCTTCGAGTACAGGCGCTTCACCTCATGATGCGTGGGGAAGTGCAGGCGCTCCTTGTTCATCACAGCTCGCCACAGCAAGAACTCACGCTCACGAAGTGAGTGGCCCGATACGCCGCTCAGCTTCCACTCGCGCTTGCTCTTGCCGAACGCGCAAATGATGCCTGTGTTCGTCGTCTCACCGCAGAAAGTGTAGCTTCGCGCCAGCTTGCACACGTTCACGACCTCGCAGAAGCGGTAGACCATCTCGCCGTCCACCATCTCAATCGGGACGCGGACGTACACGCCACGCACCAGCTGCGGGAAGAACGGCTCGAAGAAATGCTTCTCAAAGAACGTCCTCCTCTTCAGCAGGTAGTGGTTGGCTTGGTCCCAATTCACCGGCACGTTCTCCTCAGGGCGAATGGCCGCAGCCATCTCTTCGTCTTCAGTAGTCTTCGCCGCCGTCAAATCGGCAGCCGCCACCTTTGCCTTGGGCTTGCGTCCATCGCTATCCTCATCGCTGTAGTCGTCGTCGTCGTCTCCGTGGCTACGGCGTCTCCCCGTGCCTCCACGCTGCAACTCCCTGCGTCGACGTCTCTTCTCGGCCAAGTCTCGCCCACTCCTGCTGCCTCCCTCCTCCTCGGAGCTGTCGTCGTCTCCGAATCTGTTGCTCAGGATGGAGCGGCTCTTGTCGCTCGACTTGTTGGCTTTGAGGTTGTGCAGCGCCTCCTTGCGGCGGTCGCTGTCCCTGCTGCGTCCTCCGCGGCGCGTGGACGGCAGCTCCTCCTCCTCCTCCTCCTGGTCCTCCTCCTCCGAGAAGCCGTCCTCGGCCTTGCCCTGCGAGGCCGCGAGCCGCTTCTTCAGCTCGCGCTCCTTGTTGCGCTGCTCCTTGGCCTCGTACTTCTCCAGCAGGCGCTTCTCCTTCTCCACCTCCGTGAGCCCGGCCACGTCGGCGTCGTCATCCTCGTCCTCTTCCTCCTCCTCCTCCTTGATGCGGAGCTTGCCGCGGCGGCGCTTGCCGTCTCCGTCGCCTTCGTCGTCGGCCTCCGCGTCCGCCTCGGCCTTGACCTGCGCCTGCACCGCCTTCTTGCCGGCGCGGCCGCTCTTACTCTTGCTCTTGGGCGCCGCCGCCTTGGGCTTCTTGGGCGCGGGCGCGCGCCGCTTCTTGAGCTTCTTCTTGGGCGACGCGTCCGAGACCGAGCCCGAGCCGTCGGAGCCCGAGCCCGAGCCAGACCCCGAGCCGCTGCCGGAACCTGAGCCCGAGCCGGAATCAGATCCCGAGCCGGAGCCCGAGCCCGAGTCGCTGCCGCTGCCCGAGCCACTGCCCGAGTCGGAGCCGCTGCCGCTGCCCGAGTCCGATCCCGACCCGGAGCCCGAGCCCGAACGCGAGCTCACGGACCCGGAGGCGCTCGAGTTGCCGCCGTCCGACTCGTCGCTGCTCTCCACCACCTTCTTGGCCATCGTCGCTCAGCTCCCGCTCGCTCGCTGCGTCAGGTTAACGACTGACTGCTATGGAGGGGCTAACCTCTTGCTCTCAGTATACTATACTTTGATCCTGTATCGTCAGGAGCGATGGTCATCGAACTTAATATTAAGTTCGACGCACTTAAAGACGCGCGACGGCTCACTTCCGCAATCACTATGAGCAAGCTGCGCTTCTCCGTGGCGGCGTGTACGAGCGAAGACGCGGCCTTTCCGGCGTCGGGGCTGGACGAGCACGCAGCCAACAGCCAGGGCTACATGACTGCCAAGTAACGTGCTCGATCTCTGCCTCTTTCGTGCTGATTTAAGCCATACTAAGCCATTACAACGTGCGTCTTTTGATCGCTCTACCCGTTAGGAACTACGCGTACCCGCAGGAGCTGGTGCTGCAGCTGGCCGACGGCCTCTGCAGAGTGACCCAAGTGCAGCTGCTGTCCCACCAGACGCACATCGCCACCAAGATGGAGCTGTTCGTGTCCAAGAGCCTCGACTTCCAGGGAGACGCCACCAGGTTCACCCGGCTCGGCTTCCTCACGCTCAAGGCCAACACGGAGAGCAGGTACATGGCCCGCGAGCTCAAGACGGTGCACATCGACCAGGAGGCGGCGCTGCTCAAGCTGCGCATCCACGCGTGCCACGTGAACGAGCACAACCTGTACAACCAGGTGGGCATCATGGCGATCAACTTGTGCGGGGAGCCACTGGGCCTGCTGCCGAGCCTCTCAACGGACGAGGTGGTGGGCGTCAAGCCGAGGAACAAGCCCAGAGCCAACGGCTCGGAGGATCTGAGCTTCGACATGAGGTTCGACGCCAAGACTGCGGCCAGGATCCGCGAGATCCAGGTCGCCAAGGACCAGGCCGTGGCCAACGAGGACTACGACCAGGCCAAGCGACTCAAGCAGATGGAGGAGCAGTTGAAGAGCATCGGCCTGCAACTCGCCAGGCTCGAGGCCCAGAAGAGAGAAGCTGTGGCAAACGAGGACTACGACCTGGCCAAGAAGATTAAACACGAGATCGGCATGCTCGAGGCCTCGGTGGGGAGTAATGAGACGCAGCCGATACTGCCGATCCCGGCCGTGGCGCCGTCGCCATCGAGGAGTCAAGTGCTGCCGAGGATTGGAGCTGTTCAGCGCTCGGCGTCCAACTTTTCACCGAGGGATATGTATCCTGAGGAACAGCCGCAAGTTGCCAAGAGCGGCAGCTTCTATGGCGATGGCAATGGCAATGGCTCGTTGAGACATTCTGCACAGGGCGGGTTTCCTGGTGGCAATGAGCAGGACCCGACGAGTGGCGCCGACTACGCTGATAAGGGAGAAGCTGCGGATGGTGGCCCGAACCCGCACTTTAGGGGGATTCCGGACGCTGAAAACTTACCTGACCCGGATGAGATCCCACCAGCGCTTGCGAAGGAGAGCGAAGAGCTTATTGCAGTCATTGGTCCCTTTTTCACTCGCTGTGTCTACAGCAATTTGTGGAATCACCGCGATGCTGCAATCCGCAAGGTTACAATGGAAATGGACAACTACCCCGTTGAGCCGATGCGGCTATTGGAAATGTGCTCCACACTTGCTCAAAGCGGCGCAGGAGACCGTATTGCTCAAGTTGCGCTTTCAGCTTTCGGTCTCTTAGACCGTATGGTGTCTTTTGGAGCTCGAGTGCGCCGTGATGACATGTGCCGCATTGTACGTCGTTTATGTAGCTTGTTCGGGTTGGGAGAGTGGTTTTTTTCTAACTCGTCTTCTTGGATATGCTCTTCTGTAGCTCGGTAACATTATGACACAGTTGGTTAATAAGCTGGGCGAGTCGCAGGCTAAAGTTCGCGATGAGGCTGCAGCGGTACTTAGTCGGCTGGCGGCTGCAAATAACGTTGGAGTGGCTTTCGTGACTTCACACCTGACGAAGCGATCCAAGAAGCCGCTAGGACTTAAACTCCTGCAAGGCCGGCTACTCGTGCTGAAGAAGCTACTTGCAGACTTTGATCTCCAGCCCGACAGTGATTTTTCCGTACCTGGTATCATGGGATTCCTTGAGTACTGCAACTGCTTGGCTCATCAAAGCCGTGAGATTCGCGATGCCGCCAAGGATATCACCGTGTCGCTGTACCTTGTCGTGGGTGCCGACGTGGAAGGCTACCTAAAATCGCTTCGACCAAAGCAGCTAGAGGAGTACCAAACAGCTTTTGAGGCTGCAGAGACAGCAAAGGCTTCAAACCGACGCGGTGGAGGAAACGCGAACGGGGGCGGCAATGCTGCCCGACGAGACGAGAAGCCACACGAAGTTCAAGCCCCGTTCGAGGACGACGTTGATGCCGCCGCCGATAGCGAAGACGAGGAATCTGTGGATGAGTATACGTGTCCCTTCTGCGGCGTAGTAGACGAGAAGTTCGACTCGGACTATTTGGATCAGCACTTCTGGGCGTCCTGTAAGATGCTCACGCCGTGCAAGATGTGCGGCCAGGTGATTGAGATCTCGACTCTGAACGAGCACCTGCTTACTGAGTGCGAGATGCAGCAGAATCACCGCGAGTGTCCACGGTGCGGTGAAGCCATCACGGCAAAGTTCTTCGAGCGGCATGTGTCCCTCAACGACTGCCCTCCGCGTGCACCACTGAACCGTGCAAACCGCTGCCCACTCTGCCACGACGATATCGCTCCAGGCAAGAAAGGTTGGCGACGACACTTGCTTGAAGAAGGTTGTTCAAGCAACCCGCGAAGCTAGAGCGGGTAGAAGGCAGCAGAATTATGAACAAGAATACGAGAAGTGATGAAGAGCACGTGATATTGGGTTCGGATGCTACATGCTGTGCTCTGTTCTCTGGTCGGCAGTGGCTGCTACTTCATGAACGCATCGGTCAGGTATGGTTTGGTATAGTATTGTGCTTGACCGTTGTTGCAACTCGTGAATGAGGGAGCTAGCATTGGCATGTCAGTGGTTACTTGGCCTCGAACTCGAACGGGACGTCGTGTTCGCGCTGCACCATCTCAATGTCCACGTCTTGCACGTGGAGTCGATGGAATTGCACGCGTGTGGTGCCGGTCATTGCAACAGCATCGATCTCGCCATCACGTTGGACTTTCACGGAGTTCACACCAACGAATCGCCACTGACAGAGCTGCTCGATAACACCAGCTCCGAGGTCTCGTTCCTCAATCCTTTCCGGCTTCAGGACCACATTCTGCAGTCCGTCGACAAGCAGACGCCATTGACTGAGCAACGAAGCTTGTGGAGTTAGTGGCTCGCTTCGGGATGCAGCGGCAACGTCGATGTCGCGTGAACGGCGAAGTCGCTTGGACTTTCTCGTCGACGAGTGGGCTTCTCCCTCGCTCTCTTGGGCCATCTCCGCGGTTGCAGGAGCGTTTGAGCTTGCCACATCGCTGCTGTCGTCAAGCCATCCGCTGTATTCGGAGTCCACGAGGGCGTAGTGCAGGCTTTTCGTAGCAAGCTCACGGAAGAGCGTATCTCGGGCGTCCTCTTGGCTCTTACTGCGGGTTTCCACTCCAAGCTTGTCTGCGAGTTGCGTAAGGTACTCGTTACGCGCCTGACGCTCGCGAGCGAGCACGTCTTGGGCGTGTTGCTGGAGTTTCCGCTTGAGTCGCGTCTTGCGGCAGGACTCTCGGTTCTGGAGGCGGCGCTTGGTCACGGAAGAGACTGGCGCCGGAGCTGCGTCGCACTTGGCGGGATACTCTGTGCTTGTGTCGCACGACTTGGCCGCGTCGAGGAGCGCTGTGAACGTAGTGAACGGCGTTGGAGGACGGCTCGACTTCGTGGGTTTCTTGTTCGGAGGCAGAACGATGTGCGGGCGCTTACGGGAGAGCTGGTATACCTTGGCCATGGTGCGTAGTTGCAACGAGGTCGTCGTCGTGACTGGATCACTGGGCGTTGGATCGATCGGAGACCTGCGCCTTCGAAGCTTCGTTGCGTTTGGAGCAAAATTGCAAGTGTCTTCCGATCTCTTGGGTCACGACGCACTTTCTCGAGCTGGATCTTTACTTTCAAGCGTCTGGGACATTGTTGCGACCCGTGTCCGAGCCGCACAGTACAACTTGCTCCTGTGCCGTGGCGACACCCCGTCCTGGGTTGCGATGGATTGAGACTGGTCAAGTGTGGCCAACCAAGGGTGTGACTGCCAGACAAAGAGCTCTGAACGCCAAGTCAACTCCCCCGTGGCGACGGTCCGGAACCCTCTTGAGGCTTGAGGAAGAGTGGACTCACGACTCTCGATGTAGCCATGTCGGGTTAATGAACTTGCTCATCAAGCCTACGCGTCTCGACGTGGCACTTGGATGACCTAGGGGCAGACTACTAGACCTGCCAGTACTGGACGCACGGAGCGCTCTGAAGATGGACACCAGCACTACCCGAACAGCTCCGGACGTATTTGGGCTGCAGTTTCCGACATTTGCGCGCTGGGTCTCCAGTTCATTGCTATACTAGTGGTCATGATGAAGACCTTGTTATTCCCAGTGAGAAGTTCGAGCGCGCAGTTCCTCCATCTCCCTGCGAGATTTGGCGTCGCTCATACCTGGGCACTTTGCAAAAAGCCGCTTACCAGAAACACTACACACTCTCGATGAAGTTCGACGCGGATGATGTGGAGGCTGATACAAATTACGGTCGCTTTGCGGAACCAAACAGCGGATTTAGCGCGACGCAACGGCGACGCAACTCGCGCCAACCTCGACCAGCCAAGATCGGCGACCTGCACGTCTGGACACTGAAGGAGCGTGTGCAAGCCTTTCTCGATGGGTAAGAAGATATGGCTCCGTCCGTGTTTGGCCCGCCTCAAGGTGTGAGCATTGCTGACTGGCTCTGATACTGTAGACGCATTGGTATTGCAATTGAGACCGTCAATGTGCTGCTGAGCTTGGCTCTCGTCGTGTTATCCATCGCAGACGTAAGAGAATCTGCATGTAGAACTGCCAACGCGCTGGGTGATGAGTGCGTGTGCTTGAATAACCTGTTCTGTGTTTTTCATACTTTATTTCCCGATAGAGTTACACCGATGTCGATGACTCTGAGGAAGACTACAGACGCTACACCATTTTCGAGGTCGTGTGCACGAGTTTCTTTGCGATTGACTACGTACGTAGCGCTTTACGTCAGCTGCGAGGCCACTGGCGTTCTTCTGTTGAACTATGATGTAGTCTTTGCGTTGGTATGCAGCTCCAGATCGTCTCCGCTACATGGTGACACCAATGAGCATCATCGACTTCATCACGATCGTGCCTACCCTCTTGACGGAAAGTAACCAGTACTCTAGAGGTTGCAGGGTGGGTTTATATGGCTTATTTTCCATATGTTCCCTTCTATTGTATGTACCAGTTCGCTTTGACAACGCTCCACCTAAACAGCGCACTGCCGCTTCTGCGTATTGCGCGCATCTTTCGAATGCTGGCGGTGTTGAGGCTCTATCGAGTTGTGCAGTCGTACAGAGGATTCGACTACCAGTTGGCCGTGTTAGTGTTCCTTATCCTGGTATTGATTTTCGTAGCAGCGGGCGTTTTCCAGATTCTGGAGGAGAGTTACTACACAGACCAGGGTTTTGACCCCATCCAGTTCCACCAAGCCATGTCCTTTGTCTTCGTAACGCTTTCCACGGTCGGCTACGGCGATATATCGCCCCACACGACGGGAGGTACACTCTCCCCCTTCGGTGGTATCTTTCTTTTCAGCCAAGCTTATTAACGCCACGTTCCGCTTTGTAGGTCAAGTTTTCGTCATCTTCATCATTGTCGTGGTCGTGACGGTGATCCCGAAGCAAGTGACACGACTCATGGATCTCTCGGCACTACAGCACGACTACATGCACAGCTATTCAGTACGTCGACGGAGTATTCACAACGGCGGACATGTCGTCGTTACTGGTCACGTGGGTCTGTAGAACGCTTCCGCTTTTCTGAACGAGTTCTACCGCCCCCGCCAAGGTCGTGTCCACATGGACGTTGTCTTTCTGGTTGACCACGTGCCGTCGGCAGGCTTGCAAGCGTTGCTGCTCAACGTTCGTTACAGGCGTCGAACCACGTACTTGAAGGGGAACCTGCTGCACGATCGAGATGCGAGACGCGCTCGTATTACAGAGGCGGCAGCAGTGTTCATACTGGCAGGCAAAAGTGACCCACGCCAAGTGGAGGCCACAGACGCGCTGCCCATTCTGCAAGCATTGGTCATCGACAAATGTCATTTTCGCGCCAGTATGGAGTACCAGCTACGGTTTGACAAACGCAAAAGTTGCAGTGATGACGAGGATGAGAGCAAAGCCGGTGGTGTTCCGATGGTGCGGAGGACGGCTCATTCAAACGGTTCGCGGCCGATACGCTGCTTTACAGAGAGATTTTCGCTGAAACACACGCGTGGACTTCGCACCATCACCAGGGTAGAAGTAGCGCTCAATACTTCGCAGTTACGGACAGCTATCGTGGCTCGCAACGTCGTCTGTCCAGGGGCGACTGCTTTGCTGCTCAATCTCATTTGTTCCCCCACAGAGCGCCATGTCACTCAGGGGCGTAGATCGCAAACGCCATGGGTAGCGGAGTATGCCGGTGGGCTGCAAAACCTGCTTTTCCCTGTCGTGTTGCCCCCGTACTTCGATGGATTGCTCTTCGAGCATGCAGCCGAGAAGCTGTATCACTTGTACGTATCATTGATTCACGCTGGCGTGTGTGCACTTACTTTTTTATGTTTTTTGTTTGTTTTTGATGGCTTTTATGAATATGATTGCAGTTTCCACGTCATGATGGTTGCATTGTATGATCGATCAGCGATGCTTCGCGGCGACAGAAGTATCAGTTTGTGCCCGTTTGGTGAACGGCTCGAGGAAAAGTACGTTGTATTTGTCGATATTTGTCTTTATCTTCGGGACGATGGGAAAACAAACTCAACCGCTTTTGTTTTGCAGTGACCTTGTATTTTTGATTGCCCCAAGCTCGTCGGTGGCTAAGCACGCTGTTGATTCGCTTGAAGACCGAGACCAAAACTCCATGAGTGACCGCCCCGCGCACTGCTTCGATCCCACGTCGACGCGTATTCCTCCTGCTCGTGCCACAACGGTGACTCGGGCTGACGAGAAGAAACGCACTCCCATGCTTGTGTTTTCATCGGAAACAGTTCTCGATCGACAGTCGTTTCAGCTGGACCGACGGCCTTCGCTCGAGCTGGAGGTGACGGATGACCCTTTTCCAGCAATTGGGCTGCCGCTGAGAGGTGACTATGACAACGATAGAGGTGGTCGGTACCATCCTCAAAGTTCTGCTGGAAAAGTGCTGGATGCTGCCACGTTAGAGCCCCTGACTGCGTCGACTGCTACGACGTCTGCTTCGCCAGCTCTAGGGTCTTCCCGGTTACGCAGCATGAGTCCGCCATTCCACGTTGATGCGGTGCGACGTCTTCACGGACATATTCTCATTTGTGGACCATTCGACCAGGGCCACCAGCTCGCATGCTATCTTGATGATCTCTACGCCAGTGAAGGCCTTCCATCACGACCGGACATTATGTTGTTAGTCAACTCGTTGCCAAGCGATCGGGAGATCGCTGCGATGCCTCGTGCGTTGCCTTCAGATGTCTTCGTTGAGCATGGTGCGTCTCAGAACGTGGAAGAACTTCTGCGCGTACGAGCATTTGACGCCTCCACGGTGCTGATTGTACCAAGTGACCGCAGCTTTACGGACAATTCTGAGGATATTGACGAGCACCTTCAAGACTACCAGGCTGTCATGTCCACGCTATCACTGCGTACGATGCAGGAGCTTCATCACGAGCATCTTCGGCAAAAGCAAGCTGCAATGGATCCCGACGCAATCAACAGTGATAGCCCAAATGTGAGGCTCCTTGAGAGTAAGTTGTTCAGCTCCCGGTGCTCCGTGGTCAAGTCCATGAAAGCGCACATTATTTCGCGTACACTTATGGTGGGCTGCACGGACCGCATGGCCTTCACGGTTCACGAAGTGACGGTGACGATGCAGGTCCCTTAATCAGGGGAATTGCTGAAGAAGAGCTACACGACGAGCATCATGACGAGCAACTCCACCTCCACCACGGAGATTATGATCGCCTTTTAGGCTGGAAGTTTACGGGGGAGTCACGTCGTCGCCGAGCATGTTCAGAGGCAGATTGGCTGCTGCCTCCATCGTTCACCCCCGGGTATGCAGCTGGCGAAGTGTTCGTGGATTGTGTGCTGGACACGCTACTGTGTCAGTCGTTTTTCAATCCTTACGCTGTGGATCTGATCCGAGCTCTCGCGGGGGACTACTACTCGGTGGCAACCCAGCACAGCTAGGCGGTCGGGGAGCTTTACGCCCTTCTCTGATGCACTACTTTTCCACGGTGACTACTAGCGAGTCGAAGGACGTGAAGTCGCCCCCAACGAAGAAGTCGCTGCAAGAGCGGAATACTGTTGGAGGCTGCTGCCAGCACCCAGTCTTACGTGCAGCCACCATTGCATGCGAACTTGAGGGCGAGTCGTTTAGCGAGATATTTTCTCGGGCTTTGAGTCAGCAGATATTGGTGCTGGGAGTGTATCGACGAGCTCAGGCTGGCGGCCGCGGGAACGCGCGTCCGTACGTCGTCACGTGTCCAGAGTCGCCCTCGGGATGCCGAGTTGAACACGGGGATCAGTTGCATGTCCTCACCAAGCGGCCGGCTCCCGTTTGTATACAATGAAAGCCAACCAGTTTACGATGAGTGGGCCAAGTACAGCCCTTTGACCTGTGGATCTTGAGGTCTTACCCGAGAAAGCTAGGGATTCCGCGGACTCAACAGCAGCGAGCTACGCTGTTGATCATACCCGTTTTGACTCTCGTTGGACTCGCCACTTCAACATCTACCGCGCTGCATTGGTCCAAATTATATCGGTTTTCGACCAATCCCCGCCGGTCTCTTTCGCGTGCCGCAGGCCGGACAACTGCAGGGATGCAGCGCCGATCTCACCCCGACGAGCGCGCCGTGCTGCCCACCGTCGCCCGCAGCGGCCGCGCCTCGCCCTTCAGCAGCCCGCACGCCATGCCGCGCCGCATCTCGCGCCCGCTGCTGCTCCTGCTGGTGCTGGGCGTCCTCGGGCTGCTCGTGGTCACCGCCAATTTCATGTTCACGTGGCGCGCCACGTCAGTCGCCCGCGCGCGGGCCGAGGAGCACCTGGCCAGTCTGCGCGAGAACGCGGGGGCGACCAACACTCTGGGCAACGCCCACGGCAACGCCCTCAATGCAGCGGACGGCCAGGCGCCGCCCGCGCGCCAGCCGCAGGACGAGTTCTCGGCCGACGACGTCCAGCGCATGGAGAAGCAGCTCGTGTACACGATCCACCAGGTGGCGCAGCGCACCAGCGAGCCGCGCGGCATCGTGCTGCCCTTGTTCGACGGCATTGCCGCTCTGGGGCTGTCGATTATCATGGAGCTGCGCGCCTTTGGCGTGGACCTGCCAATTGAAGTGCCGCACTGCGGAGACCTGAAGGAGTCGCTGCAGCGCACTGTGCTGAGCAAGGAGGACATGGGCGTCATCCGCTTCTACGACGTGTGCGAGCTGGCCTCCAAGACCGCCAGCACGCTGGACGCGTCGCGCAAGGTGTTCTGCCAGAGCCTGCGCAACTGCCACCGGTCCTACCGCTCCTTCGACGTCAAGCTGCTGGCCGTGACCTTCTCGCATTTCGAGGAGCTCATGCTGCTGGACGCCGACACGCTCTTCTTCGAGAGCCCCATGTCGCTCTGGGACACGGACAAGTACAGGAACACAGGCACGCTCTTCTTCCACGACCGTCTGAGCCAGGACAACATGTTCCTCGGCAACCGCATCCGCGGCAACGCGGACGTGAGCGAGCTGAACCAGTACATCTCGCGCTTCGACGTATCGCCGTTCGCACCTCTGGGCAACATTGAACGACCAAAGGCTACGAGCGAGAACAAGATCCCCGTGGAGCTCAACAACTACTCGCCGAGCGAGCACCTGCTGACGAGCCACTCGTGGAATCACCGCGCAGGCCACGAGATGGACTCGTCGCTCGTACTGTGGAGCAAGAAGCGCCAGCCGCGCGCCACCGCCATTCTGGCGGCGTTCGCGGCGCTCAATGGTATTGGCCGCCCGCCTTCCTATGGCGACAAGGAGCTCTTCTTCATCGCTGTGGAGCTTGCTGAGACACAGTACTCCTTCTCCGACTTTGGCGTTGGCGGCGTGGGCTGGGACTTCCGGGACCACGGCCCGGGCAAGTCGGTCGTGTGCGGCCACGCGTCGCACTACTACCCGGTGAAGCCGGCGGACCTCAGCACCGCCGCAAACACCAGCGTGTTGTACCTGAACAGCGACGCCATCCTCGAGTACGACCCCAAGAAGAAGCCCGTATACTACAGCCAGGCGCGGCTATACGAGGTGTACGCGGGCTCGTTCGTGGAGCGCGACCTGCCTCAGGAATGTCCGTTCGACGTTACGGGCGTGCGCTTCTCTTCTGACCAGGAGGACCGCATGCTCTTGCGCCAGCGCTTCCATGAGATCGCCACGGCGTGGATGGAGGAGTAGAGGCGCCGAGTCTTACAGGTAGATGTCCGTCGGAGGGTAACGAATGCATATATGGGAATCCATCATTTAGAGAGTACGCGAGGGCTCGAAAGCGGGGAGGATGTTGAATACGCTACAACATGCGTTCCAGGCATCAACATCAACCTAGGGCGGCTGCAGTTGATGAGTATTCTGCACATGCACCAACAACGGTGGCGGGCTAAGGAGCAAGAAGCTGTATGTATCACGTGGTCCCACACTCAGAGAGACGTGGTGGACAGCGTGTCCACGCGTTACCATGCGAGCCGCTGACCAGACCAGGAAACTGGCCGTGCTGAGCAACTCTCTTCTGGACTCGGTCTCCGATTTAACTCAGCTCAACTGACTTGAGTCGAGTGAGAATGACTTGAGATTGTTCACGTCTTGACCTCGATCTTTCGCATCGTCGATACGCCCTGAGAAGCGGAGGAGACGACCACCCGACTGCGCCAGGTGTGATCCCCGGCAAGAGCTGCTTGGGCGCCAGCCGGAGTGCACTATCCGGAATGACACCTGAACACGGTGTGATACGGCGCGCAAAACCGAGTCCAAAGGCCGGTTTACCCATGGCTACAATCACCTCCCTCTCTCAATCCATACCCATACGTCCACCTAAATCAACATTAGCACTGTTTGTCCCAGCCTCCATCCTTCCGATACCCTGACGCATCCGCATCCGTGTCACTCCTCCTAATCCGTCAAGGCCTCGCCCTCAAATGCCCAGATAGGCGTGGATTTCCGCCTGCACGTGTTCCGCCAGGACGTACCCCCACCATTTCCAAACTTCACCACCAGAGCCGAAGAGAGACCATCACTCTGCCTCGCCCGCAATGGCCATGGCTCGCTCGCACGGCTCGGTGCGGATGCGCTGGATCGTGGCACTGCTGGCCGCGGGCGTGATCTTCGTGCTGTCCGACGTGCTCTTCACGTGGCAGCAGCTCACCGCGTCCTGGTCCGCGCGCTCCTCGCCCTCCATACGCGCAGTGCAGGAAGCCGTGGCCCGGGCCGGCGGCTCGCTGCCGCAGTTCGTGGACCGCCTGAGCGCCAGCGCGGCCGCCGACCTGCTGCGCCAGATCGACCCGCAGTCCGTGCCGGCCGTCAGCACCAAGGAGGAGGCCACGCGCGCGCCGCCCGCAGACGACGACGACACGCTGCGCCTCGAGACGGAGCAGCTCGAGGCCGACGAGGTGCAGGCCGAGCAGCTCGAGGCGCAGCTGCTCCAGTCGCTACTCAACGTGACGCAGCGCACGAGCGCGCCGCGCGGCGTCGTGCTGCCGATGTACGACGACCTGGCGCCGCTGGGGCTGTCGCTGCTGCTGGACCTGCGTGCGCTGGGCGTGACGCTGCCCGTGGAAGTCCCGCACTGCGGCGATCTGAATGAGAAGCTGGTGGCCACCATCGAGAAGAAGCAGCAGCAGCTTGGGGACGTGTTCGTGTACGACGCGTGCGCGCTGGCGGCCAAGGAGCGGAGTGTGCTGGATGCGAGCAGGCCCGTGTTCTGTAAGGACCTGGAGGAGTGTCATACCAAGTTCCGCACACTGGATATCAAGGTGCTGGCGGTGATCTACTCGCGGTTTGAGGAGCTCATGCTCATGGACGCGGATGCGCTGCTGCTGCAGAGCCCCATGTCGCTGTGGGAGACGGACAAGTTCCAGAAGACTGGAACGCTGCTCTTCAACGACAGGATCAGCCAGTCGAACTCCTCACTGGGCTTCCGTCCGGCGGCAAGATTGGGCGTCACGGAGCTGCAGAACTACTTGTCGAACGCTGATGTGAGCGTATTCCGCCAACTGCCGACGATTCCGAGGGAGAAGGCGAAGGTGTCGACGGATGTGGGATTGCCCTTCGAACCGAGCGATACTCTGCTTAACAGTCACGCGTGGAATCGCCGCAGTGGACACCAGGTGGACTCATCGTTACTTCTTTGGAGTAAGAAGCGGCAACAGCGTGCTACAGCAATTTTGGCGTCTTTTGTTGCGCTCAATGATGTCGCTCGTCCTCCGTCCACCGGCGAGAAGGAGCTGTTTTTCGTGGCGTGTGAACTAGCAGAGACGCAGTATGCTTTCTCGGATTTCGGTGTTGGAGCTGCTGGGAGCGACTTTAAGGACCATGGCGAGGGCAAGTCGATTATCTGTGGACAGCCTGCGCAATTTTATCCGGTGAAACCAACGGGTGACGGCAGTGCGAGTTTACTTTATCTGAATTCGGATGCCATCATGGAGTACAAGCCCAAGACCCAGCCAATGTTCTACTCAAAAGAACGCTCTGCTGACTTCTATCCGGGCTCGTTTAGCGACTGGGAATTGCCTCAAGACTGCCCCTTCGACGTGACGGGAGTGCCGTTCTCAGAGCAACAGATTCAGCGCGTGTTGCTACGCCAACGTTTTCATGACACCACGGTTGAGTGGGAGCGCAACGCCTTGATGAGTGAGAACGAGAGTGAACAAACTCAAGCTGACGACGTCTCCAACACGAAACTTCAGGGGCTCTTAAAGCAACTATCGGATGGAACGCCCTTTGAAGAGGCTACTGCGGCACCTGCAACGGCTTCGCCTGCGGCTGCTGCTCCTGTCACCCAAGCTGTTGCTACCACTTCTGCGCCGGTGGTGACAGAGCAACCAAAAAAGTGGTCTGAATTTATGAATGATGCACGGGAACGCGCCGAGATGGAAAAGCTGATGGAGACCAGGCTGATTCACTCATTGTACACGTTGAGCCAGCAGACCAGCGTTCAGCGCGGAATCATCATTCCCCTGTATGACAAGATCACAACTCTCGGTGTTTCGCTGATTTTGCAATTGCGTTCCCTCGGTGTGGATCTACCGATCGAAGTCCCTCACTGCGGCGATTTCGACGAGAAGTATGGAGAATCGATGATGCAAAAGACGGAGCAACTGGGCGAGGTGTACGTGTACAACGCATGCAAGCTTGCTGCCACTGCCAAGAGTCTTTTGAACCCTGAAAAACCGCTGTTCTGCAAGGACTTGGATACCTGCCACCGTCGCTACCGGAACTTCCTCATCAAAGTGTTAGGTGTCATGTATTCTCGCTTCGAGGAGATCATGATTATGGATGCAGATGCGCTGTTGTTCCAGTCCCCGATGCCGCTATGGGAAACGAAGAAGTACCAGACGACGGGTACACTTTTCTTCAATGATCGCATTGCTGAAGCCAACTTTTCCATGGGCCTCGGCTACCGACCTGCAAAGCGCCCGAACATCATGGCTATCGAAGATTACCTATCGAAAGCGAATGTGGACCTCTACCGCCACATCCCAACACTAAGTCGGCCGAACGCGTCAGCTGAACTCATTGCGGCCGACAAGTCGACTGTGACGCTACACTTTCAGCCAAGTGAGGGTTTGTTGAAAAGCCACCCTTGGAATGGCCGCAGTGCGCACCGAGTGGATTCGTCGATCCTGTTGTGGAACAAAAAGCGACAGCCACGAGCAACTTCGATCTTGGCCTCATTTATATCGCTGAACGATTTGCCGCGGCCGCCTTCTTACGGTGACAAGGAGCTGTTCTTCGTAGCATGTGAGCTCGCGGAGACGGAATATGCTTTTTCTGACTTCGCCACCGGTTCAGCAGGTTCGGACTTTCGCAATAAGGGTGAAAACAAGTCCATCATCTGCGGCAGTGCGGCACACCACTTTCCAGAAAAATCCGATGACACTCCGATCCAGGACGTGAGCTTGTTGTACATGAACACAGATTACATCATGCGCTACAAGCCCAAGAAGTCTCCGATGTATTTCTCGGCAGCACGACCTCGTGATTTCTTCCCTGGCACATTTGAGGAACGAAAGTTGTTGATGTTGTGCCCGTTCGACATCACCGGTGTGAAGTTCTCGGAAGCTGAGGTGAAGCAGATTTATCAGCGTCAACAGTTTTTCCACATATCGACGGATTGGGAAACCAATGCAAAGGAAACGGATGCTGTCAAGCGCGAAGCAGCAGATATTCTAACGAACGAGAAGCTCCAGGCAATTTTGAGGGACGGGCCACCGCTGGAGGATCTTACGGAGCCACCCAAGGACCCCTTCAAGGAGGAGGAGGCGAAAAAGGCTGCCGAGCTGAAAAAGAAGGCGGACGATCTCCAGGCACAGGAGAAGCAACTTGTTCACACACTGAACCATATTGCTCAGCAAACCACGGTGAAGCGCGGTATTGTGATTCCAGTTTACGATGGTATCATCAAGTTAGCCATTTCGCTGGTTTTGGAGTTGCGAACAATCGGTATCAATGAGCCTATTGAGATGCCTCACTGCGGTGACTTGAACCCGGATGTTCAGAAAATGTACCTGACAAAGAAGCAACTTGGTACGATCTGGTTCTACAATGTCTGTGAAAGGGCAGCACGAACCACGAGCCTGCTGGATCCGTCTCGGAAGGTCTTCTGTGAGAAGATTGAGGATTGTCACGCGAAGTTCCGCGGTTTCATTATCAAGCCGCTCTCGGTGACGTTTTCAAGGTTCGAGGAAATCATGATGATCGACGCTGACACAACGTTCTTCGTGAGTCCCGCAAAGCTCTGGGACTCTGAAAAGTACAAGAAGACTGGTAACTTCTTGATGCACGACCGTATCAGTCACGAGCAGTGGTTTATGGCGGAACGGGTTCCTGGAAATCCGAACCTTTCGGTGGAGCAGAACTATTTCTCCAAGTTTGATGTGGCGCCATTCCGATCAATACCCACTCTTGAACGCCCGAAGGCAACTATCGCAAACCCGACGTCGGTGACGCTAAATTTCAAGCCAAGCGACTTTTTGCTGAGGAGCCACTCCTTCAACATTCGGGCGGGCCATCAGGTGGACTCGTCGCTGGTACTTTGGAACAAGAAACGGCAACCGCGTGCTACTGCGATCTTGGCTTCGTTCATTGCACTAAATGACATTGCCTCACCTCCTTCGTACGGCGACAAGGAACTATTCTTCTATGCGAGCGAGCTGGCTGAGACGCAGTACTCGTTTTCCGATCATGCCATCGGTGCTGTTGGTACCAAGCTCATTGATGGCGGTCCGAAGAACTCCACGTTGTGCGGCGACATGGCCCAAGTGTTCCCAATTCACACGGATGGTGTCCCGGACGACGATGTGCCCCTGTTTTATTTCAACAGCGACCGAATCTTGTACTTCCGACCGCAGAAGGAGCCTGTATACTATATGAAGGCGCGGCCTTGGGATTTCTACCCGGGTGCGTTTGGTGAGCGTCAGCAGGAGTGCCCGTTCGATATCACAGTCGGAAAGCTTTCCGAGGAAGAGGAGAGGCACCTGGCAGGTCGGCAGCATATCTACGAAGTGGTGGATGCATGGGATCGTGTTGCGAAGGAAAAGCCCGAAAACTTGGATGAACAGAACGCCTCAATCGACCAGGTTCTAAGCAAAGTGATCGCAGATATGCTAGGGAAGACCCCAGCTGACGTTGCCCCCGCTCCGCCTCGTGAGATCAAACAGAATGATCAAGTTGAGCGTACGACGCAGATGATGGAGAGGCAACTTGTATACACCCTGAGCCAGATCACGCAACGCACGACGATCAAGCGAGGAATCGTGATGCCACTCTACGAGCCCATCGCCAGACTTGGTTTCTCATTGATCCTGGAGTTGCGCGCTATGGGAATCACGCTGCCCATCGAGGTGCCGCACTGCACTGATCTTAAGCCCGAAACCGTCGAATTGATTCGAACGAAGAAGGAGCTGGGCGAGATTCGCGCCTATGATGTCTGCGAGCTTGCTGCCAGTGCCAAGAGTGTCACGAACTCTTCTCGTCCGGTATTCTGTGACAACATCGACGGTTGCCACTCGAAGTTCCGGTCATTTATGATCAAGCCTCTCGCGGTGACCTACTCGCAGTTTGAGGAGATCTTGATGCTTGATGCCGACACGACATTCTTCGTCAACCCCACGGTGCTGTTCGACTCGGAGAAGTTCAAGACTACTGGCAACCTGTTGATGCACGATCGCATCAGCCACGACTGGTGGTTCATGGCCGAGCGTGCGTCTAAGGACCCGGACATATCGGTGGAGCAGAAGTACTTCTCGAACTTCGATGTGACGCCCTTCCGGCCGCTGCCCACGCTTGATCGGCCGAAGGCTACGGTGGAGAACACGACCCCTGTGACGCTTAAGTTCGAGCCAAGCAATTTCCTGTTGAGTAGCCACTCGTTCAACCTTCGTTCAGGACACCAAGTGGACTCGTCGCTTGTGATGTGGAACAAGAAGCGCCAGCCTCGTGCAACGGCAATCCTGGCTTCATTCGTCGCTCAAAACGATATCGCTTCGCCTCCTTCGTATGGCGACAAGGAGCTCTTCTTCTACGCAAACGAGCTGGCTGAGACTCTGTACTCTTTCTCCGACCACGCGATCGGAGCAGTGGGTACCAAGGTTGAGGACTATGGACCCAAGAAGTCGACGCTGTGTGGCGATATGGCGCAAGTGTTCCCGATCCACCAAGACGGCGTGCCTGACGACAACGTGCCTCTGTTCTACCTCAATAGTGACAGGATCCTGTACTTCAAGCCGGACGTGGAGCCTGTGTATTATATGAAGGCGCGGCCGTGGGCGCACTACCCCGGTGCCTTTGGCAAGCGGCCTCAGGAGTGCCCGTTCAACATCACGGTCGGCAGGTTCGAGGAGTCGCACATCAACCACCTCGCGGAACGCCGGAAGTTCGCCGAGCAAGTGAAGGCGTGGTAGGTAGATCGATGTTAGCCAGGGAGACAGATGATAGAGGGGAGGAAGTATGTTATGTGTATTGCTGCGCCCAGCAGAAATTGGCGTGATAGAGGGCTTTTGCGGTAAGCGAGACATCAACCCGTAACATTGCAATCGTGCACGTTGGCTTATCGTTTTGGTGGGTGTTTTCTAGCCATGCGGAGGGAAAAACCTCCTCAGCTCGAAGCTTCCATGTCGTGGCATGGTATAATACACACACAAGAAGCACACGCAAAAAGATAGTATAGAGGTCTTAGGTTGTGGTCTGCCGATTTTCTAGACGATCTCAGGTGGCTGCACGTCTAACACGTCTTCCTCTTCGTCGTCGTCGCTGCCTACCGCACCACCGATGGGCTGCAGAGACTGCTTGGTCACTTTGACTGGCTTCCCACCTTCCGGTTTGTCGTCTTTGTCTGCCAGCAGTCCATTGCGTTCGTTGGCGTACGGGGATACCAGACTCTGCTTGTCGGCGTCGCGACTGCCGCCAAAGAAGGACCTCCAGCCGCCGAACGTGTCCTTGCGATTCCGGAAGCTGCCTCGGTGTTGCATCTGGAAGCGAGGCAGCACCAAGCCCACGACCAAAATCTCCCAGCTCAAGACGCAGCCGGCGTCGAAGAGGAACAAAGAGAAGAGCGACCACGCAAAGCCCACAGGCAGCTCCAAAGCGCCCAAGCTCACGTCCACGCCACGCTCCTTCAGTGCCTTTGCCACCGCCGCAGAAGTCGAAGTGTCGTTATCCTCCACGTTCCCGTTGTCACCAAGAAGCTGGACCAGCAGAATGATCAGCAGAACGAACGCGTACGCCACGAACGCGCGGTTCCCACGTAGCACAGGCGCTCGATAGGCATCGCGGGCGTTGAGTGCGACCGCAGCAATCCAGTACTGCAGGTGCCCGAAGCGCCACAAAACGCTGTTCTCGTACGAGTGCGAAGTGAGGTCTGCAGGCACGCCGGGGACGAACACGTAACATGGAGCTTCCACGACGTCCGGGTCGCTCTCACCACCGTCGGATGCTGCTCTAGTGAGCTCCAGAGCCTTCTCAGCCGAGCAGAACCACGGTCGAGCCTCGGCTGCGGCCAGTGCAATGTAGACACAGCCCAGGAAAATGGCGAGCTGACCCAGCAGGGATAACAGGATCTCAGCAGCGAACAGCGTCCTCGGCGGCATGCGGTTGAATGGAGCTACGGCTGATGATCCGAGTTGTGGCGCCGCGGGAGTTCGTACCATCAAAAGTGACAGGATGAAAACCACCACCAAGTCATCGAAGAGGAACTGCATGCCGCTCATCTGGGAATGCAAATTGTTCATAGTTGCAGACAGCGTCACTTGTACAACCGCGTACACCACCATGTACCTGAAGGCGACGAAAGCTGCACTGAGTGCGCCTCGACCTTCACGCAACAGCTCCACGGCGTCGCTGACACGGAGGGAGCGACTCGTGAACGGAGCCACCAGCGCTGCATCGTCCTTCGAAAGAGCTAAGCCAACATGGGCTGCCTTGAGTGCACCGCAATCATTGGCGCCGTCGCCACACATGGCCACGCAAGCGCCGTGGCGAGTCATGAGCGTCTCCACAATCCAAGTCTTCTGGTGCGGCCTCACACGTGCAAACACCTTGGTTCGCCCCACCAGCTCCTCCGCAAAATCGACCAGGGACATTGTTGGAGGCGCTATCGCTGAATCCTCGGTGGGTCTATCCGCTTCGTCTTCTTCACTCGAACGGGCAAGAAGCCGCTCAATTGCAGCGCCTGTCACTGCCAACGAGCTGCCTTCAGCCAGCGACAGGAAGCTGTGTCTATCAACTGGCATCCAGGCGCCTTCCGAGTTGCTACCAGAAGTTCCTTCACGAGTGCTCTGAGCCAACTCATCTACGTCAGTATAGACCACGACCAATTCAGAGTTGCCGTCACTTTCATCCTGGCGTTGCGCGTCGACCAGAAGAACCGATGGCTGCATATCCATATTGATCTTGCGCGAAACGTGGATCGCCGTGAGTGCGTCGTCGCCTGTGATAATGCGAACATCGACGCCAGCTTCCTCCAAAGCGCCCACGACGTAAGGAGCCTCGGGTTTCACTTGGTTGACAAAGAGCATAAAGCCTAGGAACCCGAGCGAGCTCTCCACGGCATCTCGAGCCACAGGCTGTGAAGCCTCGGACTTCGGAGACACGGCGGCTGGAGCGAACGTCTTGGTCGCCAGAGCCACAACGTAGAACCCTTGGTGTGCGTAAGAACGAGCGCGCGCGACGTAGTTGCTGGGGAGAGTATTCGGCGTGCAGATCTTGCGAATGGCTTCAGGAGATCCCTTGACGTAAGCGTAGCGGTTGCCGCTGTCGATATCCTCCACGACCACCGAGGACCTCTGACGAGCTGCGTCGAACGGAAAGCGAGCCACAACGCCGAATAACTTCCCTATAGGCGAGGCGACCAGTGCGGCAAACTGGCCAGCGACCACTGTGTTTTGCGATGTCTCGGGTTCCAACGAGTAGCCCGTCGCACGGAACATGTCCTTCTCGAGAGCATAGCCTTCGACTTGACCCGAGCGCTCTGTCAGACCATGACATGTGGCCAAACCGATTATAGTGGGGGGAGATAGCACCTCCACCTCACGCTGCAGTCCATGGAAACCCGGTTGTTGTTTCTGGCTTGGTGCTGCACCGGGAGCTGCTGCTGAGCACTCGTCCACACCATGGAAGTCGAGGTGATCGCTAGAAAGCGTACCAGTCTTGTCGAAGCAAAAGCAGTCAACGTGGCCAGCTATGTTCACACGAGCTGCATCGATGCAGGCCACATCAGCCTGGCTTTCGAGACGAGAAAGCGCGAAGCCAACGCCTGCAGTCAATACCACAGGAAGCGCCGGCGGAACTGCGATCGTGATCAAATCTAAGTCAGACAAAATCGCTTCACCGAACGTCACTTCATCATTATGGGCCGCCCTGTTCAAACGGACCAGAAACAAGATGAGGGCCAGAATAGAGAGAGCGCCCATGAAGCGATAACTGTCGCTCTCGAGACGCTTTGCGAGCTGCAGGGGTGTCGGGAACAAGATGCTGCGGAAGAGTTCCCCCTTCGACGTGGAGAATCCTGCACTGAGCACCACACCTCGTGTTGACGCCTTCGACTCGTCTCGACTTCCCTGCGTAGAGCTCGAATGCGCTAGTTCCAACACCGTCGAACCAGCAAAGAGTACACTTTCACGATGAGTGGTCTTCAGCTTTGCATTCACAGCGAATCCAGCATCAGTTGCTGCTAGTGCTTGCTTCGTGACGGGGATTGCTTCACCCGTTAGTGTCGCTTCGTCTGCCATACAATGCCCGGAAAGCAGTGCGATATCCGCTGGAATCACCCCTTCATCGATCACCACGACGTCTCCAACAACCAGATCTGCAGGGCTCACTCGCTTCTCTCTTGAGTCTCGGATCACTCGAATGCCATTAGCAATACTGTGCTCTGCGTGTGCCAGCCTCGAGTGCAGCTTCTTATCATTCGTCACGAGCTCATGCACTTCCCATACGATCGACAGCACCGAGAGGGCCAGGATAATGATGGCATACGCCTCGTAGCCTTCGCTCAGCCAAATGACTCCACTGAAGAATTGAAACACGTAAAACGGGTGCGACACCTTCCTCAGCAGCACCATCGGCCACGTCTGAGCCTTCAACGCCAGCTCATTAGCTCCGTGCACCCCCGTGAGCCCTTCAACCTGGGAGGTGGACCATCCACTGCCCTCTAGGCATCTTCGCTGTGCTGAGCCCAACTTCTCGTCGAGCGCGTTCTCCAGCCTCGAGAAGCCCAGCACCTCCCTCTCATCCACCACGTAGCGACTCTTCCTGAACTCGAACCACGGCGGGCTGTCCACGGGCTGCAGCAGCGCACACTCTTCGTAGAACCTCTTCATCTTCTTCTTGTTCTTGCCGCTCATCCACGACACCGTGTGCACCACGAGCACCGAGGTGGCGTCCATCGTCTCTGGAGCTTGTCTCCGCAGCATCTTGACCTTCCACTTGGGCTTCCACGACGCCAGAATGGCCAACACTCCGCCCGACAGCACGCAGCCGAAGCCGAACAGGGCCTGCTGAACGGGCTCCGCCTGCTGCAGCAGCTCCACGCGCTCCAGCTCGGCCGCGGGGGCCGTCACGAACCCGGCCCGTGGGGCGCGAGCCGCCAGGTCCAGATCTTCCATGTCCACGTCCACTGCGTCCGCGGGGGAGGAGGCCATCGCCATGCTGTCGCTGTCACTGTTACTGCTGTCGCTGCTGCTGCTGCTGCTCTGGTCTCCGTACGACTCGGGGCGCGTATCGAGCAGCGGCGAGGTGGCTTTGGCAGTGCCCGCCATGCGCGGCAGGAGTTTCGGGCCGGAGGGACGTGTCGTGTTCGAGCTCCACGGGATCCCTATAAATGGCTACACACCACGTGAGACTGCGCGACTATTCATTCACGCCTATGACACTTCAACGGCAACGGGTGGTGAGCAACCAGCACAATGCAAACAACCTCTACTACTATTTCCTTTTTCCAGCTGCAACTCAACTACATGGCGAGCTTCTTGACGGGGCATCGCGGACAGTACCAGTTGCCTGGTGGGATGGCGGCGAGCGGCGGCTGCAGGCAGAAGGCGTGGTAGGCGGCGTCGCAGCTGTCGCACAGCAGCATGCTCTCCTGCGCGTTCATCTGGCCGCACTGCCGACACAGCTCCTCCGAGGCGAGGTGCGTCACCGGCGTGTTGGGCGGAACGTCCGTGATCCACTGCTCGAATAGTCGGTTGAAGATGGCTGCAGGCACACACAACAAAGCAAATGACCATTATTAGTTCAGGCTCAACACAGAACTCAAAAGGCAGTGGGCACTTACACCGCAGTCGGTTCGCTCCTGCCGAAATGTCCGCGTCCAGGCGGTTGAACGTGAAGCAGTTCTCCCACACGAGGTTCACGTCGCGCACAAGCATCTCGAAGCGCTGGTCGTAGAACCCGCGACTTAGTCGAATCTTGATCGTGCCCAGGTCCATCGGGTGCTTGATCAGCTCCGCGTACCCAGGCACCTCGTTCACGTTCACCGGCGCGGAGAATGCCAGCGCCAATTCATTCCTCAGCAACGTGTCCATAATATACTCCAGTCTCGACCTCAGCGTCATATCCTGCGCACTCCCCATCGGGAAGCAGTGCTGCAGCGTCTTCATCTGGAAGCAGCGGAGTTCGACGTACTGCGTCTCCGGTGGGGTCGCAACAGGCGTCGGGACGTTCGCTGAGCCTTGAGCCCTTCGCTTTCTACCGGAAGACGAGTGTTGCCCAGTTGAACCCGTAGGTTGCAAGCCCGGATGCTTCCGCTTAGGCGTCGAGTGACGCCCGGACCCACTCTGGGACTGCCCAGACGTTGACGCTTGCTGCGCAGAGCTCGCTTGAATCCACTGCTCGACCTGATCCTCCGTAAGCGATGTGATCGCAGCCACCTCGCTCCTAGCCTTCCTGGACGCATAGGTGGACGAGGCCCGCTCGCGCTGTGCCTCAAGAATATTGCTGATCATCTTATCCACCAAAGTAACCAAGCCGGTCGACAACCTGCCTACGAATGGCAGCTCCGATGGATTCGACACAGGCTCGGTAGACTTCGCTTCCTGGCTGATGATCGCCGTCTTGACGGGCGAACCCGGCCGACTTGAGCTAGCACTAGAAGGATTCCGGTGCTTGCGTTTGCCTCCACGTTTCATCCGCCCGTAGGAAATCGCATCGTCCAGAGAATATAACCGCATAGCAGCAGATGCAATCGTTGACGTGGCGATCGCATTCTTCGCCGATGGGAGCGGGGACGCCTTCCAGCCCGGATCCAACCACTCCGGATCAATGTTGGCCTCCAGAAGTACAACTGCCTCCATGAGCCTGGCAGATACGTCGCACGTATAGACCAACTCCGCCCACGCCGCACGGACAGAGCGCCCCCACTTACCCGACCGGAAAGCATCTCGTGGAATAGCTGACTCCATTTCCAGCAACTGAGCTCGAAGTAGCAGCAGTGAGCGCGGGGTATCCTTCTTCAGCGGTCGGATCGTGGAGCGGAACGGCTCCAACAGCTCTGTACATAACTCTCCAATATCACCATCCGTCGGTTCGTCCGTTCCAGCTTCACTGCCACTTCCTCCTTTTGAATGGGACTTGACGAAGTCAGGGTCGTACATTTCGCCGATATTCGTGATCTTGCGAGATACTCTCGAGGATCGTCTCGAAGCTGTCTCCTCAGTTAGACGCAGCTCCTTTCCGCCACGAGGTGACGCCCTGCTAGTCTGGAGCGGTGGCTTTCCTTCTGGCATCGCTACCTCCGCCGCTGCTGGCTCAGTTGTTGGTTCCACGACAGCCTCTGCAGGAGGAGCGTCAGGAGCTACGGCAGGAGTAGGTTGGCCCTCTGCACTGGCCAGGGCGGGGGCAGAGCTTGAGCTAACTTCCGACGATTGGCTTTGCAGGGCGTTCGATGCAGCAGTCAACGCTGCCAGCTGCGCTTCTCGATCACGCTGGAGGTCAGCTTCAGTGCGTTCCCCGTCGGTGTCTGATTGCGCTGGAGTTGTCAGCTGCGAAATCGAAGGTGACTCCGGCTCCGTATCGACATCAGCAATTGCGTTAGCTGCTGCCGACTCTGCGGGTTGAGATGCTGATTCGCTGGAAGCGTTGGCACTGGTATCAATCTCGAAGTCTGCTGCTCCGCGGTATGTCGTGCCGTTAGCATCATAGAAAGTTACCTGTGACGGATCTCCTCCATCTGGCGGCAATTGAGGGTCATTCGCAGCAACAAAGTTCACGAATTCACTGTTCGAAGTGTTGCTCTGGTACGAGTTCGGAGCCGCAGACGACGGTGGTGGCGCCGTCGAGTATCCCATGGGTGCCGATGCGCTTGGCATCAGAGGCATCGGGTTCAAAGGCAACTGCACATTTCCGCCACTGTTCATGTTCAATCCGTTCGGCGTTGGGCCCGTTCGAAATGACTGCGCCATCGGGTTGGCTGCGTTTTGCCAGGCCCCGGACGGCTGGGCGCTTGGACCTCCAGCTACGCCATTCCCGTACATGTTTGGCAATGCATCGTAACCAGGGCCGCCCATTGGAGCAGCAGGGAAAGATTGTGCAGACATGTCGCCCATGAACCCTGCCATTTGCGGGTCGCCAAACTGCGAAGACGGATCCCCCATCGGTTGGTTTGAAGGCGCAGCTTGGTACGGAAACGGGTTCACGTTTTCCCCCATGCCAGGGAACTGTCCAGTGGCTGGGGCTTGATAACCCCCACCTGCATTCATCGCATTGGTGTTCATAACCATGGGACCGCTACTGGGTTGCTGATAAGCGTTGCTGCTGTTGTTCATGACCACTGGCGGCTGCTGGCTGAACGCATTCGGCTGTTGCACTTGGTTCATTGCAGAAGAAACCTGCATTGGTTGTAGAACCGCTCCCTGGGCAACACCGCCCGTTGGGAATGCAAAGTTGGAGATGGAGCTTTGTGGTTGTTCTGCGTTGCCCATCGCGACACCAGCCTGGTCGGCCGGTGACAGTCGTCGGAACGTCACCCGTAGCGGGCGCTTGCCCGAAGCAACTTCAGCTTTAAATCCCTCCATTCCAATCACTGCGAGCATATTGCCGTTCACAGCATAGACCTCGTCGCCCACTTGCACCTTTCCGCTCGCTTGGGTCTGCCCCATCATGTTGTTGTTGTCATTGGAAAATTCCGTGACAATAATTGTTCCGCGCTGAGAGTAGTTGATCACAACTCCCAATGGGCCAAACCCAAACTCCACGTCCACAAGCGTGCCAGTATTGTTGTTTTGGCTCGTCGGCTGAGAATTGGTTGTCTGCATAGGCATTGAAGTCGCACCCTGAGCCATTCCGTACGGAAGAGACGGCATAGATCCCATTTGCTGGTTTTGGTCCGGAAGCTCTCCGCTGGAAGACATGTTAACCTTGCGGGAAAACGCCTCGCGGATGTTCTCAAGAAGATTGACTTGCTGCACAAACGACGCGGGGAGAGCCTCGACACCAGGAGTTGAAGCTGTAAACAGAGGTCTGCAACTGGTCAGGTCGTCGAAAGTGGCGCCTGATAAGTAGCGCGTTGTCCGCAAGAACATCAACACGAAGTTCGCGACGTTGTGGAGCTCCATTGACAAATCGCTAGCACGCTGAGAGGGCTCACACTTCTTGGCAGCAGCGGCGAAACCGCTTAGCGCCCGAGCACGCAACATGTTAGATGGATCCACGCAACTGAGGATTGCCGTCGCAAACGCGTCGGCCACTTGCTTCACGAGAGACGAGTCCGAGTGAGTTTTCTGGCTCGTTGTCAGAGCTTGTGTCGCCATCGCACAAATCAGTCCCATTACGTATGCGTGATGCAGACATACGAACGTCTTGGGGTCCGGGTGAGCCGCATTAGGGTCGACAACGATGCGAGACACGACCTTCTTCACTTCTTCGAAACTGGACAAACAAGCGTACGCCAGTCCATTCGTCGTTTGGACAGAGGCGGAAGCAGCAAATTGGTTCCAAGCTGCTAGCATGGCTCGACCTTGGTCCACAAGCGCCTGGAGCGATCGCTTGAAAGAAACAGCGTTGCCGGCTGTAGCAGGTGCAAATTGTTGCTGCATTTTTGCGGTCACAGATGGATCGTATCTCGTTCGCTTCATCTGGTCAGCAATCTGCTGTGCATACGGGTTTTCAGCTTGGGCGTACTTCCGCTTCAACGCCTCTTGGTAGCGGGCCTGGGCTGCCGCATACGCTGACGACTGTAAATCTCCTTGCATCCTCGACATCGCGATAGGAGGCATTCCGGCCTGATACGCTCCAGTCCTTGACGCTTCCATGTTTTGGTTCAACATCGCATTGTTGGACCGCAGACCACGCTTCAGGATTTGATACACGTCATGCGAAATTGGGATGGGCTTCATTCCGCCTTGCCCATCCATCACGCTCCCGTACTCGTACTTGCGTGATAAAATTCGTTTCACCACGTTCTCTGCTTTGGGGTAGGGAGCAGTTAGTGAAGAAGGAAAATGCGCGTTACGCAGCGTAGAGGCATCAGGAGCTATCACCGCGTGGAATCCCGTGGAACGGATGGCTGATTCGGCGCGTTGTAGAGCATTTTCTGCCTCCTGCTGCGAGTAGAATGAGCCAAGGAAAAACTTGCGTCCACGGTATTTCACCAGAGACTCGTACTTCTCCATGTCCCCATCCATCGCAAGCAGCACCTCCTTTTCGATCCCGAACGGCCCATCACGAATGAAGTCGTTGCTAGAGTACTCGCAGCACGACGAACCTTGCTGCAGTTTGAGTTTTGCGGCATCCTCATGTAGCACCCAATGGAAACACCACTTAATCCCCGCAGCAATCTTCGCGTCCCTCGTGTCTTCTTCCAAATAAGCAAGAAGCCGAGAGAGCTGTTCCTTTGTGGCGCAGACCGACCACTTCTTGTCCGGAGAGAGTACGAACAAACGATTCAGGTCACTGAAGAAGCGGTAGAACGAATATCCATGCCGACATTTCCCAAACGACAACGTTCGTGGGATAATCAGCCACTTGATGAAGCTCTCCAGCTCCCGAACCTTCTCGATTTGCGGAAGCATCGAGCCACATTCTGACCACGCCACATTGGCACTTTCGACGCAGCTTTCGTGAGCTTGTAGCAAGACCACGGGCCTGACGAAAGGTGAAAGGTGAAGGTAAACGGGACAAATCGTTGATATCGCTGCACACAGTTCCTTTACTGAGGCCCAGTTCAAGCCCGCAATAGATCTTCCATTCACCCCCACAATCAGGTCACCAATCGCAACAGTCTTCACGGCAGTCCCCTGATCCATTTTCGAGTCAGTTTGCTGTTCACAATAAACGAAGCCGTTCGTTGCGATCACACCAATGTTCTCGAGGAAGTTTTCAGCCTCGAACGGGAGCGGGAAGGACTCGACCCGAAAAGTCTTAAGATCGCTGGACGCAGGAAGTTTCAGCGCCTTGCACAGCAGCGATGAATCGCCCAACAAATCGGACATCCGCTTGTTCGCCTGCTCAGGGGTCACTTGGTTGGCACCTCCGGGAGGCTGTCTGGAAAATGTCATCTTTAGCGGACGTGGTAAGCTCAGCAACCACGATGTGAACTGAGATAAATCATTTAGCTGGCCGTAAGTTGCATCGTTCACCCGTTCCACCAAATCCCCGCGCGAAATACGCCCGCTCAGAGACGCCTGGCCCAGCGTACCATCCGGATGGTCGTTCAGCGACTTGACAACCACACCTCGAGGTTCCAGTGCCAGCGCCAAACCAAGTGGACCATCTTGGAAAACCACCTCGTATGAGATCGGTCCATTCATATACGGACTAATCACGTCCGCTCGCAATGCACTCTCTTTTGCACGTTGAGATGGAACATCGTACACAACACGTTGCCAATCTTCTTGGGCCTTTTTCATCTTCGCGGATGGGGAACGTGCTACAGCAATGTACATCGTGTCGTTCGGGTTGTTCACATGAAGCATCGGCTCGACAGCAGCCACATCCTTTCCGCGGGTGGAAACGCCGTTCACCATCAGAAGTACATCACCAGGGAATACTTGACCGGACAGTTCACCGAATCCAACAGGTAGATTCTCTGAAGATTGATAGGACTGAACAAAAACAAAGGAATCGTGAGAACCCAACACCAAGCCGAGTGGTAGGCCGTGACACTTCACAATTGACACCGAGGCGCGCACAGCTTCGCCTGGCAGCAACGTCAGATACAGCAAGATCGGTTGTGCAGCAGTCCTCAATTGCTCTTGAATGGCAGCACGATTCATTCCAAACACCACGCGATCATTAACCGCGTAAACAACTCCCTTGACGCCCTGAGCTTGCTGGTTGTCCAAATCGCCTGAGTCATTCGGTACAGGCAAGGCCGCTGATCGCTCGGAGTATTGTACACCTTGGACTGTATCTTCCAGAATCACATTGGCAAGATCGTTTGCTCCAAGCGATTGAACAGTAAGCATGTCAGATCCTTCTCCCGCAAGCAGCTCGGGCAGGTCGTAATGGTTGAGCATCGTCGTGTGAGCTGTCAATGGCGACTGTTTGCAGGAGTGCAAGGGCCCGTTTAGAATTCCATCTTCCAAGCCACAGAAAGCGCAAACGGGGCGCGAGAGGATCATCCTGCTATTATCGAAACAATCCTGTTCATCTGACCGGGCCAACAAGAACCGATCGCCGAATTCTTCCAGCAGCATTTCTTCTGCTGCTTCGGAGTCGTCAGAATCATCGTCTTCGTCGTCAGTTTCCGCAACTAAGACCATGGGCTCCACCTTCACCTCCGTCTCACCAAGGAGTTTTTTTCGAGCACTTTCAGGCAGAGCAGGAATAGGTTGTGAATCCAGCTCTGCCTTTGCCTTGTCCTCGAGATAGGTCAGCAATTCATCCGTCAGTTCATGTTCCACGCCATCGATGATGAATTTCTTGGTCTGCTCAACACCATGAGATGAGCGCGGCGGAGAAAATCGCTTCCATTCCCGCTCCAAATCAGCTAGCGACTCGCCCAACTTTTTACGCGCATCATTTGCCTTGTCTTCGAGCGAGTGGTAAACTGACTGCACTGCGGCGGTTTCTTCGATCAACTCGCACAAAACTCTTAGTACCTTCAACCGATCGCTGACAGTAGTCTTCGAGTAGTTTTCGTTCGAAAGCAGATCAATCGCGGTCAGCAGTCGCTTCTCCAGCTCAGTCAATTCACTTTCGTTTAATTCACCATTCGCAGGACTCTCATTGGAGTCAGGACTTGAATCACGAGCCTTCTTACGGAATTGTTCATGTGAGAAGGATGGGTCCGCGAGACATGAAGGGCAAAACCACTCGCCTTTGGGAATGACAGAAAGTGGGGACTTGAGGCAAAAGGTGTGATAAGGCGCATCACATCGATCGCACAGCAGTAGTCGACCTTTCGCGTAGATCGTCTGGCAATTACGGCAGTTGTCCTCCTCTGCAGCAACCATCAGTCGGTTCTCGGTCGTGTAAACCCACTCTTTCATCAAGCGCTCGAAAATGACTGAAAGCTTTTGGGCTAGGTTCGAGATTTCAGCCTTCAACGAATTGTATGTGTAGCAGTTTTTCCACACTAGCTGTACATCGTCGACGAAGGACTCCACGTCGTCATTCTCATAATCTTCGTCCTCGATTTTCTCCGCGATTGTTCCCAGGTCCATGGGTTCGGCAATATCACCGCTTGAGTAGTAATCAGGGTAGAGCTCGGCATCGACGGGCTGATTAAATGGCGCTGCAATCTCTTTAGCCCGTAGTAGCTTCAAAACAAATCCACAACATTTCAATTTTGTCGCTCCCTGCGTCGTTGCGATGTGCTTCAAGGGGTTCTTCGCGACCGGAACAAGTGAGGACATCAGCAATCCATGCGGGGTTGAGAGCCCGTTCACAAGACTGTTGAAACCTTCGAGAGACATCTCGCGTACATCTTGCCCGTTGATGAACATGAGGTAATCTCCAACTTGAATCATATCGGCGTTATCGTCCTTTGGGTCAGGCGCAGCGCCTTCAGCTGATTTTTCCTTTTCCGAAGTACTCTCGTTGGAAGTGGCAATGACTTCGGTCACGACGAGATGCTGATCCTTTTCTCCAACCTTAAACTTGCTCGACACGCCACCAACCAGAACAACACCGTAGTACTCGCTTGATCCTGCCGACGCAATGTTCGTTTCTGACGCCAACGTAATGGAATTTTTACCACTCGAGCTTTGTGTCTCTGTCTCCGCTTCTTCTTGTTCTTCCTCGAATTGAACGCCCTTCAGCAAGTTGGTTCCACGGCGATACATTCTCTGGCGAAGTGGGTGAGTAACAGCATCATCTCGATACGACTTGGAGCCCTTAATAGCCTTGAGCAGTTGTTCATCCGCGCTAGGATGCTTAAACTCGATGGCCAATTGGCACACCTGACGAGCGAGTTCAGGCCAGCTAAACGCGTTCATGGGCCGGGTGCGATGAAACTCTTCAAGCGTGTTGCCCATTTGAAGCAATGGGAAATACTCTGCCACCAGTGTCTTTACCAGCTCTGCGTGCAAGGAAGCAAAAAGGGTGCCAACCGATTCGTCATCGAGATCACCGTCCCCAACAGGACTCGACCCATCGCTCAGCGTCATCATACTCACGAACACGCCAAGTGAGGGCAACGCCGTCAACTTCAAGCAGTCCGAGAATGTGGAGATGAAGTCCCACACAAACAGCAAATCGGCGTGAGATTCAGCCGGGACCGGGTCCAGCTCTACAGCGGCGGATATCAAATGTGCAGGAAATTTCGCGTCCTCGTTCTCCGATGTGCCAACCTCCTTACCAGATGATGCCTGACTACTCTCCATTTCCCGAGAATAGCGCGTTTTTACGCGAGCCCAAACTTCGCTCTCCACATCGTACCTCTTGTCCCACACGCGGATTTGTCGTCGTCGCTCTCTCTCCTCCTCCACAAACTTAAGCAACGCAAGTTGCTGCTGTCTAACAGTCTGGGGGTCTGCTGTGGCCTTCCTTTTTCTGGAGTCACTAAATCGTCGCGGTGATGAAGACGTAACAACACCGTTCTCAAGAATCGCCTTTTGCTCTTCACGCATTTGACGCCGTTGCCGCAGCTCTTCTATCCTTCGCTTCATCGAGTTTTCCTTCTCCTCCATCTTTTTGCGCTTCTCCTCTTCTCGCATCACACGCTTCAATTCCTTTTCCTCTTCTCGCATGCGCTTCTCCTGTTCCCTGGCCAGTCGTTGGGCCTCCTTCCGTGCTTCTTTCTGCCGCGCAGCTTCCATCTTAGCTTCAAGAATTGCGTTTTTGCGCTCCTCTTTCGCTCGTCGCTGGGCTTCCTTCGCATCTTCTTGTGCTTTCATCTCGATTTCCAGTAGTTTGCGTGCCGCCTCTCGAACACTTCGCTTGTCAGCTTCACGTTGCTCTTTCTCCTTCTGCTGCAACAGTCGGTGCATATCCTCAGGGTTCCGCGAATGCTCCTCCAGCAGAGCCTCCTGTGATAATCGACGGTTGATTTCATTCCTAGACACCACATTCTGAGCCTTGAGAATATCCTTCACTTGGTTTTTCAGTCGCGAGCGAATTTTGGCATGAACGTCAGGCGTGATGGGATGCCGCTGCTCCCAGAACTGATAATCTCTGCACCAAAGCACCTGGTGTAGTCCTTCCAGTACGCGCGTGATATTCCGTCGAAGCAGACCAAACCCGTCCTCGCCACTAGCGGGCGTGAGTACGTTCACGCTGTTGCCGTTGTCGTCAGTCTCCGGTGTAAATACGGATTCAGTGACCACTGCCATCAGATCCTCCGCAGATAAGCTTTCGAAATGCACGAGGGCCTTCTTCCACGCCTTGTTCGCCACGTACGATCTGAACACGATCTCAACTACGCAAAAAAAACAAGAAAGTCAGTGCCACATGCAGATAACGGCTGCTCTCGATGCAAAACCCACCTGCGCTTCTCTCGAGTTCCACCACGAAAATCGGCGACTTCTTTTTGTTGCCGTGCACGATCTCTGCCGGTATCCACGAACACACAGGTCAGCACACCCTGCGACTCACATGATCATCACGAAAAACTTTCTACGTACTGCATCGAAGCCGAAACGCGACCGTCACAGGCTTCGTCACTTGCACGTTCACGAGCGTCTCGTAGCCAATCTGTTCAACAACAACACATTAGCACAAAACATGTTTTGCAGTAGCTAGCCGCCCAGTCGCTCTCCACTCACCGGGAACAGCTTCTTGCTCGTGTAAAAGTGCTCTTCGGGTACGACCGCCCCCATGGCCATGACGCTGATGGGTCCGTCCACCAGCGGCAGCTCCAGCTCCGCCAGTTGACGCCTCAAGATGGCCAGGTAGTACATGTCCTCGCGCGGGATGGCGCCCTGCAGCAGGTGCGTGTACGCGCGCAGCGCGTCTCTGAGACTGCGGTACTTGTGGCCGCTCGGGTCCTGCAGCTTGCCGTCCTCGCGCGCGGTCCAGCCGCTGAGGCCGGCGATGTCCAGTCCGCGCTGCTGCGCCACGAGCCGCAGACTGGGCACGCTCAGCTCCAGGTCGTCCAGCGAGTCGCTGCGGCGGGCGGCGCCGCGCGCGCGCGCCTTCTGCGGCGTCGGCAGGTCCGTGGAGGCCGAGGAGGCGGCCGAGGCCTCGTCCGTGTCCTGCGCGTGGCCCATGGCCATGACGGCCGAGGCGGCCGAGAGCTCGTCGTCGTCGTCGTCCTCCACGGAGGGCGCGCGCGCCGTCTCGCTGCTGTCGGCGCTGCGCTCGGCGGCGTCGTCGCCCTCGCCCTCGCTGCTGCTGTACGAGCGCGGGGCCAGCAGCATGCCGAGGCCGCGCGGCTTGGGCGCGGCTGCAGGCGGCGGCGGAGGCTGCTGCTTGGTCTCCTCGTCGTCCTCCTCGAAGCTGCTGCCGCCCTCGGACTGCGGCGGAGACAGCTCCATGGCGGGCGTCCAGCGCGGCGGCGGCGGATCCATCTCGGGCAGAGGCTGCTGCGCTCTTGGCTTTCCGCACTCGAAGTGGCGGACGGGGGGCTCTGGCGCGTGATGGGTGTAGAGACACATCAACATGGTGTGAGCCACACAAAACTTAAGGGCAAACATTGTGTAAGACACACTAACTGTAAATAATATGCGGACATCTGGAACTGGAACAGTCCTAATTTTCTAGATTTGATGTGTACAGAAAGAGATCTAAATTTCTTGATTTATTCCATACAGAATTAGCTCTAAATTTCTTGTGCAGAATTAACGTAACCTCAAACTTGCTTTGCTTGTAGCTGTACATGTCTTTCACATGCCAAGCAAACCTTCAGCGTTGCGTGAAGGGCTGTGACTACTGTGGCCGTACGTGGCGTTCCGCCTTGCGGCCACCGCCGCTGCAAAGTGGCCGAGCGTGGAGTTGCCTCTGGCCACTGGTCAGCGCCCGTGTTCCAGAGATAAGCGCCACCCAACATGAGGACCGCCGCACTTCGGCAGGCGTGTTCAACCACAGGATTATCAAGGTAACGAGGGCTGTACTGTAACTGCAGCGAGAGGGCTGCCTTCGTCTACAAAGGGTCGTGGCGTCATCTGCCTGCTGCAACCTGGGCCAGGTTCCTGCACAGGGTTCTTTTTCGAGTGCTGCATGCGTGATACAAGCTGTCGCAACAGGCCTGTCCGCGGCTGCGCAAGCTCGTCCGCAGACTGCGGCTTTGCCTGCAAGCTCAAGCCTTCTTTACCGGATTGGCTCGTTGCTGGCTGCGGGCGATGAAAGCTACCCGCTGCCCCGTGCCGGGGGTGCGCGTCCGCGAGCTTGTGTGGAAGCTCTCTTGAAGCGCAAGCGTCAGGGGCACGACCGCCACCGGTTTATGATCTCTTTTCGTGTGCAGAAAATTGATTTGCTAAACGGATCTTTCCGCGGTAGATTCGATGGTATTAATTTTGCTAATCCATCGAATCTTGATGCAATCGTCAATGTCGACACCTAACCGCGACTCCAATTTTTGGATCATTGTGGAAAACCGATATGCATTTATAGCACGTACAGCACACTTACTACGTAGTAGTACAGTACTACGCACATTACTGTACGTACATGTACGCTACGCCTCGGACTGCAAAGTTGTTGTAGCCAGCATAATTGGGTTTGTGATTGAAGGGTGTGTGGTAACCATTTGAAGTTGTTGTGCAGAAACCTCAGCATAATAAATTATGATTTCATTCGAAATGGCGCTACAATGCTACGTAAAACCTCTTTTTCATCGGCTTGTTTTCGTGCAGGTAATTCTCTCTTCGATGTAGCCAAGAAGTGTCAATCTCGTGGTGTCAGCAGAGAAGTTATTACATGTGCAGTGATCGAACTACGATGTGATGCCTTGTTGGTGGTGCGTTTAACCTTGTATTATTAGCCGTGATAGCATGGCCGAGTTGCGGACTCGCATATTGCGCCAAAGTAGAATATAACTCGTTGTGGAGCTATACTTTAACAGTCGCCGTGCACAAGTATAATTTCGGAGTCTCAAAGGCTCTGCTTACATGTAGTCTTGCTCTTAGCAGCTCTTGCAGTTTCCGCCAAGTAACACTCAGCTATTGCAAAGTATGAAAAGTACTGTAAGGACCCAAAAAATGGGCCCTCGTGTCAAGTCCGTGGGACGGGCCACCATACAAAAATCAAGATGTCGTTAGTAAGACCTATTCCCCTTGACACCAGCCAATCACAAGAAGATCGCAACGGGTTCCGAATGCTCATCTCTGCGCAACTACTGCAACGGATCGCAAGGACGGTCTCAGCGTCGCCACCATGGACTCGCTCACTTCCGAATTTGCTCCCGCCGACGCGCAAGCTCCCCTTCCGGGCCCCCATGTCCGCCTCAAGCCAGCAGCAGGTCCAAGTCAACCACCCAGCCAGCCAGCCACGAACAAGTTCCTCGTGCGCGGCCTCGGCTTCTACAACGACGCGTACGACCTGTTCGTCATGAACGTGGTCAACGTCGTGCTCACGGAGCAGTACGGCTCGGACACGTACTCGTCCACGATGAAGTCGTGAGTCTCGACGGGCGCCATCATCGGCGCCGTGATCGGCCAGCTGGGCTTCGGCTTCCTGGGCGACGTCTTCGGGCAGGGCCTCCGAAAATAGCATTGTCAATAACATTATTTCAGAAAATAACAATAAATTACGCATTTCGGCGGGTTCAGCCATCTACCGTGATAATTTATTGATGTGCTTTGTGATATTACATAATTTATGACAGTTACCTTTATATAATAATGTTAGCGTTTTACCAGCCATCTTCTCGCTTCCAGTCGTTCAGAAGAACTGGAATCACTGGTTGTCTGCGTTGCTAGTTGCAGCTCATTTGGCAGCGCTCACTTTTCAATTTTCACTTCTCAAGCCTCCAAGACCTCATCCAGCATGGTTCGCGCTATCCGCCCCCCTCGCCCTACCTACACGAACTCCCAAGTCTCGGGGTTTTACTTCCGCCCGTGTCGCGACGAGAACGACGAGGTGATTCTCGAGTATTTCCGTTGCCGTTGCGGCACGGTTCGGAAGCAAACCCATAGGAACGGGTACTCCAACCTGATGCAACATATCAGGCGGGAGCACCCTGACTACGAGACCGTCATGCTCGACGCTACGACGGCGGAGACAGTCTCCCTCGTGAACTTCGTCCGCCACTCGGCGCTCAACCTCCACGGCTGGATGGTTTGGATTGTCATGTGCAACCTGCCACTCTCTTTTTGTGAGAGCCGAGAAGCTCGGCGGTACGTGTATGCATAAGGTCATTGTGTTTACATTACTACGGAAACTAACAACTTTACTTTATGGATGTTATTCAGCTACTCCAGCCTGGACCCCATCTCGGAGGAAACGCTGCGGGCTGGCATGGACGGGGTCGTCGTCGCCGTCGAGCGTTCGATTGCGTCGGAGCTCCCAGCACGCTTCGGCATCATGCTCGACGGCTGGACACACGCATCTGAGCACTACATCGCCGTGTTCGCGTGCTATGAGGTGAACGGCTGTCCCAAGACAACGCTACTCAGCATGGCCCCGCTGCTGGACGCGCTGGACGACGATCTCTCCGCGCAGGGTCATCTCGAGTTTCTAGCGACCATGCTGCCGCGCGATTACGGCGTACAGCTGGTGCAGTGTCGCTTCCTCGTAGCTGACAACTGCGCCGTAAACCGGCGGCTGGCAACTCTTATGAGTGTGCCGCTTGTTGGTTGCGCAAGCCACCGCCTGAACCTTGCTGTTCAGGCGGGCATGGCGTCGCATGAGGAGGACCTGGCTGCTGTGCAGACGCTCATGATAAAATTGCGTACTCTCACCCAATCTGCCAAACTACGGTAAGCGCCAATGTGTATGTGTGGTGTGTCAATATGTCTCTAACACAATTTGTGTACTTTTGTAATTTTTTTACAAAATTGGTTGAAAACGCCACTTCGGCCTGTCATTCGCCAGGACACGCGCTGGAGCTCTACGTTCGAGATGGTACGGCGCTACCTCCAGCTCCTCGAGTTTCTTGACGCCGAAGACGACGACCTCATGGACCTGCTGCCGCCGCCGGCGATGAACAAGCGACTGCGGGCATTGTACGAGGAGCTGTGCGACATCGAGTCGGTCTCGAAGGCCCTTCAAGGCCACGACGTCGACCTGCTGGACGTTCGCGAGTGGTTCGACGAGCTGATCGCTGTCAAGCCACAATATGGGCGCTACATTGGTAAGTTTATAACTGTTGAATTTGTGTTTAATATTTTCACTAACAATTGTATAATGGTTTTTATTTTGCAGGGCCTCGGGCCAACATTGTGCACAACCCAGATTTTGAGGCTGGGTGTGTACGCGTTCTCCGCGGGAAGGCGCAGCGGCTGACGCGTGCTGAAAAGGCCGCTTTGCAGCCCTTCGAAGCTGCCAGACCGGACGACGCGGCCGCGAGTGAAGAGGAGGAGGATCCAGCCGCGTCGTTCGTGGAGCGTCTTCGGAAGCCCCGGCGGCTTGCACAGGACCGTGTCAAGTATGAGCAGCTGAAGAGCATCCCACCCACGTCGAACGTGGTGGAACGCTTCTTCAGCATTGCTCGGGTGACGTTTGGTCATCAACGAGACGGCCTGCTGCCACGCACGCTTGAGACGATTTTGTTTCTCCGCCAGAATCGGTCGTACTGGGATACAACGACTGTGGACAATTTGAGCTAGATGATAAGCTAACTGGTGTCTTGTTAATAGACTTCATGCTTTTCATAATGGCATTATTTATTGTGGTACGTTGGGGGCAATGCCATATTGTACTGTTGTATTGGTAGGAGCGTCAGGGGATAATTTATTCAGCAACGCCCAACCTACTAAATAAAAATGCCATATTCGGAGGCCCTGTCTTCGGCCGCAAGGTCAACATGATCTTCACGTGCTGCCTGCTCATCCTGGGCGGCGTGCTCTGCGCCGCGGCGTACGCGGGCGACGGCCGCGCCACGATCTGGTTCCTCGTGGCCGCGCGTCTCATCTTGGGCATCGGCATCGGCGGCGAGTACCCGCTGGCCGCCAGCTCCACCGCCGAGGACTCCACCGACTCGGCCGACCGCAACACGTCCGTAGCCTAGACCTTCGCGCTGCAGGGAGTGGGCCAGGTCACGGCTGCCATTCTGGGCAACCTGCTGGTGCAGGCCTTCGCCGACGGCAAGCCCGGCGAGAACAGCGGCTCGCGGCTCGAGGCCGTGTGGCGCATCCTGTTCGCCATCGGCGTCATCCCCGCCCTCGTGGTCTGCTACTTCCGCTTCACAGCCGAGGAGTCCGCCGCGTACAAGAATGCGCACCAGCGCGGCCAGATCGCGCAGGCCACGACGCAGCAGCAGGCCCGGCTGAGCTTCATCCTCCGCCACTACGGCGTGAGTCTGCTGGGCACGGCCGGCACGTGGTTCCTCTTCGACATCGTCTACTACTCGCAGAATCTGTTTTCGACCAGCATCCTCAAGGTGGTGGGGCTCAGCAACCCGTCGCTGCAGCAGGTGACCACGGAGGTGGCGTTTGTGTCGCTCATGGCCCTGCCCGGCTACTTCGTGGCCGTGTACGCCATCAACCGCCCGGGCCGCAAGAAGATGCAGCTGCAGGGCTTCTTCTTCATGAAGATCCTGTGCCTCGTGATGGCCATCTTCTGGGACGACCTCAAGGAGCACTCCATCCTCTTCATCATCCTCTACGGACTCACGCTCTTCTTCTCCAACTTCGGCCCCAACATGTCGACGTTCGTGCTGCCCACTGAGATGTTCCCAGGGCCTCCGAATATGGCATTTTTATTTAGTAGGTTGGGCGTTGCTGAATAAATTATCCCCTGACGCTCCTACCAATACAACAGTACAATATGGCATTGCCCCCAACGTACCACAATAAATAATGCCATTATGAAAAGCATGAAGTCTATTAACAAGACACCAGTTAGCTTATCATCTAGCTCAAATTGTCCACAGTCGTTGTATCCCAGTACGACCGATTCTGGCGGAGAAACAAAATCGTCTCAAGCGTGCGTGGCAGCAGGCCGTCTCGTTGATGACCAAACGTCACCCGAGCAATGCTGAAGAAGCGTTCCACCACGTTCGACGTGGGTGGGATGCTCTTCAGCTGCTCATACTTGACACGGTCCTGTGCAAGCCGCCGGGGCTTCCGAAGACGCTCCACGAACGACGCGGCTGGATCCTCCTCCTCTTCACTCGCGGCCGCGTCGTCCGGTCTGGCAGCTTCGAAGGGCTGCAAAGCGGCCTTTTCAGCACGCGTCAGCCGCTGCGCCTTCCCGCGGAGAACGCGTACACACCCAGCCTCAAAATCTGGGTTGTGCACAATGTTGGCCCGAGGCCCTGCAAAATAAAAACCATTATACAATTGTTAGTGAAAATATTAAACACAAATTCAACAGTTATAAACTTACCAATGTAGCGCCCATATTGTGGCTTGACAGCGATCAGCTCGTCGAACCACTCGCGAACGTCCAGCAGGTCGACGTCGTGGCCTTGAAGGGCCTTCGAGACCGACTCGATGTCGCACAGCTCCTCGTACAATGCCCGCAGTCGCTTGTTCATCGCCGGCGGCGGCAGCAGGTCCATGAGGTCGTCGTCTTCGGCGTCAAGAAACTCGAGGAGCTGGAGGTAGCGCCGTACCATCTCGAACGTAGAGCTCCAGCGCGTGTCCTGGCGAATGACAGGCCGAAGTGGCGTTTTCAACCAATTTTGTAAAAAAATTACAAAAGTACACAAATTGTGTTAGAGACATATTGACACACCACACATACACATTGGCGCTTACCGTAGTTTGGCAGATTGGGTGAGAGTACGCAATTTTATCATGAGCGTCTGCACAGCAGCCAGGTCCTCCTCATGCGACGCCATGCCCGCCTGAACAGCAAGGTTCAGGCGGTGGCTTGCGCAACCAACAAGCGGCACACTCATAAGAGTTGCCAGCCGCCGGTTTACGGCGCAGTTGTCAGCTACGAGGAAGCGACACTGCACCAGCTGTACGCCGTAATCGCGCGGCAGCATGGTCGCTAGAAACTCGAGATGACCCTGCGCGGAGAGATCGTCGTCCAGCGCGTCCAGCAGCGGGGCCATGCTGAGTAGCGTTGTCTTGGGACAGCCGTTCACCTCATAGCACGCGAACACGGCGATGTAGTGCTCAGATGCGTGTGTCCAGCCGTCGAGCATGATGCCGAAGCGTGCTGGGAGCTCCGACGCAATCGAACGCTCGACGGCGACGACGACCCCGTCCATGCCAGCCCGCAGCGTTTCCTCCGAGATGGGGTCCAGGCTGGAGTAGCTGAATAACATCCATAAAGTAAAGTTGTTAGTTTCCGTAGTAATGTAAACACAATGACCTTATGCATACACGTACCGCCGAGCTTCTCGGCTCTCACAAAAAGAGAGTGGCAGGTTGCACATGACAATCCAAACCATCCAGCCGTGGAGGTTGAGCGCCGAGTGGCGGACGAAGTTCACGAGGGAGACTGTCTCCGCCGTCGTAGCGTCGAGCATGACGGTCTCGTAGTCAGGGTGCTCCCGCCTGATATGTTGCATCAGGTTGGAGTACCCGTTCCTATGGGTTTGCTTCCGAACCGTGCCGCAACGGCAACGGAAATACTCGAGAATCACCTCGTCGTTCTCGTCGCGACACGGGCGGAAGTAAAACCCCGAGACTTGGGAGTTCGTGTAGGTAGGGCGAGGGGGGCGGATAGCGCGAACCATGCTGGATGAGGTCTTGGAGGCTTGAGAAGTGAAAATTGAAAAGTGAGCGCTGCCAAATGAGCTGCAACTAGCAACGCAGACAACCAGTGATTCCAGTTCTTCTGAACGACTGGAAGCGAGAAGATGGCTGGTAAAACGCTAACATTATTATATAAAGGTAACTGTCATAAATTATGTAATATCACAAAGCACATCAATAAATTATCACGGTAGATGGCTGAACCCGCCGAAATGCGTAATTTATTGTTATTTTCTGAAATAATGTTATTGACAATGCTATTTTCGGAGGCCCTGGATGTTCCCCACGCCGATCTGCTCGACGTTCCACGGCATCTCCGCTGCCGGCGCCGCCATCGGTTCCTTCGGCTTCTCCATCTGGGTCGAGAACGAGAGCTACGGCTACTCCGGCGCCTTCTACACCTTCGCGGCGATCTCTTTGGTTTCCATCCCGCTCACGTGGTTCTGCGTGTTCGACAACACCAAGGGCATCGATGAGATGGACGCCGACTTCTACCAGAAGCTGCACGGCGCCGACGACTTCACCCGCGAGTCGTTTAACTCGCTGGCCAAGATCAGCGACGCCGGGAGCGTCAACATGAACACGACGCCGGGTGCCTACAAGCAGGTGTTCACGCCCACGACGCTGGTGTAAGGTGCAGTATTCCAGATCCAGAATGTAACTATCTAGGATGTACATAATGGTATTAACGTGAGCTGTGGCAGCGAGTCTGCTTCGCTCCTGCTTCGGTTTATCGTAGTGCACTAGGATTGAGTGGCGGGGAGTAATTATTATCTGTTGCTAATTTACTGGTTCATCTGTTGCGGGCAAATCAGCGGAAAATCTGTTGCCCGAGTCGGTTTATCTGTTGCGTGGTGTAGGGGACGAAAGCAACAGGTTTTCGGTACGGAAATCCTGCAACAGATTACATGTCGAGTTGACTCGGTATATCTGTTGCCTATGTGAGCACTTGTTGTGCTTATGCATCGAGTAAGAGCACCCCTGCTATTTATCCGAAGGCGGTCGATGCTTGATAGGATTCTTTTAAAGGGCTCGCATGAATTTCGCGAAGGCTATGTGAAAGTAGGATGGTCATAGCAGTAGATTTATTACTTGAAGGTCATAACACCGTCCTCCAGCTCCAAAAGATGCTACGCTGCACATTTTCCGCGTCTGGCGTCGGCTCCTGTACAGTCCCGCATCACCTCAACGTCTTCAGGCATCGGATCTATTGCGCCTCGCTCTACATGCACTGCTTCTTACTCGAATTACTGTTGCTCTGGTGCAGGCAACCCCTCTTCGGGCGCGGACTTGTGATCCGCCTCGGACTAGGCCAAGTTTGGATTGCGCTGGATCTAGATTTAGATGGTTGGGCCACGTTCACCTGTACACATGAACGCGAAATGAGCTTGCTTACCTGTGCATGTGACTAAGATAAATAATAGTTGCGTGGTCTCCAATAGCTCTTCTTCGCTCGTTGTTATGTAGCCGCCAAGGCATTTGCCCCTGTGCGAGCTTGTGCACGTCGCGAATACATAGTACTGAAGGACTCACTGTCTAGTGCCCACGCTCTTCGCACGAGGGGGTAGCTTTGCACTCTACTACCTCAGGAAGCACCCGGAGGAAGTCCAGCTTCGCTTCCTCATCGAACCTAGTGATCATGGAGCCGGTCTCCTGGATGCTGCCTGCAGTCCAGTAGCAAGCGTACTCAACCGTTTGGCGCTGTAATATGAGTTTTAGCTCAAACAAAAATCTATGCGGATAAAGAGAGTATGGAGATCGAGAGCGACAGTGGATGACGAGAGCAGATCCTAAAGTCCCGCAGACTGGAGTGAACTACATAGTGCAACCCCGTAACTTAGACGAAGGGCAGCGGTGACATCTACGGTACTGTAGCCACTCGCAGCTCCGAAGCTGTTGTCGGCGTGGCCGACGGATGCTCGTGTTAATGCATTGTTCCGTTAATGTCACTCTCAGTGGCCACGTGCACTACATCGTACTACCCAGCGGACGTGAGTCGACACCTCCGTCCGATGACTTCACGCATACTTAAGTACGCGCGCGATCGGGGCTACCACGGACACAACGGCTCTCATTACTACAATTGGGGCTATGGCTATGACAAATTCGACCCTCAGGGCTACCGCTCTTACGACCAAGGCCGTTCTTCCTGTGATGATGGCTATGGGGGTCGTTATGACCGCTCTGATCGTTATGACTCACACAATGACTAGGAGGACAACGTGACGCTCACCGCAGTGATCCTTCATCTCGTGGATCGACCCGTAAGCGCGTGGTCTGCTGTTAAATCCTTGGAAACACTGAAGAAGCTGTAACTCATCCCTGGCACCAATTGGTCCAGTAGCACCTCATGCGCTTTAAAATAGGTCACACACTCTTCGCGATAGGCTTGGACGTCAAGAGCGCACCCGTGGCGACGTTGACTTGCCATACCTGTGCTGCTGATGTCGTAGCACGCCTGCGCCAGAAGTCACAGTCCTCGTTGGCCTCTAAGGGGAACGGCAAGCTATCATCTGCATGCAGCAATAACTCAAGCTGCTTGCAAAGTTAAGGAATGACTATCGCAGAATAAATCCGTAGCAGACCGCTGAGCTCGCCATAGTCCCCGAAATGGAATACCACAAGTTCATGCATCACCTTCCTGAGCAATAGCGGGGGTGCTCTTACTCGATGCATGAGCACAACAAGTAATCACCTAGGCAACAGATATACCGAGTCAACTCGACATGTAATCTGTTGCAGGATTTCCGTACTGAAAACCTGTTGCTTTTCGACCACGCAACAGATAAACCGACACGGGCAACAGATTTTCCGCTGATGTGCCCGCAACAGATGAACCAGTAATTAGCAACAGATAAAAATATTCTCCCTTGAGTGGCTCATGACCGTCGACCACGCCAACCAGAACGTTCATTTGTCGAGGAACTGTGGCCATTTCTCGAATCTGGCATACTCCGGGTGGTCTAGCAGATATACGCTCTCACCGTTGCGGCGATCGAGAATTTCTCTTGGCTTTTTGTTGTTGCTTAGGATGTTGCGCACCATTTTGGCATCCTCGCGCGGGAGGCCACGGACCTTCATGAGGAGGTAGGTGCCTAGCCCTCTTTCCTCTTCTTCTTTTTTTCAGTGTCTCTGCATTGCGAACCGCCGATGATCACCGATGTTGTCACGGATGGTCGTGATTTCAGTTGTGACCGTGCACCTCTGAGCATCGCCCACATCTTGCCAAACCAAGTGGATCGCGTACTTCGTCACTCCCCAACTTGTTAAAACACCCGTCGGTAGCTCGCACTCTCAACACAGTACATGCGCTCATTCAGCGTCTTTGTTTTCGTCGTAGCTGCATCCATCGTCTCGAGCACCGATGGATATGGCTCTTGTTATCCAGTTCGGCGCCAAGGCTGTTCTATCTGCATGTGACGGTGATCGATGAAGCTGTGTTTACTCTGTGAGTTGGCTCGGTAGTACTAGCAATCCTCTCGGTACGTCAGAACCACTGAAATCCAGCAACAAGTTTACTCACTCCGCAATCGGCGCGCACACTTTCAAGACTCTGCATCAACTCGAAGTCCCATGCGCGCGCTCTACTTTGTGTTACTGCTGGCGATTTTCACTGCTACCAGTACCGGCCTCGACACTGCTGAAAACTCCGTTCTAGTGAAGCACAGGCAATCCGACAACGAAATCGCTGGCCGCGACCAGCAGCGCTACCTGAGGACAGAGACGAAGGCTGGGGCTGGAAAGAAACTCGAGATACTGGGCATCACGGCTCTGGTCAAGAAAGATGGAACGGCGCCAACTGAAGAACGAGGGCTTGGCAAGCTAGGGGGCCTTGCTAAGGGGAAACTGAACTTGAAAGCAATTCTGCTTGGTGGAGCCTTGGCGGCTGTGGTCGTGGTGCCTGTGGGCATTGGACTTGGCATTGCCTTGAAGTAGCGTTGCGACCAGAAGATCGCTGTTCGTGCTGGCATAGCGGGTAATATATTTTTCATTGGGCAACTTCTGTCAGCTCCTAAGTAGTTTACAACCTGGGCGCGCAGAAGTTCACAACGCCTGATGTCCTTCATCTCGTAGTTTTTTCTGCGTGTTTCGTTTTCTCTCCGTGTCCACATCACCACATTTTTTTTTTTGCGTCCGTTCGTCGGTTCATCCGGTCGGATCTTTCTTTACTTGGGCTGCTGGAGGCGGCCGGTGCGCGCCGGTTTCTGCCGCTGGCCCTCGAACGAGCGCTTGGGCGCCTGGCGCTGCCGGAAGCTGTCCTTCTTCCGCAGCGCCTGCGGCTTGTCGGCGTCGTCGTGCGCCACCTTCTCGTGGTACTCGTCGTGGTGCGTGCGCTGCTGCTCGAGCTTCTTGACGGCCTCGCGCAGGTGCACCGAGTTCTCCACGTCGTGGATGAGGCCGTTGATGCGCTCCATCTCCTCCACGTGGTGGCGCTCGTTGGCCGGCAGCTGCTGCGACGACGGCGAGTCGGCGTGCTCCACCTCCTGCAGCAGCACGAAGCCCTTGTCGCCCGGCTCGGCCGCCACGGGCATGTTGTAGTGGAAGCGGTTGTTCTTGGGGCTCCAGCGCACGCGCGGGATCGAGTCCATGAGCACGGCGTCCGCGTCGACGGTGGGCGGGGACATGGTCGCCATCTTGGCTTGGATCGCGGGGGGGGGGGGGCTTGAGTTGGTCTTGGTTAGATCGATAGTGAGACCGGAGAGGGCGGCGAAGCGGCGCGAGGTGCCCCGAAGGTGCACTTGAAGTTGCATGGATACGAGTCCCGCCGCTTTTCTGCGACCTGTGGAAGTACAGACAATCCTCTTTGGAGTGACATCCCGAATAGGGATACCCTCTGATTAGCACTAATAATAAAGGCTCTCCCGATGACCAATGGTTTACAAATTCAAGTCAAAACATCCTCTAACCTCCGGATAGTGTTTAGTGATACAAGATTAGGCTTTATCACTATCCAGAGACCGTTAACTATGTGAATGTCCATTTCGTAAAGTATGCCGGGCAAAGTTCCACCACAACGTGGGTCGCTTGCGACCATGAATGGACTGGACTATGAATGGACTCAGATCCTCTGGATTCGCGCACATATTATTAAGTTTGACATGTTTGTGATTCTGGAACGTGTATTTATCATATCAGCATGGGCGCTAGACTAGATTTCGCGTTGTAGCTGCCTGTGCAGTACTCCCAGTTCCATTTGAATAGTGGATAGCGTATCGTCACGCTTCGTGCCATATAGTTGTAAATATTATAGCATCCAGCACAACAAATACTTTTATCTTAAGGGCCCAAATACCAAAACCAAGTCAAAAATCCATGCCGATTGATTCGGGATTCGAGAGATTGACGACTCGAGCGACATTCGTACTACGACAATCGTAGACGAGCTTCAACTTCCTCTACTTGATCTAGTGAATGTAGGCGAGCTTGTTGCTCGGCTTGCTACTGTCGGACCTCTCTGTCACCGACATGTTCACGCTGCGATGCGCGGCGAGGTCCGTCGTCATGATCGGCAGCGTGTCCTGGAACTGCGCCGCCGACTGCTGCAGGTTTTCCACGTCGAGGAGCCCTCGAGCCGCGATGAGGCGGAGGAGGTTCTCGAACACCTTGACGCACGCGTGGGGCGACGAGATGGACACCATCCCAACCTCCTGGCCAGGTTTGAGGCACGACACGGTCCACGGTTCGTTCATCGGGTCTGCGTCAATGCCCGCGTTGTACTGCCGAGCTTCTTCGATCCACTGGGTCTTCCGCGTGTTCAGGATCCGAAACAGCACAGCGCCCCAATCTTCCTCCGTCTTTTTGGCTGCCTCCGTCTGTCGAGTACGCGTGCACAGCTCTCGATACGCCTCGATTACGAGACTGAGTGCCGTCTGGAAAATAGGACGGGACAGGATCACTTCTAGCAGCGTTTCAGAGCTCAGAGACAACAGATCGCATGCCGAGATGGTCTTGACCGTGGACACGCCGACCGAGTAACCCAGCAGACCTTGATCTCCAAAGAAGTCTCCTCTCTTGTAGTGCAGGCCTGACTGCTGCGTGTCAGCAGCATTCCCGCTAGCTGTCGTGGCCATGAGGTGGCCTTTCACGACGAAGTACATCTCCTTGGACACGCTGCCGTCCACCAGCACGCACTCGTCGCGAGGGTATCCTTCGTACTTGAGGTGCTGGGCGATGGCTCGAGTGATGGCGTCCACGTCCCTGTCATGAGGGTGCGTCGTGGCAAATGGGCGGAAGACGTTGTTGATGAAGACGCGCAGTGGCAGGTACGCGATGTGCATGACGGACTCGGTGCGAATGACTTGCGGGATCTCGTCGAAAATCGCCTGGTAGTTGACGCCGCGGTGCGAGCTCCAGAGCGACGACAAGAAGGCGTGCGACCGGGCCCTCAGCTTGCCCGTAATGTGCCACCGCTCGAGATACAAGTCGACGGCCATGTGGTTCTTGCGGAACTCGACTTCGTTGCTGATGTAACACACGTAGAGGTTCGCCATCTCCCCGATCATGTAGGCCATGGTGACCAGACCCACGAAGTCCACGAACAGCGTGAACGTGTACTCACCGTACGTCGAGGGCTCAAACACTTTCCCCTTCTTGACAAACGCAGTGGACGCGAAGAAAATCCCGCGAAGGAAGCGAAGCATGAGCAAGTCGAGAGACGGGTTTGACCAGGAGTTGACCATCACGCTGCGAGGCGGGGACCAATTGTCCCAATCGGCTTCATCATTATTTTGATCATTCGCTGAAGCTAGCGAGAAGTAGACGCAGGCGCACCAGTGCATGAGCACGAAGAGCAAAATCCACAATGTACACAGCCGATTCTTCTCGTACGCCATGCTGCGACGGTTGATCTCCCTCATGTAGTGCGGGAAGTTGACGAGTTTGAGGCATCGATTCAGGCACAAGAGCGGCGACTGGTAGAAGTCCGAGAGGAAGTGGTCGATCGGGATGGCCGAGATGACGTCGATCCAGAGACGCTGCCTTTGATACGCGTCGCGCTGCTTGTTCTCGTACAATTCCAGTGACTCAAGACCGTCTTTCAAGTTCCAATGCACCCAGATATCCCACCCGAACAGCACCTGACACGTGAGCTCGATGACTCGCGCGACGATCGGCAGCGGGCTCAAACGCTCCAAGACGTCGTATGAATTGCGGTACGGAACTATCAGCGCCATGTAAATCGTTCCGAACGCGATAATCTTGAGCCATTGAACGTGAAATGGGCTCTGTGCCTCGGTACACTGCAGCAGCATGTCGACCCAGAGCACGCTGTTCTTCTGCCTCGTCATTTGTAGAGTGATCGGTGTCTCAATTGAAGCCGAACGCTGCGCTTTATAGGACGAGAAAAAGGACCCGGCACTCTTCAGACTTCCTATGGGTCGGGTCGACGGCTTTCGCATCGCACGCTTGACACTAGGAGCGACTCGATCTGTTGAACTCCCAGCCGAGCTGCTTCCCGGCAGATTCGGCCCCAAGTCTCCCAATATGTCGGCGTGGTTGAGCATACTCTTGGAGGCTTTTGCTGCCATGTCCATCTGCTCCTCCATGTACAAGTTGCGCAGGTGTTGCTGCTCCTGCTGAATATTGACGATCTTGAGCACCTTCCGCTTCCAGTCTGGATACCGCTCGAACACGAGCTCAAGGGAGTGTCGAGAGAGTTTATACAGCACACAAGACGTCTTGCACCGAGCGTGCGCACTGCGAGGCTTGCTCGTGAACAGCGCGACCTCGCCGAAGTAGCTGCCACTCGTGAGTTCGTTCACCTTCTTCAACTGATTCTTGGCCTGCAGCTTGGACGGGTCCAAAGGAGTGAAATACGTGTGGAACGATGACCGGGAGGCCGGGGAACCCAGCGCATTCAACTTTGCATCGTGAGACTGGCGGCGATAGAGCGTCTCGAGAGGCACCAGAACCTCGATGATACCCGTAAACACGAAAAACATGTCGCTCCCTTCTTCTCCCAAGTGGAAAACGAACTGGTTCTTCACTGCCAACGCCTGGACAAACTGCGATACGAGCATCCGCGTCACCGAGCCTTCCATCCCGGCAAGGAATCCGACCTTGGAGATCATCGGCTGGAGGTGAACCAGGCGGATTTCGGTCAACAGGGAAGGAGGAAGGCAGCGCTCCAGGAGATATTCCTGCGTGATCGTGTGGTAGCGTTGGAAGAAGAAGTACGTCTTGAGCTGTTCCTCAATCGCTGGCGGGAGATGGAAATGGGCTAGTAGAAGCCGCAAAGAGCTGAGTTTTCCGTTGAAATCCCTTGAATTGGCGTCAATGAGCTCGACAACATCTGAAATATTCCCCACCACGAACGCGAAGAGGAAAGCTCCAGTTAGGAGGACGACGACAGTGAAGCAACACTGAGCCGCTGTCTTGGGCAGTTCTCCAGCGTAGGAATTCGACATCAAGCCGAACGACCAGAACAGCGACGCGGAGTACTGCAAGTGCTCGTCAGCTGACTTCAAAGACTGACCAGGACCCCACAGGTTAATACCCGACGAAAGGGAGTCGCTGAAGTTGAACCAGATGCAGCCGAATAAATGCGTCACCATGAGCGATACCAGCACCACCTTGGCCAGTCGTAGCTGCAGCGTACGGTTTAAATGTTTGTTTTCTAGTATGGATAACATGCCAGCTGCCCGAACGAGACGCAGCAGTTTGTTGACAGTTAAGAGCTCATAGCGCCTCGACCCAAGCATCCAATTGACAACGTAGAGCGGAATCAACGCCAGTACGTCGAAGTAGCACTCGTGAGAGCGGAAAAACCTCTTGCGAATGACCTCAACGTCCATGATTTTGTTGCCGAAGTCGTAGTAGCCAAGCCGCGAGCGGAAAAAGAAGTCAAGCACGAAAAAAGTCTCAAAGAATACGGCGATAATCTCCGACCCCACAGCTTTATCCGCGTTGACTCCAGAAGTGATGTCGCTGATCACTTTGAGATACAGCGCGATAGTCAAGCCAAAAATCCAGAGCTCCCAAATCTCCGTCGTGCTTTCGTCCGGATCGAAAACGATGTCTTCAAGACCCAAATACTTTAGCACCTTCACCTCCAATGTAATCTTCTTCTTAACGTCAGGCATCGGCCTCAAGCCTCCGCTAAACGAGCGTTCGCGACTGCTGTAGTCTTGCTGTGCTCGAGCGAGCTTGGCCCCGTCCAGTCGCTTCTCCAATGCTCGTAGTGCCATTGAAAACGTCGGGAAGACCTTGTGCATCCAGTTGAGATGATCGCGAGACACGAAGATGAGAATGCAGCCGCTTGCCGCCGTCACGCGCTCACTGTAGCTGACGGATGTTTCACTCAGATTTAGAGCAGCCGTTCCGATGAACCCCCCTTTGACGATCGTGCGAGGCATTCCTCCGTTCACAATGATAATGAGCTCTCCTTCCAGTAGGAAATACAGGCCGCTAGCGTAGTCTCCCTGGCGATAGATGATCTCTCCTTGCCCGTACAGAATGAACCGGACATTGTCGATGAAAGCTTGCTCAAGCGAATCCAGCGAAGCTCGGACGTCTGCCAACAGCGACAAGGTGCGTAGAGCTGGCTGGCACATACTTCGCACCACTGGCCGTTTGATAGCCTCAGGCAGCTCATTTAATAGGTCACCAGCGATAGCGCCACGGTGTGAGGACCACCAAAACTCTAGGAACGACTTGACCCGCTGATGGACTTCTGGAGGCGCAGCTCGAGAGTTGATAAAGCGCTGTACCCGAGTACGCGTCGCTAGAAACTCCTTCTGTTCGAACGCCGACGCAGTGATTCGCTTCTGGACGTAGTCGACCATCACCGCCATGGAGACGAACCCAAACACCATCAAGACAAGCGCCACACAGTATTGGAAAGCTGTCGATGGCTCTGCAGTTTTGCCCAGAGCTGTAAGCATCGTAGCTCCGAAGTAGAGCGAGCGCGTGTACTGCACACCAGCCAACGCGTGCGCCTCTGCTTTCGAGTATGAGGCATTCGTAAGAGCACCGACGTATTTCACTGTACCATCGGAGGGCTCAACTAATCGCAGTAATTCCAGATCATGGGTTGGTAGCCACGAGGTTCCATTGAGGTTTTCAGTACTGAAACCCTCGAGATACGTGACGCTGAAGTACGCGCATGCCACAAGATGCAAGACCAGCAAGTACATGACCCCCGCAGCTACCACACAACCCGTTCTGTTGATACGGAGGGCCTCCCATTCTCTCAGATGCCCTCTGATGCGCCAGATCCGAAGCAACCGCGGTAGACGTAGCAAAGCCGGGTGTGCTGCCAGCAGTGAAGAAGCATCAGCTGGAACCATTAACCCGTACGGGAGCAAGCAAAGCAAGTCTGCTATGAATGCCCCGCGCAAATATCTTCTTGCTATGAGCGAAGGCTGCGCAACTTTTTTGCGGTTTGTCATAAACGTCAAGTGGAAGTTCAGGTACATGTCGACTGCCAGCAGGATGTCCAAGATGGCATACGTCGCCTGTAAACTGCGGTTCAAGCTGGGACAATCGAGTATGGGGAAGGCGAGAAGCAGCGGCACGATGAACCAGTTCGCTGTCAAATGCGCTTGGAGCAGCACCAGCCAGTATTTCCGCCACGGAGAAGTGTGGTCAATCACCCGCTGCATCAGTAGTCGGGATAGGATGCTGCTAGCGTCGCCACCGACTTGTTGAGACCCACGACGCCGAGACAAATTGTCGTAAAACCCTTGCATCGTATCTGGGCGCGTGGCAGCGGAGCTTTTGATACTTGTGGTGCGTTGTGCCCACCAACCTCCAACACCCGACGACACTCGTCGAGCGTACGCTGACTGACTTCGAACCAATTTTCCTGAAGGTTTCCTTGCGATGACCGTAGGTGGCAGCTCGATCGGCTTCGCCATGAAGTTGATGGCGCGGTTCTCGTTCATGGAAATGTTCCCTCCGTCGTACTCGGAGTGCCGCGAAGCCGATAGAACCAGAGACGACTTGCTGCGCTTTAAAGACGCGCGCGCTACACTTTTCGCTCGGTCTCGCAGCGACGGCCGCTTCCTCCTCGCAGGCGGCTTGGTCGATAGCTGGAACAGCGTCGTGAGCATGTATTCCTCCCCTCCGCCTCGAGATTTCTGGTTCTGCCGAGCTTCGCGCTCGTCAATCATATCGTCTATCGTCGTTGCAATTTGAGCCGCATAGTCAGGATAACCCTCCAGCACTCGCTCCGTGTGGAAGCGTGACAGACGATAAAGCGTGCAGTACGACGTCGTCACGACTGCAGCGGAGCGCGGTCGCTTGGAGAAGACCGAGACCTCGCCGAAGAAACTTCCTTGGCGCAGCTCGCGCACCTTCACACCGTTGACCAGAATATGCAGCACCCCGGAGTTGACCACGTACATGTAGTCTCCCTTGTCACCTGCTTCAAACAGTGTAACATGAGCTGGGAAGCTCGTCATCTCCAGCAAACTCGTGAGGGCCACAATGAACTGCTGGTTGCAGCCACGGAAGAGCGGGATGCGACCCACCATGTCTTTCAGAAGCTCCACCTGGATGTCCTTGGTGATCGACGGACACAAGAGCTTGACCACCTCGCGGTCGTTGGACTCGGCGTCCGTGTGGTGGCGCTTGAAGTACTCGACAGCCTGCACCTGCAGCGGTTCTGGAACGCGGTGAAACGTGAGGAGGTGCCGCAGCTGATTGATCCGAGCCTGGGCCAGTTTGGTCTGGTTGCTCTCGGACTTGGACAGCATGAGCAGTGTCGAGCAGGAGTAGACGAACAGCACAAAGCCCAGCAGCGCCACGGTCAGCGTGAAGGCGAACTCCGAGCTGAAGCGAGGCAAGGCGCCCTCGAAAGCACCTGTGAGGAGCCCCACGCTCCAGAAGAGGGATTGCACGTACTGAGTGGTCAGAGATTCATCTTCCATTGGGGCAGAAGGCAGCCAAGGGTTCGACGCAGCGCTAGAACTGCTCCGGCCGAACGCGAAGCGAGCACAGGCGACCACATGCGCCACGAACGTTGTCACCACTAAAACTTTGAAGATCTTGAGAGACCGGAAGCGCTTGGAGTAGACGTCGTCCAGATTGGCCAGGTAGCTCGGAATGCGCCAGAAGCGCAGCACCTTGTGAGCTTCCAGCCACCCGAGCGAACAGGCCCCACTTGATGAGACCCAGCCAGCGTTGATCAAGGGCAGAATGACCGATAATGGTAGAATGGCCAGCACGTCGAGGAGAAAGCCGAACGACTTGAGGTACTTGGCCCTCGCTTTGCGTTTGTCGCGGTGGATGTTGCCAGCCTCGTAGAATCCGGTGTTGAGTTTCACGTAGAAATCGGCACCGAAGAGAACTTCCGCCGCGTAGAAAGCCCGAAAGGCCGACGTTGATGAAGGGAGGGCGTCTGCAGCTGCGAACGTCACTGCGAACGGCAACAGGAACGCCTCGTACAGCAAGCAGCCGAACAATAGTTGGTGCCAGCTCTTGAGCAGAATCGAGTGCGGGTCGAAGGCGTTGCGCAAGTCGCTGATGTAGCCGTAGAAGCTCCCGCTGCTGCTGCCCTCGTGGATCAAAGAGCGCCGGCGAGCACGAGTCCTCATTGCGTTGCGTGTGGTTCTTCACTTTGACGCCCAACGGTCGTCAAGTTCTGAAACAGTTTCTGCTTGGCGGCCGGTGACGTTAGAAAGTATTGGGCTTTACACGGGGAGTCAGAAGCAAGCTGAAGTGAGGTCAAACGGTTGATCAAGATAGTACATTTTCATCAAAATCAAGGGGCTCCTAGTGTCCCTGTGAGTAAGGCCCACGAAGATCAAGCGTTCCACTGAGGGTCCGAGTCTCGCCCGGAGCGATTCCGATACAAAAGCCACGTACTTAAGTAAGTCCATTTCCGACCCCCGACTACCTCCATCACTACATCCCCTGGAACCCCCTAAGTCACCCCCCTAATGGAGCTCCCGATTAACCTCTGCAACCGCATCCCCGCCTCACCACGACTTCAGGAAGGGAAACCGATCAACTTGGAAAAGTTTAGGGGAACTCACTTAGACGTCAAAAAAGTGCCAGCTTCCAGTAGGCTCCGAAATAAGTGCCTAAATATACGCCACCAGGTCAAGTACCTGGGGCCTTCTCTCTCTCATCAAAAACAATTATCACACGGATCTTTGGAGAAAAAGGTTTGGAGTCCATCGACGGCTTTTCCACTGGGTCCCACCCAGATCAATTGTCGAAGTAACAACAAAACTTTTCGTCTCTTACGGACGAATGCAGCATGAAAACGCTGAGGCCCCTGTTCTGGTGCAGGAACACGTTCTGTGCTGAAAATTAGAATGAGTCTTATTAGATCACCCTCACTTTACGTTCACAGCCGTCTAAGTTCGCACTCGTTGCACTTTTTGCACACAGATCAGTGTGCAATCAGTGGGCAAAATCCCTACATTTTGCAAAGCCATCAGAATTTGATCCTCAGATGCACCTGTACGAATTCATTAAGTTCACGTGCGAACTTTCCGATTCCAAACATTATCTATACAGGTAGACTGTACAACTGTATGCGCACCTATTTAGAGCAGCTTCCAGTACTCTGGTCCCGATTTTGCTCATTTTGCTCTGAGGGTGAAGGTGCGGGTGAAGCGAGTTTCGAAACCTATCTATTGGTCTAAATCATAACGGCACACAGTACCAATTTGGGGTTTTGCGTTCCGACACACTGCAATTCAGCCTCCGTGCACAGATGTGTTCTGGTTGGAGCACACGCGTGCTAGAGCAGTCTGACTCTCAAATGCCATTCATTTCATAGCTTCCGAACTACTCTATGGAGCCTAAAGCTGTTGCTATCGCCGCGGTGCTGCTTAGCACATGTGCTACAGCTCTAACTACAGCCACAATTGACAAGCGGAGCTGTAGACGAGCGCCTTCCACTGTTTCTACTTTCTCTACCACTACGTTTAAGCAATGACTGCTGTTGACACTGATTGGTTTCACCAAGAAGCTATGCTGTGATCGCGCGTCGTTCTTGCGCCTTTATCGGGAGGTGCATGCTGCATACAAGCGCAAGCCCGCAGCCAACAGTAAGTGCCCCCTGGTAAAACGATTTGCCTTAACAATGATGTACTTTGCGCAGGGCGGAACCATGGACTCGGCAGCCTCGGTGATGGGGATATTACGCCCCCGCGCAGTGGTCTACATCAACGACTGAATTGACGTCCTCAGCTCCATGGCTGCCAAGCACGTGGATCTGCCCAGCGCAAGTGAGGTGGAGGCGGTGGAGGCTGGCTTTTTTAAGGTGGCAGGCTTTCCCGGAGTAGTGGGGGCTGGAGATGGAACGCTCATTGCGATACCACGCCCCCATGATTTTGAGGGCTGGTATTACCGCAAAGGCTTCCCTGCCGTAAATGTGCAGGCAATTGTCGACCACCGCGGGTCCTTCAGGTCTATCTCGATACGGTCAGGCTCTAATAATGACCAGTCTTTGTGGAGTCCGAAAGCGGTAAGTTCATTTGCATATTGCTCTTTCGCGACTTTGATATTTATTCTGACCAGTGCTGCTGTGTACCAGTTTACCTGACTTCGTCCCTCCTGGGAAGCACTTACTGGCGGACGCTGGCTACAAGATATGGGGCCACATGCTGACCCCGTTCCCAGAGTCCGAGGCCATTGCTAACCGCCGAAAGCGCGTCTACAACCGGCTCCACTCTCGCACACGGATTGCGGTAGAATGCGCCTTCGGACGCCTCAAGAATCGCTTCCGAATCTTACTGGGAAAGCTGGAGCAGAAGACGCCTAAGCGTATTGGAAAGGTAATCCAGAGTTGCGTGGTGCTACACAATATGCTGCTGGCTGTACAAGATGGCTACGTGGTGTTAGACACTGACCCACTCCGGCCCGAAGCGCACCACCGTGACGAAAATGGAGGACTTGTGGTGTCTGAGCAACCGTTTTCACACCTTTTAGGAGTAGCAATACGAAACGATCTAGCCGACATTTTCGTACCTTAAGCTAACGCAATGGAAGCGAAGATGTTTGACGAAAAGCAGTGTTAATCCTTATTCCTAGCAAACACCGAGCTCGAACTTACGCTTGGTCCTTAGGAATAAGCTGCCGAAGCAGCTGCAGCTGTAGCGCCTGGAACTGGCGCGTTTCCTCGTGCTGGCGTTGCAGTGTAGCCATCAGGCTGCTAACTGTGATGTCCGTCGAGGTACCAGCAGTCAGCGACGCTGCTGTCGCCTCCATACCAGCCTGCATAGCACCAGCCAGGTTTTCGATGGGCGAAGCCTTTCCGCGACTCGCAGTAGTTGTAGGCTCATCTGCCGATGTAGCCACTACTTCACTGTCATCAGCATCCAAGTGCGAGTCCAGCAGGACTTCGCCGCTAATGCCAAATCTGCCTGAAAAGGCATCATGTAATATGCTCCAAATAGCATCGTCAATTTCGCGCAGCTCACGCGCACAGTTGCCCGTCACTTTGCGGTAGATGCACTTGAGTTTGCGGTACGTTTGGGAAACCTACAGGCACATACATACAACACGTTATACGTAGCACAGCACATTGTTGCGATGTAAGAGGTAGGCACGTACTTGATCGGTCTTGATGACCACGTCAACTGACTGCGACCACACGCTGGCAAAGTACTGCCACGCTAGCGCTGTCTGGGTCTTGGTCTGCGCAGACTCCAGCAGGCGCTTGACGTCCCCGTCTGCAAAGCGGAGACGAAGCAGCTCAGCGATCATGTCGTTCAACCATTTAAAGCGCTTTGATGACTTGGCTTTCTTCGGACTTGGGCCGCGCGACGCCACTACCGGCCGTTCTCCCTGCGTGCCCGGGTTACTAGTGTTGTCGCTCGTGTTTTCCATGCTAAATGCCAAAGCGCATGGCGATACTGTATGTGCTAGCTTCTTGTATTTGGGAACGGAGGTTGGTTGGCTATGAGGGCAGGTAATGCATTGGACAAGATTCACCGCACGTGCACCTAATGTCTTGGTGCACACGTAGACAGCTCCAAAGTAAACCTAGCCCCAGTCAGAAGGTGAGGGCGGAACGCGTGCCGGCACCTGAACCAGGGCCTCACCTGCCAACCATTTTCTGCGATAAGATCATTGAGAGATCATGATAAAACGAGAGCTATGCGTAGGCTGGGATAGCTAAAGAACTTTGTGTGAGATAAGTAAGGAATCTCCACCGCGGCTGCACTGCGCAAATTACGAAAAGCAAAGTCGGCCGTTGCACGAAGAAGCTTTAAAATTTACTACTAAAGTACAGCATTCGTTATAAGGGAAATGGCCAACCTCGGACCGATGGCCAGTTCGGGGCCGATTCTGTCGACCAATCAAATAAGTTATACACACCAAATAAACATCTGGTTGGCCACTTATAGTGTACCATACAGGAGACAGACTGCGACTCTACAGTGAAATCAAGTAAAACGAATCGGCCCTGAATAGGCCAGGACCATCATTACTGACGCTGTTGTTTGGTCGAGCCTATTGCGCTTATTTTTAGACGTCGCAAGCTATGAATTAGTCGAACAAATCGGCAGGAGTATCGGCTTTTCATCGATACCGTTGCTGTGTTTTACTTTTATGTAGATCAACAGACCCGAAATTGGCCATTTCCCTTATGTAATTCTGCGTTACCCATACAGCGCATTTCCTGCGCCTGCTTCGCAGCCGCAGCATCTGCTTCGAGCCAATTAGGAGTTGTACGTGCTCGTGAACCTTTAGTCTGTCGAACATTATCTTCTGGGCACACAAACGTTTTTTTCATTCACTTCAGCAAATTAGTATACACGAGCAAGGCTTCGCCGATGCCTCTGGCAGTTTCCTGCTACATCCAGCTTGGGCGGATTCATTGCAACACATCCACGGTTATTCATTCTCCGGCATTGACCTCTATACGAACGCCTCGGGGTGCCTATCATAGACAGAGTGGAGCCCATAGGTACTGCCTATGGGCGGGTGTGGATTACTTTCAATGCCAAAAAGGTGGAAGTTCGATGCATCTAAAAACAAGGTGGAGGTTCAAGGCACTTAGAAATGAAGGCGTGTGCCATGTGGTGTAAGCAACGTGCATATGCAGGATGACCCCTAGTCGATGAGAGCTTCAATCTAGAAGATCTTTCCTGTGATGTTAAGACCCAGTGCGGCAGACGAACTCAGCAGCTCTAGTTGATCGAGTTCGAGCTGCAGTTCACGACCATCTTGAATGCGAACCGTCCAGCGGAAAAATCCTGTGGGGCCCGAGCAATCCAGCCAGTCTATGATTTGGCCGGGCATATAGCGATTCGTCACCTGGTCATCAATGCCTGTGACTGGCAACTGCTTCATCACGTTCCAGTTCATTGGCATTGCAGGTCGCTTTTCAAGATCGACCATGAATTTATCCTTGGCGAAATAGCATGAATGGGAAGGTTTTGGGAGGTTGCTCAGCTCCGGGACGTTTCTCAGCCTCGGGATGCTGCCTCGGGACGTTGCCCATGTACGGGCTGTCGCCCATGTCTGGCACGCTGTTGATCTTCATGGCATGCACCACCGGGGCAGCTTTGGAAACAACAAATGGCCGTTTCTAAAACGGAACACATACATGCATTGAACCTCCACCCTTTTTTTAGAAACATTGAAACTCCACCTTTTTTGCATTAAAAGTAATCTCATCCCCCTATGGGCTCCACTTTTATAGTCTACGACGTCAGTATTTACATGTCTGCATGATAGCGAGTGTGCCATTCTGCATATTGGGAACTCCAGATAATCAACAACACGGTTAATATTTATCCACCCCTCCAGCAACTTAGCACATGTAGTGTAGGTGCTTATGTGCGAGGGGATTGAAGAAGTGAGATATCGTTTGATGGGTGTGCTCCGCGGCAAGCGCGGCACTGGAAGTGCGCGATGTACTTCCTTACCTGTCAAATAATGCTTTGCCGATGGTCTCACCGCGCGCGGCGACAACCTAGTAACGCTGGCCAACGACATGCGGACTGGTAGGGAGCTTCAGCGGTAAGTACAACTTACACAAAAGTGAGCACTGAACGAAAACGGAACAGCTCGAGCTTGTCTCGGATTTAGGGATGGAGAGCATAGGCAGTGAACTTCAGTTACCGGGGCCAGTTTTCCGGCTTCAGTATTACTGGCTTCAGTTACCGAGGTGCCGCCTAACTAACCTGTGTTGGGCTGGCCACAGCACCCTCCGAGGACTGCTACCCCAGAAAAACAAATAGTTTTCAACAACAGTTGATGTGACGATTCAAGGAAACAAGTTCGTATTCGGTCTACCCCCGCGTACAAGGCTTAAGAAGCACCAGGCAAGCAACTATCTACATAGTCATGCCTTCTCCTCCGCTAACAACGTCTGCATATTTTACTTGCGATTCTCCACCAAAGCCCAAAGTCTTGTCATTGTCAAAATCGATGACAAAGTGTGTTTCATCAATGTTCTCAATCACGTTTTCGTCGTATTTACCCCTTTCGAACCCCCGTTTCAGCTCACCCAGGTGTGCCGCCACGCTGTTTTCGATCACTGCAGTCTTTTCCGGACTTAGCTAGCGTTTCCCGGATTGCGCTCGAAGTATGATGTTGTGGGTTTCCATGAACGACTGCACCCAGCGCGTGTTAATCTTCTTTTCCAGCAATACGCCATTCGCGTCCGCCTCTGGGGCACCCGGTCGGCGCAGCATACGCAACGCCAACTGACGTAACAGTCCATAATCGAACTTAAGTCCGAGCTTACGAAGGAAGTCAAACTCGCTGCAAAGCCGAGGATATATCCAATTCACCAACGCACTTCTTTGCCGCCCACGTCCTTTTACAGCTTTAGTGTTGACTCGCTTCCTTCCGGTATCCCTGCGAGTCGAGATACTAACCGCGCCACCTTCGCAAATGTCTCCCGCTTTTTCCACCAATTGATGGCCTTGCTCAAATTCGCATTGCGGGTGGCTGAGATGAAAACATCGGGAAACTCGTCAACAGCACGGGCACACATGTTCTTCTTTCCTTTCTTCTTCATGTAGCTTTCCAACCATGCAATCACGCGCCGGCGCTGTTGGATTGTGCTGACACGCAGCGTAGAGCGGCCTAATTCGGTTTCCGGGACGTCAGAAACCTCAGTGTCATCATGGGCAAGTGGAGGTTCGTCCCCATCCTCTGATTTCGTTTCCTCATTAAATGATGCAAGATCAATGCTATGATATTGCGGACACTCAGTAGCACCCCCTTTGTCGGCAACCTTGCCGCGCTCTTTCTGGAGAGACAGTGCTGCCACGATCGGAGATGCTGGTGGCGGCTCCTGCTCCTTGGTTTGGCAGGCCGGGCACAAGATGAACTGACCAAAACCTTCGGCTCCAACGGCAGTGCCGCAAAACGGATGCATGTGCACAAAGCACGAAGGGCAGCGATGTATTGGTCCGGCGTCGTCACCACACCCTCCACATGGCGCCTGAAGGCCCGTGTTAGCGCTCATAATGGCGACGGCGTGCTGTTCGCGCGGAAGTCGGGATGTGACAGAACGTGGAGGAGGTGCGGTATAGCTAAAGATAGTATGAAAAAGGTGATACTAATACTGGGATAGGAAGCAACGTTAGTGCTGCTATCGCAGACCAAATAGGATTATATCCGTGGTACGTCAACTCAAAGATGACCCCTCTTGACTGGGCAAATCGAACCGGTAGGCTACCCATCACACCGGTATGGCCCCGGTGCCGCACTGGGCCCTCCAAAAGGTTTATATGCGTGGGCAGTTTGAACCGGTATGAGTCAGTAACATATATGGAGTGAAGTAAAGCGAATGATTGAAGCGGACGGACTACCCTTGTAGCATACACAGGCAAGTATTTTCATTTCTCTACTAGCTATAAGCAGATCTCGAGCAAGGTTCTTTTCATACTGTGTATAATTACTGCCAAGTCGTATCTTGCATCTTCGCCGTTGAGGTGAATTACCGGGCAGATGGTGCGGCTGCGAAGCAGGCGCAGGAGATGACCGTGGTTCGTAACATAACAACTAATAAAGGGGTTTATCCCAAATAGCGTTGTTGGATGCACGCATTGGATGCATTCCCCGCCTAAATCGATTGATGGCACACCACTTACACAAAATAGATTAGATTCAAAAATTCATTTTGGAGGGGGATTGCGGTCGCAATTTTTCCCGCCAAAAATCTTCTCGTGATAAGCTCGTCAATTCCGCCACCCTCAGCACCGCTGGCGCAGGCAGGGAAACTCGTAAGTATACGCTGCTCTGTTGCTTGATGCTGGTCTGTGAGTGTTACGGGACTCTGGTAGTGCCTACGCATGTCATGTCTAGATATCCGATCACTAAGTGAAGAGAGGCGCGAACGCGGCGGTCACGACAAGGATAGCAGCCTGCAGCAGTTCACGATGTTGAGTCCGCGGCAAAGGAGTGACGCTCTACCTGTCGTTGAGGCGGCCCTTGCGCTGATTTCCCTCCCGGGACGCTTGCTTTCATGGCGAAGCCTGATTGGACCTACGAAGTGAACTCCGGAGACGCTCACTGCGATGTGTTTCTCTCCGGACCTGATCAACGTTTCGCAATGCCCGCATCGTTGTGCCCCACCGGTGGTTAAGGAGTGGTTAAGGAGTCGTCGACAAGCTCAAGGACAGGAAGAAGGGGTTCCGGGAGGAAGGAATGCAACCAGACGGCTATGTCATGTTCGTAGTTGAGAGGACCAAGCTCTATTTGCCTGGTACGCTCTCTATAGGCAGCAACTTAATTCAAAAGGGAAAATCGATCTCCTTCTCTCTCTCTCTCTCTCTCTCTCTCTCTCTCTTAAAATTCGTGACGTGTACGCTGGCGAAGACCTGCTGTCTAAGCGCTTGCTCGGGTGTGCCCCGGCCTGCCGGGTGCGAGGGCGCAAGAAGCCGTGATATGGCAACGTACTGCTACCGTTAGAAGGCAAGGGGCGGTTTCCTGGTGCAAGCTTGATGATTACTCTGCGTACCGATTATGATTTGTTTTAAAAGAAGGTTGATTACTAGCTTGAACTTGTGCAAAAGGGCACAGGATGCGCCCTTTAAGAGGGGGTACACTCTACCGTGTTTTGGAAAATCATCTAAAGGGCGCTTTCTGTATCCTTTTACCGCGAAAGGGTTAACATACTGTACGACTATCATGTTGGGCGAGTACCATGAAATAAAAAAACAGGTAAAAAACAGCTTGGGCGCTGGGGGGTTAAAACTAAACCCGTGGAATCTTAATCCAGAGGAGGTAAAATCACCACAGTGGTTTGGTTTGCCAAACCCCAAGCGTTGATTGAATTCATCGGAGTGACGATATATGATCAGGTAATGCCTTTGAAAAGGAACTATCAAACTTGGTAGACGTAATTGTACAATGGCAGATTAGGCAGATGCAAAGCAGACGCAGGAGATGCCCGAGAACGTTGTTTCCTTGTACGAGTATGCATACACGCTAGCTTCGAGTCATTCGCGTTTTAGACGGTGACCCCGATCTCTCCCAATGACTAAGGTCATCAGTCGTTGTAGTCGTTAGGAAAACTAAGTGACCTAAATGTACCTCAATTAACAAAAACAAAAAAACAGCTAGCTTCGAACTGCGACCCCCCCGGGTACACCACCCGGGTAACTGGTGCGTCGCAAGTGCGGTGCGTCTAAGTCGTCTGCGCTGTGCGTTTGAATGACTGCTTTGGTTATAGCGATAGTGACGGCGCGGCCGCGGTGAAGATGTTCACACTACGTTCGTTAGCTATCCCAGCCTATGCCTACCTCTCGTTGATAAACTTGGGCTCAACGAATCGTATTCGGGTCTCCTGGTTATATATTGTCACTATCAGTTGATTACGCGCGAGCCATGATAGCGCTTTTGCGGCACAAATTTTGCTCTAGCACAGAATTCGAGTCAAGAAACACGATTAGTTCAGTCTAACTGCGGGCATCTTCTGCGCCTGCATCGCAGCCGCAGCATTGACCCCATAACGCGTCTATATGATGGGCAGCCTAAACACCAGCTCTAAAAACTATCAATCACGTACGGGGCCGAAGCACCACGACGCAGGGCGCATCCGCAAGGGGTATAGTCTCGCTGCCACGCACGCTACACCAGCTCCATTTGCACATTTAAATAAGTACGTGTACGACAATTATAGTTGTTCCGTTTGCAGAACTTGTCATCCCATAACATCAACGCAGATATTCAGTATATACTGGGATAGGAAGCAACGTTAGTGCTGCTATCGCAGCCCAAATAGGATTATATCCGTGGTACGATAAGTCAAACGATGACCCCTCTTGACATCTAGCTGGTATATTTCTTGAAACCGGTAGAACTCCGGTGTTGCACTGGGCCCTCCAAAAGGTTTATATACATGAGCAGACTGAACCGGTAGGATGCCTATCACACCGGTATGGCCCGGTGATGCACTGGGCCCTCCAAAAGGTTTATATGCGTGGGCAGATCTAACCGGTGTACAACCGACGACACTGGTATGATTCAGTACATATACTCGAGCTGTGAACGAATTGAGTTAAAGATAATGATTGAGACGGACTGTAATAGCACTAGAGATAAGAATTTGCATTTTCAAGCTGCAAACAGATCTCAGCCAAGGCTCGCGTTTTTAATTTTGTAAAGCATTGCCACTTGGTATTTGGAATCTATAGACTTAGAGCCAATTTACGGGCAGATGCTGCGCCTTCGAAGCTGGCGCGGGAGATGACCGTAGCTCATAAGAAAAGTAATCAATTAAAATAAAGAGGAAGTTTATACCAAAATCCTCCTATCCAAGCCTTCGCGGAGCCCTAGTTTCAGTTCGCAGGCTTCAGTTACCGGCTTCAGTTTACCAGAGCCAGTTACCGGGCGGACGCCGAATTAACCTGTGTTGGGCTGGCCACAGCACTCCCTCCGGGGTTACTGCTATCCAAGAATTAAATTATTAGGACGAAGTCCCCTCTATAATAGCGCGTTACTCTCATTTAGCTGTTTTTACGACTCAGATTAGCTTTTTTACCAAGGGTCAATATTAATTACTAGAATCGGTTAGGATCACAATTTATTTTTCACATCGACTGCAGCCGAAAGCGGCAAAAATCTGGGTTTAATAACATAATGGCTATCAATAGAAGGTAGGATCAGTCGGTTTCATTTAGAAATAAAATGTTGTCACTAATTGACAATGCCATAAAACCTGAGGGTCGAAGTTACGAAACAGTGATTGCGACGGTTAGTATGGATGATGTCAGAAATTGTAACAGGGTTACACGCACAAGCTACAGTCACTTGTAACTCTAACAGACACGACGTCTGCTAGAGGTTTGAACGACTTTCTCGACCTTGGGGTAGACACACCAAATGCTACATACATTTAGGATCACCACGACGGGTGGTCCATAGAGACTTAGGATTCCTATTGGCTGAAAGCAGCATCTTTTATCCAATGAGCGACATGCATAGCATTGGAATTCTGCCAACCAGCCGTTGGCAGATTCCTAGTATAGAATATTACATTTAGAGGAAGTCAGAAACATAAAACAAAAATAGCAGTTCTCATTTTAACCCAAAAACATTATTTGGATCGTTTATTTAGATTAATCTATACTCGGAGGCCCGAGTATAATTAACTCTAATTTAAACTAAGCTACGCTTCCTCACATACACGCGCACACGTGTAAGCTAAAGTAGTGGGTCAAAGTAGACCCATTACAGAAATAGCTTAAAATGCGATGTTTAACTCAGCTTGGATATCCGTTGGACCCCTTGTTAAGGCTATTTTACCTGTCAAATCTTATGGCTTCGTAAAAAGGGTAGCCTGTAAAATGTCTGGACAGTGGCCGGTCACATCTGCCGGGCGAGATCAGGAGCCATGATAGAATATCGTGTCCGTTCCGACATCTAGAATTTCACATTACAATATGACAATAGATATTGCCCTATCATAAGCCTTAGTCGGACTTTTGGGGCCAATTGGCGAAATCGGACAATTCGGACATATTTTGTCTGATCCTAAGAAAAAATATTTGATATGTTCATAATGAAAGCAAGACGATCTCATATTCTAAAAACACCGTGCTCGTTCGGACACTTATCGATTTGAACAGCGATCTTGCACTTCATGAAAGTCGCCATCACCAAGCACTTGGTGTCTAGGGTCTCAATGCTGCACGAGCACACCTTACTAGAAAACAACGCGCATACACAATCACTTTAATAAATACTTATGTAAACTTATTTGTAGTACTGCGTGCTATCACTTCTCCTTGCAAACGAAAGCAGGTCCTCGAGCGCCGCTAGGTCTTGGGCGCAACGATATCTCTCAGCGCTCTGTACTGCATCTACTGCCGCGCCCTCCTCTCCATTCTCTGCCTGCGAATCCTGCTGCTGCTGCTGCTCTCTTTGCTCGGTCGGCACAGTGCTGCGCCCAGCGAACGTACGCTGCGGCCATGGCCGCCAGGATGTCTCCAGTTGCTGTGGTGACTGTTGTACTTGTTGGTGAAATTAAAAGAGAATGTATTGATACAGTTTAAACAAGCTAGGAGCTGTCTCCCAGCCCTGGCCTAGTGTTTGTAACGTGAATGGTGCTCGTACGCTAGCTCCTGCTAACCAGCCATGTCCTTCTTGTAGTCCTTCCACTGTGACGCACGTCACAGATGTGCACGTCACAGATCGCTCTGCTTACACGCTACGTCTCGTTGAGCACGTCCGCGCGGGTCTGCTCCTCCTCCGCGCCTTCTCCATCCGGCACGGGGTCCTCGTGCTCCTTCGTGCTCTTCGTCCGATGCCGCTGCGTCGTCTGAGCACATCGGACGCGCGCCTCCCTTGCGGCGCCACCTTGCTTGTGCTTTGCATCTGGATGTCCATCGCCGCCTCGTCTTGTGCTGGTAGGATCGCATCATGAGTTGTGGGCGCCATGTCTAGATCCTGCCGGTGCATATTCCGGCCTCGAGGCCAGGCACGTAGTCAGAGACCGAGCCGCAGCTCACCCAACCGTCCTGCACGGTGTCCACATGGCCGCCGTACAGCTCATCCTCTTCCACGCCATTTCTCCGCCTGACGCCCAACTGCATCGCATCCGATCTGCCGTTCCGCCCGACACCAAAAGCCTGCTCATGCTACTGGCTCCGAGGGGCCCCGACGCTCGGCCGAAGCCTAGCTGCAGTCCACGCCGCCACCGTACGCCCTAACACTGCAGCTGCTGATCCCAGGAGGCCATTACCCTGCTCAATTCCACGCAGCCGTTAACGCACATGCCGTCCTGCACCGCACCACCACTGCACTGTTGCTGCTGCTGGCCTCCAGGGCTGCCATCCGCCTGAGGCCACGCAGCATTCCACGCACCCGCCGTCCACACGAAATCATCCTCCTTTGTCGTCCCGCACGACACTATCGCATCTTGTGCTGCTGCTGGCCTCGAGGACAATCAGCCCACCCGCACTCGAGTCGCCGCTGCCGCTCGTCCGTCCTGCTCTGGATCCTGCGGGCAACCGTCAAGGGGTCCCGCCGTTCTACACGGCGTCCTCGTCCTCATCCTGCTCGTCCTGCTCCTGGCCTAAAGGGACATTACCCACCCCGAGGCCGAGCAACTGTCCGCCCCGCCGCGATGCACGACGTCCCCTCTTGACCATACTGCCGCTGGTCCCTAGGGCCCTATCCATGCCGCCATCGTCCTTCCTGCAACTCCTGCTGGTGCTAGTCTCGACAGCGAACACTTGTCCGGTCAATCGGCAGTCCATGCTGCAGTCCTGCTGCTCCTGCTGCAACCGCTGGCCCCGAGGTCGATCACAACCCCGAGAGCCACTGCTTGCCTTTTTGCTTTGTGTTTTTTTCAGTGAGCGCCACATTATCACTGTTAAAAATCATATATATATATACTTTTAGAATTGTCCGAATCCAATTTTCGTACATCAAATTGTTCGAACCTGCACGGTATGATGGTGGAGCTCCTTGAGGCTGATGATGACCCGACAGCACCGGCCGAAATCGAGCAGGTGTCGGGGAAGCCTAAAGTCCATTTTTCTGCCATTCTCAACGAGGTTATTTTGGTACTTGAATCAAGGTTTTTCGCCTATCCTCGACAAGGTTTTTCTGGTAAACTCGACTTTTGACCAACACGTTTAAGGTTTTTCGGGTTTACTCGACGATCATAGACACGCCACGTAACACATTCAGTCTGGATTTTGCTGGGTGGCGCACAGAGCTCGATACTTCGCTAAGAGTGCATCTGTCTGGTTTACTGTCTAACTACCTCTAGCACGTCTTGCGAGTATCCGGGGGCAGGGTCACGGACTGCTGCTGTCTGGAGTAGACGTTGGTGGCGCTCGATCTTCGCGTTGAGGTCGCCCGAGCGATGGAGGACCCACAGATGCTTGAGGACGGCGCTTGAGCCACGCGACGTGATGTTGCGCTCGGCGAGGAATACGTAGATGGTCTCCTCCGCGCGCTGCCCTAGCTCGAGAACACGATCGCGGTAGTCGGCAGAAGTGGTATCCAGCGTGAAGTCCTCCGCCAAAAACAGCTTCATGAAGGCTACGAGCAGCTTGGCATCGGACTTTGGATGCTTCGAGATCGGCGCCTCCCACATCCGCGGCGCCTGGGCGTACCACGCAAACCATTTAGCATGAAGGTGAGTTGCAGACCCGCGTCTGCGCTTGGGCTTCTCTTGATCTTCGCTGGACTCTTGCTGACGTTTCATGGTCTGTCTAGCGCTTTGTTCCCATCTACATTTGCTTCTAGGTTATCCGTGCGCTCATCCTGGCGTTTTATATGCTGAATTAACTGGTCAATGACACGGCACTGATGGTCGTTGATCTTGCTTGAGTAGCTTGGTTCTTGGGGCGATGGCTCTGCTTGTTCCTCTCTTGACTTAGGTTCTCTGTTTCCAGAAGGCGCAAGATAATAGCTCAGCAATCGAAGCCCCCGCGCTAACGACAGCAGCTTCGATGTGCTGAACAGCAACGCCTCCAGCTTGAAGCTCCTTCATTTGGGGGTAGTGCAAGACAAGGTACGCAGTGAGAACGTCAGCCACTTGCTGACTGATGTTGTACTTTAAGCTTTCCATCTTGTAGCAGGTCGCGAACAACAGCTTCTGGACTTCGAAAATCTTCTGCTGCGTCTCTGCATCAAACGACTTCAAGTTCAGCGTTTTTACCGCTGCCTTCGTGCTGTATCCGCTGAGAGCCTTGCTAACCTTGTGGTCTTCCCTGCTCGTGTTGAGGATGTAATTGAAGCCCTTGTTCGTCGTGCTCATGTTCCAAGCGCCTCGGTCGAAGATCGAGCGATGCGTCAGATCGTGACAGCCGTTCACATGCTGCGCACCACCCCGCCGAAACGAGTGCGACGTGAGCAAATCGACTACGCCAGCTCTGTGTGCAATGCGGTTCAGGATGCGGTTGCCGTGCGTGAAGATCGTCGGTGTGGTGTCCTTGCGTGCAGGTGTAGCGGGAGCAGGCGCAAGGTCGGCAGGTGCGGGGGCGCTCCCAAGAGCGGCGAACTCATCTGGATGGTCTAGGACATCCACCAGCGGTGTTGCTGGGGAGAGGTCTACCGCGGCTTCAACTTGGACGTCAGGTAAGTTGTCGATCAAGCTGACGGGCGGCGCCGTCTGGGTGATTATCGCCGCGGCTATCGCGTGAAGCGGGCAAGTGACGAAATCGGTCCCTGGAAACAGCGAGAGTCCCTGTTCTTCGGACGTCTTCATGCGTATGAAGCGTACGAAGAAAACCTCTGCCGCGTCGATCGAGAGGTTCTGTTTGCGGACAAGCGACAAATCGGAGGCGTGACCAAATATGTACCACAGCAGACACAGTAAAAGCGGCGTCTTGGTAGTCACTAGAGGAGTGTACGTGCTGATACAAATACACCATCATCTTTTTTAGGTCACTCTTTGAGCACGGTGGTGCTTTGTTGACTCCTTTTCCGCCTCGCTTCATGCAGTAGCTGTCGAGAGTGTTGCGATTGTACACTTCGCAGTCTAGTTGTGTGTCTTCGTATCGAGGCACGTGCTTGCTGTGAAGTTGTTGCCAAAGGTAGGCAATTGTGGTACACGTGGTGGAATACTGGGGATTTGATTGGCGGAGCCCCTATATTTGACACTTCTGATTGGCTGAGAGAAAGGCAAGTTGAAGTTGCCTTTCTGGATACGATCTGCAACATTTACTTTTTGCTCCCCCGCCTCTCCTACGACGAAGTAGGAGGTATGCGTTGGTACGATTCATGTTTAGGCATAGGAGACTAGGATATGATCGTTAGTTTGGCCTAACTCATTCTAATTCACTCTCGGATTTCCTTCCTAACCAACACTCGACTACCAAGCCTCACCCGCATAATCTCAAGTGGTTATGAGCCCAAGCTACGCAGACACCGCGAAGTTCGTGGAAGACAACTACTTCCACTGGGAGTTCAACATGCGGATGAAGCTGCCGCGCAAGCGACTGCTGGCCCACATCGTCAAGCCAGAGTTCGACCAGCTGAGTGACCGCTCCACGGTACAATGGAAGACCGACGATCTGAAGGCCCTTGGTGTGATCGCTGGGGACGTGAGTCTCACATAACAAGTCTACATCCGTGGAGCGACAACCGCTGCTGAGTCGTGGCGCCTGCTTGAGGAGCAGTTCAACCGCAACACTCTCAAGAATCGGCTTGTCGTGACCAAGAAGTTGCACAACTTCAAGATGGAGCCCGGGACGCGGTTCGCGGCACATGTGGACCGGTTCAAGGAGCTGGTGCTGCAAATGGAGACGATTGGTGAAGCTCTGGACGAGACTCGCCAACTCGTGCTGCTGCTGGGCTGTTTGACGGAAGAGTACCGGATGATCAGTACCGTACTCGAGAACACGCCGAACATGACGTTGGCGTACGCGATCCAAGCTCTGTCTGGTGTTTAAGTATCTGAGGATTCGACATCGGCTCGGGAGAAGGCATTTGCAACGAAGAAGAAGTTCCGCAAGCGCGGGTTCTCCGGGAAGTGCTTCTACTGCAAGAAGCTCGGGCACAATGAACAAGAGTGCCGCAAGAAGAAGGCCGATGAGCGACGTGGACAAGTCGCGCAGGAGGCGTCGGACTTCGCGTTCACGGCTACGGGTGCAATGGCGAAGTCGGAGTGGCTTGTGGACTCCGGTGCCAGCTCGCACATGACCAGCGTCCGGGACAAGTTCATGTCCATGAAGGAGCTGAAGACGCCAGTCCTTATTACGATCGCGGATGGCACGAAGATCGACGCAGTTGCAAAGGGCACCGTCGGATTGAAGCTGATGGACGGGACATCCGTCACATTGTCGGATGTTCTGTACATCCCGGAAGTTGATGGGAGCCTCATCTCGGTGTCGAAGCTGGCCGAGAAGGACGTCGACGAGCAATTCAGCAAGGACAAGTGTGTCTTTCCATTTGGCAGCGTGACGGTGATGGAGGCCAAGCGCTGTGGAAACGTCTACAAGCTGAAGACAGTGGGGGACGAGGTGTGTCGTGCGGCGACGACATCTCGTAAGGAGCCATTGGCCGTCGTGCACGCCCGTCTCCGCCACATCCCGTACAAGCGCTACGAACAGCTGTTGAGCATGACCTATGGGGTACCGCGCATCGCGAGCGACGTGTCGATGGATAACGTGTGCGCCGGATGTTGCATGGGGAAGATGCGCGCTGACGACTTCCCACGTCACCCTCAAGAGTGCAGGTGTACTCGACTTGGTGCACACGGACGTCATGGGTCCGATGCAGGCCAAGACACCTGGAGGCTGCACATACGCAGTGATCTTCATCGACGACTACTCAAGACATGTGACGGTGTACTTCATGAAGGCGAAATCGGAGGTGCTGTCGAAGTTCAAGATCTTCAAGGCAGCAATGGAGAACGCAACGGGCAAGACGATCAAGCGCCTGCGTTCGGACAATGGCGGCGAGTACACAGGCAAGGAGTTCAAAGCCTACCTCGGCCGCAACGGCATCAAGCATGAGAAGACGGTGCCGTACACGCCTCAGCAGAATGGATTGACTGAGCGCATGAACAGAAGTTTGGTAGAGATGGCGCGCTGCGTGCTCTACCATGAAGGAATCGACAAGAAGTGGTGGGCAGAATCTGTCAACACGGCGGCCTGGATCATGAACCGGATCCCGAATTCGGTGACCGTCAAGACACCCCACGAGATCGTGCACCGAGCCAAGCCTCAACTCAAGAACATGAAGGTGTTTGGTGCACTCGGCTACGCCCATATCGCCGATGAAAAGCGTCGGAAGCTGGATGCGAAGGCGTTCAAGTGTCGATTCCTGGGCAACGAAGATGGTGTGAAGGGATACCGCGTTCTCAACGTGGCGACGGGGAAGGTGCAAATCGTGCGCACTGTGAAGTTCATGGAGACGGCTGAACCCGACCACCTGATGACACGCCTGGAGATCGACGACGATGAAGAACCGATTACCACGGGCCCAAGCTCGGAACGAGTACCTGCATTGGTGCCTGTTCGCGACGTTTCGACTGAAGTTGAAGTTGGCAGCCCGACTATGTCACCGAATGACGTGACGACAGGTGGAGCAATCGTTCCGTACACTACCCATCCGATGATTACTCGGTCGCATGCTCGTCACATTGAAGAGACCAACGATCCTGAGGAACCCGGAGCTCGCAAGAAGCAAGTCGTTGCGCCATCCGAGATCAGGACGAAGCGTCAGAAGGTGGACCGAGGTCGCGTCAAGTCGGACGAGAACCAACTCACTATCCACGGTGGGATGCTGATGGCTGCAACGGAGGAGGTGCCAAGGTCGTATCAAGAGGCGATTACGAGTGAGGATCGTGCCCAATGAAAGGCAGCGATTGCAAGTGAGCTCAAGTCGCTGATGAGGAATAAGACATGGAAGTTGGTGCCCAAGCCCAAACACCAACGCGCGATTGGCTGCCGCTGGGTGTTCGCGTTGAAGCGCGATGAGACGGGGAGAGTCGTTCGGTACAAGGCTCGTCTCGTGGTCAAGGGGTACTCGCAGCGCCATGGAATCGACTACGAGGAGACCTGGTGTACCTGAACTCCATTCGTGCGAAACTCGCGAAGGGCTGCGCCGACGGAATGGAGATTGGCCAGTGTGACATCGACACTGCGTTTTTGTATGGAAAGCTCGAAGAGGAGATCTACATGGTGTTGCCTGAAGGACTTCGAGAACTGCTGGATTTGGCTGAAGCTCAAGGTGAAGATGACGTCGTCTGCCTGCTACTGCAGAGTTTGTATGGACTCAAGCAAGCGTCTCGCGTATGGAAAGGGACGATCGACGCGCATCTCAAGAGCATAGGATTTCGAGCTGCCGATGCCGACCCGTGTGCCTACACGAGAGGTGCTGGTGACGACGAGTGCATTGTGTGTCTCTACGTCGACGACATGTTGATTGCATCTCGCCAGCGGACTATCATTGAATCGGCGAAGGCAGGCATCGCGGACAAGTTTCGCATCAAGGACCTCGGACGCGCTCGATTCATCCTTGGCATCGAGATCGACTACGACACGGAGGCCAAGACGCTGGGCATCTGCCAGCGGGCGTACAACGCGTCGATCATCAAGAAGTTCGGCCAGGAGAATGCGAAGCCGTGTCTGACTCCACTCGACCCAAGTGTGCAGTTGACCAAGGCGGACGAACCCCAAACCGAGGAGGACAAGGCCAAGATGAAGTCGAAGCCGTATCGCTGTCTCGTGGGAAGTTTGATGTACCTGGCGTGTGGAACTCGACCGGACATTTCAGCTGCAGTGGCCAAGCTGAGCCGTATTCTGGAGAACCCCGGTGAGAAGCACTGGGATGCTGGTATCCGTATGGTACGGTACCTGTTGAAGACCAAGAATCTCGGAATCGTTTACGATGGATTGCTTGGCACGGAGCTCGTCGCGTATTCGGACGCCGACTGGGCTGGCAACCGCGAAGACAGACGCTCTGTAAGCGGAATGATGCTGATGTTGTGTGGTGCTCCCGTGGTTTGGCGATCGACTTTTCAGAAGACGGTCGCGCTGAGTTCGACTGAGGCGGAGTACATGGCTCTCAGCGAATGTGTGAAGGAGGTGGTGTGGATGCGACTGCTGCTCAAGGATTTGAGTGCGGAGCAAGCTGGACCTACGGTGATCTACGAGGACAACCAAGACGCCATGGCGTTGGCGAAGAATGTCGGCTACCAAGCTCGCACCAAGCACATCGACATCCGCTATCACTTCATCCGCGAGAAGATCACGAGTGGTGTTGTGGAGCTCGACTACATTGAGTCCAAAGAACCAACTCGCTGATTTCCTGACCAAGGGACTCTCGACGAAGACTCTTCGCTGTCTGCTTGAGCGCAGTAACATCACTGAGATGCTCGGGTAGACTGCAAATTGAGTGGGGGTGTTGCGATTGTACACTTCGCAGTCTAGTTGTGTGTCTCCGTATCGAGGCACGTGCTTGCTGTGAAGTTGTTGCCAAAGGTAGGCAATTGTGGTACACGTGGTGGAATACTGGGGATTTGATTGGCGGAGCCCCTATATTTGACACTTCTGATTGGCTGAGAGAAAGGCAAGTTGAAGTTGCCTTTCTGGATACGATCTGCAACATTTACTTTTTGCTCCCCCGCCTCTCCTACGACGAAGTAGGAGGTATGCGTTGGTACGATTCATGTTTAGGCATAGGAGACTAGGATATGATCGTTAGTTTGGCCTAACTCATTCTAATTCACTCTCGGATTTCCTTCCTAACCAACACTCGACTACCAAGCCTCACCCGCATAATCTCAAGTGAGAGTCTTCCCCATGCTAAGCAACTTTGCTTCGACAATATGTCGTTGCACAGGAAATAGCTCGAACAGCCACATTTTGCTCTGGATGAAGTACTGCATGGCAGTGTTCCGAGCAAGCGCTTTGCCCTTCTTACCCTCGTTGAATGCAAGGTACATACCAAACATATCCAATACAGACAAAAACACTTACCCGTGCCATCTTGCTCAATGCATTGTCTAACATTGTCAAACTCTACGTGCTCACTTTTTACAAATGCCATGAATGCACTGATGGCAGTGTCTTTCGTGCGCTTAGTGTTGCCCGGCTTGAGCTCATCCAAGCCCATCCTCGGCGATGTGGTCGGATAGGGAGCAAATATGTAAGTGATATGCTCTACACTAGCAGTTTGAATAGAGATACACATATTTTTTAGACGATACGTCGGAACGGCTGGTGTAGAGGACTTACCTAACCCTATATCTTGTGATTGGTCAAAATTGTTTTTCTTCGGTGTTGTGATTCGTTGTTTATAAATAAAAAAGGTGATTGGTCGATCGCGAGAGACTGCACTACATACAAATTCTAAGTATGGTCGGATAAGTCGTCATATTCACCCATACCAGAGACATATCGATTTGCCAGCCTGGGTGATTTACTGCTCTTCTATTCATATGTATACTGAGGGTACATACAGTATACATGGATATCGTCCTTGAAGACCTAGCTTTGGCGTGTTGTCGCCTGCTCCAGGTACGTTGCCGACTTCATGTTTGCCATTCTGACCAGATCGACTGGGGGACGTCGGCCAAAACTATGTGGTATACATAGTTTGAAGCGTCGGCTCCAAAACAACATGCCGAAGCGCAGCGAACGTGGTGCTCAACTAGTTTTAAAAAGAATAATGTACATGTACCGGCCTTGTTCGATCAGATTCACATGGCAACTGGTCGGACTTCTGATCCGTCTTACTTAAGTTACTTAAGTTAAGTAGGCTGCTTTCTTTTCTTGGCGTGAAACTGATTTTGTAGGAACTGTATTGTTCAAAGCAATTTCGTCTAAGGGCTTCTAAGTACCCCCCCTAATTTAAAATCTTTTAGCTTTTAAGCTTTTAAAAAAGCTAAAAGTACAGTAATGGGTACTACTGTAGTTGTCTTGCTCGTCTGTACATGTATATCCCTGTGGATCAGACATCGGTGCATGTATGTACCAGTATGCGGGTTTGGTAGAACGGTAAACGAAACCCAATCAAGTGTCCTCGGAAAAGCAAAACACCTGAGCTTACGTTCATCTTGCTAGAACAAACGGGTGGTTTTCACTTTATTAACTTTTTTTGTCCTGATAGGACAAAAATATATTGAAATGAAGTGAATTTCGGTTTAGTTCTACACTTTCCCTCCAAAAAATGCTGCTACCGCCTTCATCCAGCGTTTTTGTCTGATCCCCTCTGATTCAATGACGCAGTGTTGTGTGGATTTTGGAGAAGCCAAACTCGAGAAGGTTTAGAATGTTACCGTTGCCTACAGTACATCTATCTAGATATCTTTCAAGGAGTGTTTTTGTCAGTTTTTGCCAACGTTGTTCAGCTGTTAGTGTAACATTCATTCTTGCTTTTGATGCAGATCTTTTGGCTTTGAGTAAAAGAGAAGCAGTTTCCCAGCGATTTGAGAAATCGGAGATCTGTTTTCCATACAAACCGCCGGCTTGTATGGAAAAATAAGCCCCCCCCCCCCGGTTTCAAACCGGGGGGAGAGCTTCTGTTTTTCTCGCAAAGCCCAAGATGGCGGACTATTCAACGCCTTGAGGTTTCGAATGAGCGACACTGGAAAAAAAAACGGAGTCCGACTTTCGTGAACAAGTTACAATTCGCTACGCTGTTGTTGAAACAATGACTACGTGGTACTGCTCTGATTAGTGAAAGACTCACTATTATATAGTGCATTGTACCTCGAACTGCAGTACAGACAACGACGGATAAATACGGTAACGCAAAACCCGGCACACATATGTTGTACTTTTTACAATAAGTACTTCAGATAGCTAATCAGCTTCGAGATTTACACTTGACATTTGTATTTCATATGGTTTTAAGTACTTTCTCTAAATTGGTGTGTACTTTATGCTCCGTTACGTGTACTTTATGTCATTGCCTTGTACAATCTCTATCGTTCCTGACAGAGAATTCTGGCACATTTACTATGGAGGATGCCATTCAGTGGTGCCGGATTTATCCGTCGTTGTCTGTACTGTAGAATGCACGAGCCCCGTGGAAGCATACACATTGTGTCTAAGTTACTTCCACATCGCGTGGACCACGTGTGGTGTTGTACCGTCAATGTCATGCGTAAAGACCTGCACCTCACGCGAGCCACACAAAGTCAATGCTCAAGATTGGATGCGTCCAGCTTACAACTGATTAATCTCCGTGATCAGCCCTCTCCATAGAGCCCGCCAATACGAAGGGGGCTCATTGTATTCAATCGACCCTTTAGAGCCCAGTCGACCTCGAGACGAGAAATCAGCTGCGCCCCGACCAAAATGCGCCTGATTCAGTTCTTCCTGCTGGTGCTCGTCACCTTCGCTGTCTGCTGCAGCGCCCTCGCATCGGCGGAAGACCCCAACCAAATGAAGAACACAGTATCGACTGGGCAGCACCAAGCCGCCACCCGTTACCTGAAGGGCAGCAAGACCACAACCGACATGACCTCGGCGGATGAAGAGCGATTCACCCCCCAGTTCGGTCAGTACTGGGGCATCTTCAGGCTTCCCAGTTTCGCAAAACTCCCCGGCGCCCAGCAGGTCGCTTTCCTGAGGCAGAAATTCGGCAAGGGAGCTGGGAAGGTGATCAACTTGTGGTTTAGGCTCGTTCGTAGGAGTAGTAAGAACTCCGGCATCTAGAGTCTGCGTAACCAATCACGTCAAGCAGATACAGTAGACATCGTATTTATGATAGGTTTTACGACCACTGCGGAGTCTACACCCTTTACCATCAAGTTTGAAGGAAGTGCCAGCAGTTCTAAACGTTTTTAAACAGTAAAATGGAAAGCGTGTGCACAGTTTTGCCTCTGAATCGAGAATTTGCGGGCATCTCGCGCAAGAAGAAAAATGGATAATGCGACTGCCAGTCATAGTACCAGTACGAAGCTGCTGCTTAACTACTACATGTATTATACTACATACTAGTAGTAAGCTTACGCAAAAATGTTGTCCTTTAATTAAAACCCATCGTAAGTTACAGCTTCACTTGTTTTCCTACGTGCTTCGTCAAGCAAGAATCTCGCTTGTACTGTAACAAAAAAAAGCCTAGAACGAATCGAGCGAGAAGTCTTCCGCAGCATCGAAGGAGAGGGAAGGTAGTCTATTTAACTTCAGTTATTGCTTCCTTCAAGGAAGTTCCTTGTAATATAATCTCAGTCGTTTTATTAGCGCCATCTCCTTTTGGTGGAGCCATGGTGCCGGAGGTGGAGCGGATTCCGCTAGTAGGGGAGCTTTGCCAATGCTGAGCGTGAGATACAGTCGTTGAATTTTTGTAGCTGGGCGTGCGCTTTCTTTCTTCGCCACTGCACGCAGTTGGCCAAGACACGTAGCCCACATAGTTTCAATCTGCCGCTGTGCCGTCCAGTGTATTCCTTCGTGTACTACCTGGTTTCGGATCTGCCAGAGCAGCTTACATCCAATGCTGCAGAGTGCCTACCATATTCGTCTGAGAGACCCCCCGTGCTCCTGATCCCAATGTCCGTGCATTGCTGTTAATCGACACTGGATTCTGTCACTGACTGGCGCTGCTTGCCGGGCAGAGAGATAATTCTTGTAGTTGGCCAGGTGCTGTGGCGTCACCTCTCATCCTAGCCGCAGCACCTTCGTCCAAAACGCTTGTGCTCTTGTATATGACCGCGCAATATGCGTGATAGAAAGTTGCCCCCTTACGCAGTTGCTGTCAGCAGCATCGAAAGAAAACATAGATATAACCTTACGCCAGGGTCTCAATTAGAAAGAATTTACTCCTTGGTTTCAGTATCGACTTGCTGCATTGCGCCTGGTAGGAAACACTTCTGGTATTTACTAATCACGACCGAACTTTCTCATAATACTGTATGAAAAGTCTAAGTCTGGCATTTTAATTTTTTAAAAGAAAACGAGGAGATCAATTTTAGTGCGGCCGAGGCGGGGATTGGTCAAACTGCTACAAAGTAAATTCTTGCGATAGACCAACCATGGGGGACGCTTCGAGAATCGATTGAGTCTACTTTACTTTTTGCCAGAGTTGGGCGTGCCGCCAATTACAACGCCTCCGACACCCAGTACGACCGCCAGCCCTGAAAACAAGAAAATCCACTGCATGATGCTCGAGCCTTCCTTTGGGTGCTCCTTGGCGAACTTTTCAACCAATTTGAGTTCATCTTTCGTGAGCTTTTGGGGGTTCGTGACGAGAGACTTGGCCCTTCGCAGCTCCGGGTTCTTCGCGACAATATTCTTCACCTTGTTCATCTCAGCCTCCTTCAGCGACATGGCCCTCATCTTGCCTAGACTCGGCGTCTTCTTCAGCAGAGTCTTGACCTTGTTCAACTCAGCTTCTCCCTTCGTGAAATACTTTAGCTTATTGAAACTCGCCGACTTCGTAAAGGCTGAATCGATGTTGGTGATAGCTCTCTCTTCATCTGCTGTGTTTGCTGCGTCGTCTTCATTCCAAATCGAGTTCTCGTTCCCTCGAAGGTAGCGAGTTGGTTGGTTGTTAGGATGAAAATGCCCCTGTTGAACACTTGCTTCAGGAATTTTGACCCCGCTGGATGCATCAGCGAGCCCCGCGCAGCATACAACGCGGCTGATGGCCACCAGCAAGAAGAAGTCAGTCGTACGCATGGGGCCTTCGTTTCAAATTCTTCAGCGTGATTGGGGGCGGTGTGTTGACACGGCAGCAAAACTGAGAGTAAGCTGGATTGAGGTCAAGGAACCCAGACCGACACTGTGCCTAGGGAACTATTCGGACTGTCAAGTATCTTTCGGATGTGCTCATAACGCAATTTCAGGTTGTGCTTCACGAAACAAATTGCTTACAACGAACCATCCGAACGCACGTAACAAGTGTATTCACACGTAGGATATTTTATAATTTCCTTTCGTGTTAGGGGGGGAGACAGCGAGCGCCAGATCTATGCTGCTCGACATTCGACCAGCCCTCGCAGCGCTATCGGAGCAATAGGACTAATATGAGAAGATATCGCCCGTCGAGTTGGTTAGAGTTCGGTATCAGCATCATCTTCTTTTAGTTATTGTGTTGTACAGTGTCATCAAAATTTTTAGTTGAATATGTACACCACTGTGCCAGTACAATGTTAACGTTATTCGGATAGTCAATGCAACGTTTGGTTGAAGCGCAGCCAGAAATTGCGTTACGAGCCCATCCAAAGATACTTGAGAGACAATCCGAATATTTTTTCCAAGGTACTGTTCTGTATGCAAATATACGTTACTCTGAGACCATGATCCAGAGCGTGACCAGTTATTCCGATTTTGCTGCCGTAGCAACACATCGCCCCGATCACAACTCATGAGGTCAAAGGCCCCATGCGTACGGCTCAATTTCTTTCCTGTTAACGGTAATCAGCCTCGTGGTATGGTTCACCGATGCATCCGTCGTGATTAAGATCCCCGACGGAAGGCTTCAAATGCGCATACTGACCGTAACAATAAACTGGAAGAGGTATCACTGCCCGAACCGAAAGCACCGCTATCCGTTGCTTTAAATGTTTGAGAAAACGGGAATCCTACAACTACTTCGAAATACTAATTAGTATTCGTGACAATTCTAACTGCTGCACCACATCAAAGCGATTTAAAAGCCAGTTGAAGTTTTGCATTGTGTTGACGTAGATCAGCAGCTCTTGTCAAATGGCTTTAATCAGAAACATGCTCCGTGCTAGTCGAGATCCCAACAGAACCTGATCAAATTTACGTACGGACATGGCATTTGGATGCCATGCCCGTTCAGGTAGTTTACGATGCGAGTCTAAGCAGCGTAATTATATTTTTCTCATCGCTCTGCATGAGGCACATGTTATTCTTTTTTGATACAGACAGCTCAACAAGGAAATTATCCTGACTGGTACTGCACTCGCTGTTTGCTGAGGTCAGGTGTATTGTATTTTCTACTGCAGCATTTGGGAGCGAGATGAAACAAACTAACGGCAAGATAGCTCGGGAACAACGAGCGTACATAGTAAAATCTACGTACCAGTACTAAAACTGGCTTGCTGCGACGAACCAAAGGTGATATTCACAGGTCGAAGCTGTGCTTGGCCGGCAGAAAAAAATTGTAACTTACCGAAACCGGGTACCTTTCTAACCGAAATAAAGTACTTGTTAACCTAACCAATTACATGTTAAGCTACGAATCGCTACATATATTACTCTGTAGCTCAGGGGTTGTTTGGGAAAGGACAAGTCTAAGATAAGACTAAAAATTACGAGTTATTACTACAGCGGGCGGAGAAAGTCATAGCCCACCCCGAACTACCTGTGCGGGTCAGTATACTAAGACCAAGTCAAAAAAATGTGCAAGTGAAATGACAACAGAGCTTCAACTCACAAAATTGCCATTTCTTCTTGGTTTCGCATGAATCATTCACCAATCGACGCGGAATCGTTTAAACTATAATCTGCTCGAATTCCATTGGCTATTAAAGGCTGGATTTTGACGAATGGCCGCTCGAATGAAGCCGGTCCAATCTGAGTTTATCTTCGTTTTTGTATTGGATCACCAGATGGTGAACCCCCAAAACGTGATGAATGCCCTCAGACATTGCACGATATCATATCCGTTTCTTGGTTTCTCGGGATCCTGGTTTGCTTATATGGATGACAACATGAGTACCTTTCGCCTCATGTGTACATTGTATCGCTAGTGTTGCTGGATGCAACTGGGTAGGTCGAAACACTGGGCGGGCCTGGGGTGGGCTATGACTTTTTCCACCCGCTGTACTTTTGTGAAAGGTTGCTAAGGATTTCACAAATATACTACGCTATGCATCCGCTGAAGAATACTTTATAGCTGGGCAACGCTTGTCAATATCTCGTGCTGTCATGTCTGCTAGCTCGAGCTACGTAAGCTGTACGCCTCAAATGTTGAAAGCTTAGTACATCGTCTCACTTTAGACATGCTCGCCAAACATGGAGAGGGTTTTAATATTGTCTTCACTGCAGATTTGGATACCTGTATGTTATTATAGGTGGTATTCTGGCCCATAACGAGCTCTAGTTCGAATGTAGACGAAGCGATGAGTTGCGTAATTTTAAATAAAAAGAGAGAGCCCTGTTGGGTGAGCAAATGCCGCTCATTTTGCGAAACTCTGCCGATTGACTACTAAGACTTCGCGGGTGCTGCGATAGCTTTTGTCTAATCCGCATTGCAAGCGGCTTCGGTGCGCTGCACATGCAGCGCACCAGGCACTCTCTGAATACTTTCCCCACTCAATACGATAGTGGCATCAAAATTCATATGAGCAGGGTTCTGCAGTAGCTTTAACTCTCTCTCTCTCTCTCTCTCTCTCTCTCTCTCTCTCTCTCTCTCTCTCTCTCTCTCTGTATATATCTAGCTAGCCTAGCTCAATAGTTTGTGAGTGGATTCCAAGTTTTTGCTCCGACCCAGAGCATTTAATGACCACAGTGTTACGTTTCCAGGCTAAAATGAGACACTGGTCGTCCTCAGTATCTTCTTGACGTAGTTCAAGAACTCGACTTAGTTGACTGTCCGCAAAACGGTTTATTTACCAACTATTCATTCTTGCCAACAACGTATCTTGCTACTGTACTTGATTTCTGAAGCCTTATTAACAGAAATGGCTCCAAGTTGGGCTCCCATACAAAACTAACTTGCGTTTGAACATGTTTCGCTGAGATCGAGCCATTATTGCTGGTAAATACCAGTTTCAGAGGTCAACTTTTGACTAATTCGACCTGTGTACTCCCCCGGGGCGTTCGCTCCGGGTCGCCTATTTAGTTAAGTAAGCTAAATTTTGTGATAAAAACTTCTTCAAGGCGATTTTTTTAAAATATTGCGTTGGCGGCGCCTCAGTGAAGTTGGCACTCTTATTCGTTTTAGTTAGATGCAAATAAATGCCGAAGCTGGGAGCGTGCTCAGCGTTCTACTGAAAAAATGGCGGAGTTTGTAAAGAAAGTGTAGTAGTCATTGACTACTACACTTTCTTTACAAACTTCCGTGTTTTAGAACTACTCCCTCTTTTTTACAAATCACTATTCGAAGAAATCCAATTGCCAAACCAATACCAAATGCAATACTTTAGTAAGTCATGTTGTTTTGTTGAGTAGCTCTAGATTCGTTTTTCAAGACCAAATCGAAGGCAGAGGCGACACGCGCAACGGATTTGGCGAGGCAATACTTTCGGCTTGGCAACTCAGCTCCCGCATTATTCTTGGTCAAATCGAGCTGCGTTTGGGAAAAATAGCCCAGAGAACCGCACAGGAAGGTTTTGGGCTTTACTGGAACTATAAAGTTATCGCGATGTGTACTGTGCAGCTGATTCAGCTGAGCTGAATAAGGAATAGACTCGAGTAACGCGTTCTTGGCCGTTGGAAGTACATGAAGGGCATGGTTTTATGCTTAGTACGAATCGGAGCCGTTGTCGACAGGGAGGCTTCTAGTTCAGGTAAGATAAACCGCACCCAGTCGACAGGGAAGTCAGTTGCTGAATACACTTCGAAGCTGTTTGCGAGAAACATTATGAACGCACCTGCAGGATATAATATAGGTATCTAGATATTATCTTGGACAAGATACGGTATCGTTGGTATACAGCCAACGACTTACAAAGCCGGCAGACACAAAAAGCCGGCAGACGAAGTCAAGCAAAGCTTAACATAAGCAAACCAGCCAATCAGATTCAATCAAATGACTTCATCTTTGTATACCATCTGGTTTTGTGTACTTTATATGCTTTCTTGTGTACTTTATGCAACACGCCGTGTGTTTTATGACAGTTTTACAGTTTTGCCGGGAGGGAATTTATCGTTGTTTTTATATAGGAGGATGGCATTAAGCATGCCGGCTTTGTAAGTCGTTGTCTGTACGCAGTGTACTACTGTAGTCGAGTAGAACCTTTCCACTCTGCCAATTTGGTACAGCAGTTCGTCTTCGCAACTGCACGCTCGACGGTCGCCATCGGTCCATCGACTCGATGGACCCCGGTGGACATGACGGACGCTCGATGCATCAAGTTGGGCCCAAGGTAAGATTATTGTACGACCTAGTATCTACGGTACACTGTACCCTCGCTTAGTTTTCATCTGTTCATCTCGAGATCGTGAAAAGTAGACGCCAAAGCTCCATTCTTCCTAATTGGCTCTAGCCCACATGACGTGTCGAATTATGCCCAATCACAGCGTCTACCGGGCGGGAACCAGCCCCATTTCAGGACAAAAACCGAGTTCATGTCTGTATTATCCCAAGTTACTTGCCAAAAGTATGCTGCGAAAAGCTGTTCGGACGGCGAGATGTCAGATGTACGGAAATTGAATCCCTCCCTCCCATCTCCGCCTACCGAAACCTACTGGAGCCGTTCATTCCCCAATTGACCTTCAACTACGCACGCCTCGTCCGCTGAAAAAGATGCGTTGGGGCTTCTCCCTACTTCTAGTTGCCGCCATCCTCGTCACATGGAGTCATGGCCTAGCCAACGCTCAGCAGACCAACAGCCTCGACACACACCGCGGTCTCCCGGACAGCGAGAAGATCACCAAGGCCGAGATCAAGTCCGCGCTCAAGGAGAGAATGGCTGACCCCGATGTGAAGCTGGCAGTCGGCGAGCTGAGGTCCATGATTAGGAAGAATCCCGAACTGGCCCAGGCATTCAAGAAGAACCAAGTGGTGGAGGACCGCGGGTTCAACCTCGAGAACCCCGCTGTGGTGAAGGAACTGAAGGTGGTCGGAGGTATCGCAATCTTCGCTATCGGCACTTATCTCCTTGCTAGGCTCATTGGCCAACATACTTAGTACCGGACTTTATGCACTATAATAGAATAGGACTTCTAGACGACAACTGGTCATTGTTCCGTGAAATATTAACCCGACAGTGTCTGGTAGTGCCGTACGTAGAATGAAACATTGAATAGGTACTGGTACGAGTAATGCATGTACCATACATACACTACTACGCAGTATTACGTTCGACGAAAGTACAATGGAAAAATGTGTTTTGTTCCCAAGCACCGGAACCAGTAAGTTTCAGTTAGTACTACGTAGTCTGTGAGCGACGCATTTGCTTTGAGCTTTCCTACCCGCAGGGTCGTTCGAAGTAAAACTATCTAGGAAGTTTCATCCTGAGCACTCAACAAGGTTTGCATTCTAAATTCGAAGTCGTAGGCAACAATAGTGCTGGAAGGGTGGGATATGCAAAAAAAACTGTTGGGTGTTGATGCTAGGTGGGGTTTGCACTGCGGTTGCTACGTGCAACTGCACTAAATGGCACCTAGTCGCGTAAAATACTGCCCCCATGACACGAGACTGAGGCCTTTCACCAATATTTGACGAGCTAGATTTCGCACAGAACTTCAACAGCTCTAATTGTTTTTGCTGGCGCTCCTTCTAAATCACGGTAGGAAGAAGAGAAGACACCGAATCCGTTACCCCAAACGGACCTTAACAGGCTAAAATGGCGTAAGTCTTCTTTCGCGGATACCGATTTAAGGTTTTGGGCATCGCGGGTTGATAGCTTTCATATGTCAATAAAAATTGTTTGACGACATCGCGCCGTCTCGACGGGTTGATTAGCTGATGGCTGTCGTAGACAGCGCATGAAGTAATTCGCCACGTCGGTCACGAACTTTAGCTTTGAAAAAAGATTAATCCTGAGCGGGTTTGGACGAAATCCGAGTGGATACAGTTCAAAAAGAGGAATTTTCAGCGGGGAATTCGCCTCCGATTCCACACGAAGAGATCATTTCGTCGCCCCAGTACAGGTACAATATTTATTAGTCAACGAGGTCGTGAAAAAGCAATAAGTGAGTCTCTTGAATACGGTCGCGTATAAATCGTAGATCGGCGTTCGACATTAATATATTTTGTGCCGGCAACCGTGAATACCCCGAGAGTAGTTGTTTTCTTCCTTGTAATTCTATCGGTTTATATATTGAAATTTTCGTATAAGATGTATTAGCTGCAGGGTACTACACGTAGAGCGCAGTATTATCACTTTGCGGATCTTTTCAATCAAGATAGCAGATCCCCGGGCTGGTTGAACGAACCGATCGGCCCTCCGGAGGAGTCCCCCCCCCCTTAAACCAAGTGATCACATGCAGAACGAAAAACTAAAAACACTCGATAGAGGAAGTTGCGGATGAAAATGTGGACCCACTGCGATGTAAGACGCTTTTTAAATGCCGATTGAGGGATAAAATACCCAAAGAGAGGTCTGGTCCTGGTCCAGAGAAAAGAATACAGCACAAAGCATCGACAGAAGTACAGTTAATGTAAATTCATGGAGATTTGATACATTATCCTATCCCACGATGTTTTTGGTTGGGGTTGGGGTGACGCCCTCCCCCGGAACGCGTGGACGGCGGCGAATGCCGCTCACGGGCTTCCGGCAGGCGCTCTCGGGCGTCTGCAAGTCCCTTGCGAGTCTCTCCCTTTGGCAGCCACCTTCACCAGCAGTACTACCCGTCACAACCCCCCTTCCGTATCTTTCTAACCGCACTGACCGCACTAACTGCCTTAGAATAGGCTCGTTCAATGTGCAGTCCCTAGGTTCGCTATACAAGCAGTTTGAAACGCTTCCCCAAGACCTGCGCCGCTACCAGATCGATATCCTTGGCCTCCAAGATATGAGCTTGGGCGCTTTGAGGTCGGAGACTACTTACTACTAACGTTGCCGGCACAGGAAGAGCGCTACGGAGTTGGATTTGCCATCTCTCCTCGCGTTACTCCTTACCTCCGTCGGTGCTGGGCTCACAGCGACCGTATCGGCATCTTGCAGATGCGGCTACCTAACACAGGACCCATCAACATCGTCACGGCCTACGCTCCACACAGCGGGCGCCCACTAACTGAAGTAGATGCTTTCTACGCAGACCTTCGAGCAGCCATGGACCAATTCCCCCGCAGAGATATCACCATGATTACCGGAGACTTTAACGCAAAACTCGGGCAGAAAACAACCGGAGAAACGTTTCTCGGGCCTCATGCACGAGGCACGCGTAACCGGAACAGCCACCTCATGGCTGCCTTTTGTGATACTTATTAACTCTTTGCTACCAATACAGCCTTTCCCAAGCGAGCGAAAAACAAGACCACCTGGAGCCAGCGCAAGCGGACAGACTGTGTCTACAATCAAATCGACTACGTACTCTGCCCTCAGAGTTGTAGACGGTTCTGTCTAGATGCCCAGTCCTGGGGTAGGGCCATCACCCCGTCCGACCACAAGATCGTCACCGCGGACTTTGAGCTCAAGCACATCCGTCGCCTCCGGTTTCCGTCGCGTCGCACAAGCGGCACAACTGTTCACCTCGCACTCAGCGAGTTAGTTCACAACGACCGCTCCAGAACCGCTTACGCATCAGCCGTTAAACGGATCCTACCCCCCGCAGACGCTGACGATGGATCCACTATCAACCTGCAATGGGAGGACACTTTTGCGAAGCTACACGAAGCAGCATCGCAGACCATCGAGTTTTCTTCGCCGGATCAACGACGCTGCCGCAGCTACGACGATCCGCTGCTCGCCGCGCTGTCCGAGCAACAACGCCAGCTCCGGCTCCGCATTTACAACGACACATCGGCTAACACAGCGCTGCTGCGCTCTCAGCGAAACAAGATCCTACACCAGGTCCGCACTCGCTGCTGTGACCTCGCTAACATGGCCCTCGACGAAAAGGTTTCACGCATCGAGGCTTCAAGCGACTCTCACAAAATTTTCGTTGCCGTCCGCGATCTCGCCCGCAAACCGACACAGCATCTTCTAATTCAAGACTCATCAGGTAAGTATATACTTCACAGAAACACAGCTAACAAAATTGTCCGAGATCACTTCCAAGAACAGTTTCTAAATACAGATCAAGCTCAAGTATCACCAGACCCAACAGCTCAACCCCTCGACTGCCCAATCACGCCGGACGAAGTCCATGGTGCCCTCCTTCGACTGAACAACGGTCGTGCTGCTGGCCCTGATGCTATTCCTGGTGAACTACTCAAGTATGCCGCTGCTGACGTTGCTCCACGACTCGCACATCTACTAAACCGCAGCTTCGAACGTGATGAACCCATCCCACTGGGCCAAGGTATCCTTTTGTGTCTCCAGAAGCCGAACAAGCCACGAGGGCAGTGCTCAAGCCTACGCCCGATAGTTTTCCTGAACACTATTTGCAAAGCGGTGTCACTCATCGTTCTCCGCCGCATCACACCCGTGGTCGACAAGTTTCTCTCAGGCCACCAAAGTGGCTTCCGCAAGACCCGCAGTACGGCTGACGCGGTGTGGGCCCAGAAGTGGCTGTGCGCACGGGTACAAAGTATCGCGAAATCGTTCATGTACTGGGTATCGACTTCTCGCGCGCGTTCGACACGATCGACCGTGCCAAACTCCTCAAAGTGCTACAGCTGTTTCTACACGACGACGAAATCCGGCTGATTCGACTCTTACTATCCGACACAACGCTTTCACTCCGCATCGGCCACCAGATCCTGCAACCATTCGGCAGCAACACAGGTACGCCACAGGGCGACTCACTCTCACCAGTATTATTTGTTATCTACCTAGAAACAGCACTTAGAGATCTAGCTAGTCACCCTGCAATGCCGCCGGACCTGCTCCAGCAAATGATCGTGTATGCGGACGATGCCGACTTTATCTGTCGGGACCCCGCCCTCGTCGAGCTCATCCAGACCCATGCCCCGGAAGTATTCGCGCGCTGGTCGCTTCAAATAAACGCGGCAAAGACGGAGCACACAATTCTCCACCGCTGCCTGACACCTGCCAGTGCCGACCCCCACGCTCGTGCAGAGGAAGAAGCATGGAGGTCTACGCGGAAGCTTGGCTCGTTGCTCGGAGATGCCGATGACGTATCGCGTCGGAAAATACTCGCTGTGGCTGCTCTTCGGCGGCTCTGGACGGTCTGGCTGAGATCGCACCGTATCACAGACACGACACGAATTCGCCTCTACAACTGCTACGTACGGCCGATACTACTCTACAACTGCGGTACCTGGGCGCTTACACCAACGGAGCTTCGCCGACTCGAAAGCTTTCACCGTCGCCAGCTATGGTCTGTCCTCAATGTGCGTTACCCGTACCACATCTCCAACGCTGATCTCTACGCAACGTGTGACGAGCGGCCGCTCCGTCACCGGATCACATCTGCGAGGTGGAGGCTTCTCGGGTACATTCTACGGCGACTACAAGATATCCCGGCGTTTATCCAGATGTAGGCGTATTTCTCTTCCTCCGACAGCAGCAAGTGGAGAGGTAGGCCCCGCACCACACTGCCTCTTGTCCTCGACCAGGACCTTGATGCTAGTGGGTGTGGCTACCGCCTCCGCACCAGCTCAGACTTGGATAGACTTCGACTGCTTGCCCAAGACCGGCGTAAACGGAAGGCCCTCATGACTACCATTGCTGACTCACTGCCAGCCAAAGGAGGCTCGACGTATGCGGACACCACATTATGCCGCCGACTAGCTAAACTGAGACTAGCGCAGGTGTAATTTGGCTACGCGAACACGTAAATCATTGCATTGCATCCCACGATGCTGCCATGATCGACTCACATATTCAATGAAACTTTGAATTCACGACGAATGTGGTCTTCGGGGTCGAGAAATTTTCAATACGCTTCGAGCATCTCTGTCGCGGATAAATCTAAGCACACGGTACGACAAGATATAGGCTGCCAATCACTACCATGTGAAGAATATACACATGCACTTCAAGGCGTGTCTATTAGTGCCTTGCGTGGCGAGAAATCAACAGCAAAGCGCAATGCTGATCGCATCTTCCGGGGTTAACGACGATACAATATCACAGGGGTGGAGAATAAAGCTCTGCCAAACGAAATTGGGGAACGTATCAATCTCTACAATAGGTGTACTACGTGAAAGTTCAAGCACCACGTCATCAAGTTACGTTCCACGCCCCTTCCTGTCGGTCATCCTTCAACGGCTGAAGAGAGCAGCTCAAATGTTAATAAAGGTAGAGCCCAAGATATACAGTCCTTGTACTTTTAAGTACAGAAGTCGTCAACGTTTTGTAATGCTAACTTGGCATCGATCGGACCAGAAAATTCACCTTTCGCTCTAGAAAATTGGCAAGTTGACAACGTGTTACCAAGAACTCATATATCCGCCAAGTGTACCGCACTACTAGATCATGTAGTGCTACGATGAACAAGTGAAATTGGTCGGCGTTCTCGTTGAGTTTGCTCTCTGTACTTGAACCGATGTGTCCTCGATTTGAACCGATGTGTATTTGGCGAGGATACGTAGACTCGGCGCTACAGACGGATGCCGCACCATCTCACTGGTGCTCCTGCCTCGCCTCTGCACTTCTCAAGGCGCGGAATGTCGCCCTCTGATCTGCAGCCAAGCCATACAACAACAGAGTGATGTTGAACGGAAGCACAATTTCACACGCCATTCCACAACTGGCCTCCAAGCACGCAAGTCCGAGCACGAAACCCGTAAGACATCAGTCACTCGTTCGCCATGCGCTTCAGCCAGTTGCTCCTCCTGGTGGTCGCCACCTTCGTCGTCTGCTGCAGCCCCGTCACGACTGCTGAGGACGCGGTTCAGATCAACAACCAAGCGATCGAGTCCACCCACGAACTCTCTACTGCATCCCGCCACAATCTCAAGGGAGCCAAGAGTGTTGCTGACACGGATGCTGATAGTGAGGAGAGAGCCATCACGACCCCAAGCTTCGCCCAGTTCACGGGTGCGCTCAAGCTCCCCAAGTTCAGCGGCTTCTCGAAGCTTCCCGTTATCAAGCAAGTCAACGCGATTCGCAAGAAATTCGGCAAGAAGATCGCCGACCGCTACATCCAGCGGATGAAGAAGCGCTACGAAGACAACCCGCAAAATCACATTTAGAAAAGTGATGCCAGGCGTCAACGCAATTGTTAGTTAAAATGATTGCAGGGCTACAGCGATATGCTTACAAAGAACAAGTACTCCGGGGGTAAAACACTTTGTAATAACCAAGAAGGCGAACTCACCGCTCTACTACTACAAGTCGTAGCACATGATCCGACGTACACTTGGAGAATGAAGCTATTCGAAATAAATAATGTCGATGAGGGACAGATTTAAAAGAGTTTCGCAATTTTAGAAGCTGGGAATCCAATAAGGAAGCTTATTTTATTTTATTACTAAGTATTATTATATTAATACTACTTACATGTAGTGGGTCGGGGACACACAAAGCAATACGTGGGCGCTGGAACGCCCAAAGCCACCAACGTATACTACGATAGCCTGCTTAGTTCTCTGTGGTATTCTACCGTGAGGACTTGCTCCTCAGAGGGTAAATCCCAAACTCCTGCACTCTCTACGCGAGAGGTACAGAAGCCATGGCAACCCCATCGTCTTACCTGCCCTTGTCCGGGCAGTCCAGGAAGAGGACGAGTTGCCATGTGAAGCTTGACTAAGAGGGTGGGGACGTAGTCCACATTCCACTACACTGCCCCTCAAAGCTTCGCATGGCGACACCACGACCGTCCGCGAGCTGTCTGTCGTGCCGATGCCTGTGAGCCGCCTTGCCCTCGCCAATCGCACTTCGGCCAACGTAGCTACCAGCGAGCTGCCGCGCAAACCCAGTGTCGAACTTCGCCGCTCTAGCCGTTCTGGCGTCCATGAGCTGCCACGACCTTGCCGAACACCTTCAGGGAGTCGCCGCTCTCACTCACGCTGCCAAAGTCGACTTGGGCTACAAGTTGCGCCACTGCACCGCACAGACGCTCTCTTGTCACTTGCGCCTTCACACGAGATGCTACCTCCATCAGGTATTGAGAGGTCTAGCAGAGCTCGATCACGTCACGAGTCGTTCATGACGTCAGGTGGCGTTGTCCTTGGCCTTGACGCTGTCGTCGACCCGGCTTCCTCTCGCACACATTGCAGGCGAACCCCACCACCTTCGAGACGTAGCTGTCGACCATCATGGTCACGGCCAACTCGAGTCACACAGGAGCTCACAGTTGCCACAGCCGCTTGTCCCGGGCACACGTCGCCGCGACGTTGCCGCACGCAGCGCTGCTCATACGAGCCAGCCGCATGCCATCAGCTTGTCCGCCAGATCATCCAGCCGCGAGATCCGTCCGCTTGGCCACGCTGATCACCAAGGTACACTGATCTCGCAGTCACACTGCAGATAGGTTAGCAAAGTGAGCAATACACCACACTCCTTGCGCTGTTCCTTGGACACTCCTGTCCGTCGTCTTCGGTATGCCACCTCCCCGGGCACTAAAGTTAACTTTGTAGTGGGTCGGGGACACACAAAGAACACAATACGTGGGCGCTGGAACGCCCAAAGCCACCAACGTATACTACGACGTCGCTCTCGGAGCCGTTCGAGCGCTCGCTGGAGAAGTGGTAGGTGGAGGCCACCTGTACGTCCGTAGGACAAGTTATATGATCAATCGTTTTGGCGCATTGCTGTGGAAAGAACGACGCTGATGTCGTTGTCCGCCATGACCTTCCTGAAGTCATTGATTACGGCGTTTGGATGAGCAATCCTTGTATTGTGCTTTTCAGTTGTTTTGGCGAATCGGACGTGTAAAACAGCTACCTACTAAGATGGGGCTAGGTTATCGGAGCAGATTAGCAGGTCCCTCGTAGGGAATTAGGACCAAGAATTGCTAGTCCGATGGAAGCACTTGCGCAGGTCCTACAAACAGCCGAAAGCCCGAATGTCGCCCATTTTCACGGCATTCGGGGTTTGAGGTCTTACGAAGGACTCCTGCCAAGTCTTGTGGCAGGACTTTAATACGAGCTGACTCTAATACGGCGTATGTCAAACGCAAAATAATCTTAGGGAAACACGATGCAGTCGATACGTTAAACACTCCAGTCTCCGCCCTTCGCCTTCGCGGGTTCCGGCATTGCTTGCTTCTCTAAACAAAGCTTGCTTGGCTTGGACTCCAACCGGAGTCCATTGAACGGAGAGACTCCGGGAGACCGCTCATCGGACTCGTCCAAGATTTGCATATCAGATTTAGAGACCGCCAACCTCAGATTAACTGACCTCCAAAGTCCTACGTAGGACTCGGCAAAATGACCGAAAGGCACAATACTCGTCCATCGATCGTTATAGACACGGCAAAGAGATTTTACATGCAGGAGCGTTTTTAAATTGATAAATTGATAAACTTGGGCACAATGACTCGTATTTGGATCTCCTTGTTTTTTATATGAGACAGCCTCAAACAAAATGATACTAAGCCACCATTTATTAATAGAGTTATCGAGATAATCGCGTTTGAAGTTGACCAATCAAATTTCGTACCTAACAGGACATCGAAAATTTGAAAGTTAAAATCACTCATATTAAGCGTAAAACACTCTAACGCGATTGCTTTTAGCACGAACATTCCGGCAATATACAATACGTAAATATCGGGAAAATATTGCAAATAAAATCCGGGATTTGGGGGGTCCGAAAATGGAGATATTTTTTTAAGACCGACGTCACTCCGCGAGTTCGTAACATTTTTATCTCTCAATGGCTCAAACGAAGCGCAGAACACGGCTCTTTCGAGCGGTATGCCTAAATCGCGATTCGTACTTTGGTTGATTAGTATATTTGACAATATTATCGTCACTATCAGTTGATTTTTACGCTCGAGCCATGATAGCGGCTTTGCACCACAAATTTTGATCCAGCACAGAATTCGAGTCAAGAAACACGGTTAGTTAATTCTAACTACGGGCATCTTCTGCGCCTGCTTCGCAGCCGCAGCATCTGCCCGGTACAGTTTGCAGGCTTCAGTTACCGGCTTCAGTTTACCGCCGCCAGTTACCGGGTGGACGCAGAATGAACCTGTGTTGAGCTGGTCACAGCACTCCCTCCGGGGTTACTGCTATCCCAGAATTTTTTTTAATAATACTTTCTTATATTCTATTGTACGTGCGCACTGCGCAAACTCATAGTAGTTTTAGCAGAACATATTATAGAAACATCTACATTCAGCAAAGAAGTGTTTGAGTTTTTTTTACAGTTACAGCACGGAATATCTTTTAATTATGCACTTGAATTATGTGGCTCCCATGAATACGTATTGTGACACGAAGTATAGCTGAGCATTCTAAACGGTGCCGAGATTCGGTAGCAGCCAGCAAAGTGTACACCTTTGCCGGTCCACTGTGGTGCTATTCCACTTCAATGTGGTGAAGTAATTTGTGAAGTAGCACTAAAATAATGTTACTTACGAAAAATTAGCTCAGAAAAATACGCAAAGCAACGCGGTTCTTGCACAACCCAAACTGGCGGTTGGCGTTTAGTTTGACGGCTACGGCACCCACCAACAAACGCGCTCATTCGCAATTCCGCACTCTCAAGACAACCAACGCTGCCCCGCTCCACCACCATGACCCGCTCCCCGCACACACCCGAAACGCGGGCTCGCGTCCTTGCTGCCTACAAGGCGGGCGAGGACTGGATACTGGTGGCTGCACATAACGGCATGCCACCCACCACTGCACGCCGCCTCGTCGCCAACGGCCAAGTGGAGTCGCTGCCGCGCGGGGGATCGAGAGCGCAATGCATCAAGTGTACTCCCGAGATCGAGGCGGCGCTCGAGGAGTACATTGACGAGAACTGCACCTACACTCTCGCCCAACTGCAAGAAATGGTCTGGCTGGACTTCCGCGTGAACCTGAGCACGTCCACAATCAGCGATAAGCTGGCTGGAAAACTTTACACGCTCAAACAGGTAAGTTACTTTGCAGTATGTTTGTTATAATACTATTTCTGTTGCTTAGTAATGGATTGTTTGGCTTGTTCCCTAGGTTCGCGTGGAGCCACAGACGTGCAACAATGCAGTGAACAAGGCTAAACGCAAAACCTTCGCTGAGGAGCTGCGCCAGCACATGCGTGCTGGCGACTTCATCGTCTATTACGATGAGACGAACTTCAACGTGTACTGCAAGCGTACACAAGGAAGGGCGAAAAAGGGCAAGCGCGCCACTGTGGTCCTCCCGCCTTCCAAAGGCGCTAACCTCCAGATCCAGTGCGCTGTGTCTACGGAGGTAGGCTTTGTACACCACCAGTTGGAGCGCGGCAGCATTCAAATGGCTGAGAATGCTGCCTTCGTTGACGAGGTCTACGAGAAGGTAAAGGCATGCTCTACCTACAGCGAGCACTTCATTGGTAATAAGGTGGTCATCGTGCTGGACAATGCCCCGCCCACAGCCAGACGGAAGAGCGCGTCACTAAGCACGATGACCTGGTGCTTCTGCGCCTTGCACCGTATTCGCCAATGTGCAACCCAATTGAAGGTAAGGGCCTGTAAGCAATTTTTCTGGGTATCTTGTTAATTCTAACGTTACGACTTAATTGTTACCTATGCTTAGACTGCTTTAGCGTGCTCAAGGCCAAGATCAAGGCGGGCCTTGCGTTGTCGCGAGAGGAGCTTGTTGCAGCTCGCCCGCGTGGACAGCTTACGGCTGCTCGGATGGAGATTCTGGAGCGAGCTGCTAGACGTGCGATAAACTGCATGGACCTGCATCTGGTGAACAAGATGACCATTCACTGCCAGCACGCTGTTGCGGCTGCTGAGCGCATGGAGGACATGCAGTACGGTACTTGAGCTTTTTTCGCAGCGTGGTTGCGCCGTTTTGCTCTGCTACTAAACCACTTTGCATCGTAAGAAAATCCTGTTGTAAAATTTAAATATAATTTTTGGTTTGGATTTTTCTTACAAATTTGTCGATACCAAATTGAAGTGGACTAACTAGCGCCGTTTTGAACCGACAATGGTGTAGAACCTCTTGCTTGGGCTCGACTAAAACCGCTCAATACCCGTACTGGGCGCATTTTTAAAGCTGAGACCCAAGCAAAAACACTTTTTAAACACGCATCCATTGGGTTACATGTGTCTAATAGATTGCCTGTGCAGCGGAATCATTGGCTTTTCCGCCTGTCAGCAGCGTTCTCTCGTCCCGAATATCAAATCCTGAGATGTACTGTGCCACCGTTAGAGCAGAACTGTACGCGATTGCGGCACTCGGAAAACTGGGACGCATCCATCCCAAGGTTCGTCTGTAACAGCCACGCTATACACTGTAGAGCGTACCGGGACATACGGTACAACGTACACTTTGATCCGCAAGGTCGCGTGGGCGCCTTACTGTATGCAGTCACGGTTTGATTTTCTGCCGTCGTGAATTATTGCGCTTGCTCACTCAAGTGACTGTGTCCCGAAGTTGAAGTGAGTCCATTCTTATGATACATATGGATACAGTACATACCGTACTTCGCGCTGCATCAAGTGCAAACCTCATCGGAGCTGTCGAACTTCGACAGCTCCGATGAGGTTTGCTTCGACTCGAAGTGGCTCGGGCCGAGCTGAAGAACGTATCTGTGCGTGTACTGAATTGATTAATAGTCGCGATGAACGTTGGTTGGGTTCTGTTCGAGCTTGTTCTGTGGGTGGCAACGTCACGGACACCACATGCATGGATTTCTCGGGTGAATCATAATTCTTGACTCACGAGCCACCAGCACTTCCCGACACAGCTCAAAGATGCAGGGACCTGGGCGAGAAACGAGTGGTGCCGGTAGAAATGACGTCCCCATCTCAGAGATGCTCTGTGCCAATGCGCTACTGTACCCCTTCTTGCAATGCGCTCATTTCTCGATTCGCTCTGGTCAGTGCAAGACAAGCAACGTAATCGGCCAGCTGCTGCTGGAGACCGTCTGCAACAATGTAGCGACTTCCAGGAATGCGAGTCGAGTAGAAGGCCGTTTGGTGAGTTGGTGGAGAAATTGAAAGTGCCATTCATCGTTAGCTCTGTCACTCTGCCTTACTCTACAGCTCCTTGCTCACCTGTAGAGTACTTACCGGCCTCCTTCCATCGAACGACGTCACTGCACGTCCGGAATCAACGCGATCGCTGCCTCTGCTACTGCGTCCTGCGTCAACCCGTGTAAGTCATAGAGTCGAGCCGCGAGCTTCGATCGATCGCCTTACCGCCACGTTGAAGCCACGTTGAAGCCACGTTGAAGCCACGTTGAAGTCACGTTGAAGTCAAGTGACGAGAGCTCTTACGTCACCAAGTCGGCCACCACCGACATTCCATTGCCGTCCATTCTTGCTGTTTGGACGCACCCAAGCACGTTCTGCGAAGCGGGCTGGCGTGTGCTTTGCCAAGTGCAACATTGCTCGTGCAACCGCCCTCGTTGCGAGCACCAATGGCCTCGACAACTCCGTCCAGGCCAACGACGTCGCAGCCAACTCGAACCCCACGCTCACCAACGAAGAGAGCACTATTAGTCGCCACCTCAAGGGCAGCTAGAAGACGGCGGCTGAAGCGGACGAAAGCGCAGGATGCCCAGCTATACTAAACTGAAGCCCTTCTTCCAGAAGCTCCCGGACAACATCGGCGCCAAGTACCTCAAGTGGGTCGAGAAGTACAGGGCCAAGAACCCGGCGTTCAGCAACGCCAACATGTAGACATACTGACAGCTTTACCTACCATAAACTGTTGGAAATGAAATGCCATCTTCGGTTCCGCTGCCTCTTGCTCTCCTTCGAACCATTCACGACGCAGATTAACGCCCTTGTGCCTCATCATGTCGTGGCCCTCACTCTCCCTCTTTGATCGGAATACGACGTGCTGCTTATTGCGGTGTTTGCGGTGTGTCGATGGCAGACTACGATGACGCGGAGGCTGAGAGGCGAGGAGGTTACGAGTACCGTGGCGTGCGGTCTCCGAGTGGCGAATTGCGAAGACGTCGCAGTCTAAGACGACCTGCCCCCGCCAGAATTGGGGACCTACACGTCTGGACCCTGAAGGAGAGGCTGCAGACTTTCCTGGACGGGTAGGGTGAGGCGTCATTCTACTATTGCCGTCCGGGTATACCTTCGCTAATACGTTCCAGCGCAGACCTGCAGGTATTGTGATCGAAGGTGTTTACGTGCTGTTGAGTTTGGTACTCGTAGCGGTCGCCATTGCCGATGTACGTACGCGTCCCAGCAAGAGAGAGCGAGAAACATTGCCTTTCCTTGCACTTTTGTTTTAACTCACATTTTTATTTATTTATTTATTGATCCCACCCGCAGACATATTATGATCCGGAGCTCGATCACGACAGTGACACTTACCAGGTCTTCGAAGTCGTGTGCACAGCTCTCTTCGCAGCCGACTACGTACTCACGACCAAGGCCGGAAGAGCAAAAGCTGACACCGCTGACTGTCGATGAGAAAATCATAGTCTCACGTTTATCGTTTGCTGCGCACTCTAGGTCATGCACTTGTACGCCGCCCAGAACCGCCTCAGTTACTTCATAGCACCTGTCAGTATCATCGACTTCATCACCATTGTGCCCACACTCCTGACGGTAAGGACGACCCCGCGACACAACCTCAATTTACGAACCAAAGATTGATCGCTACTTTTTGCGTTTGCTATCTGCAGCTCGCCATAAAGCGCTTGACGCTGAACAGTGTGCTGCCAATACTGCGCATCGCTCGCATTTTCAGGATCCTTGCTCTACTGAGGCTCTACCGAGTCATGCAGGCCCATCGAGGCTTCGAATACCGGTTCAGTGTGCTGATCTTTCTCCTATTGAGCCTCATCCTGGTAACTGCCGGCGTTTTCCAGATACTTGAGGAGAGCTACTACACAGACCAAGGCCTTGACCCCCTCGAGTTTCACCAAGTCATGTACTTCGTGTTCGTCACGCTTTCTACTGTTGGGTATGGATGAATATAGTGGTATTTCCGACAGATAAGATACCAGGATTGTTTCATGGTCGTCTCTATAGAAATAACAGCCTATCATATTCTGACTTGGAGTAATTTCAGCCAATAAAATCAACTAGGGGTAGGGAAATCCTTTCCGACACTTCCCTACATATATTTGTCGGAATCCTAGGCTGAATATGTATATAATCATACTGAAACCCAGTACAAAAAATATTTTCAAAATATTTTGGCGATTCAGACAACTAGGCAAATTCCTACTGTAGGCATAACTTATTCTAGGTAGCGAGACACCGGTGGACAGCCACCAGTGTCAATATTGCATAACGAAAGTGTCCTCGCGGTCATCATGAGCCTCTCTGTGTTTGTGCCTACAAAGACCCAAAAGGCGCGAACGACGGCGATTGACGCGTTCGAGAGAATGCTAGAGGTCGAGGGTGTGAGCATGGAATTGTTTCGTGCAAGCATGCATACAGACCCCTCGGGCAAACGCTTGGCTGCCATAATGGACCGCTTCGGCCATTATCTCGCCACTAATGACGGTAAGAAGGTAAGCTAGCTCGTAACACAGCTACATCGTACTATAGAAACGTCAAGCTGTGGCTATTTGATGAGTTTCCACACCTGCGTTTACCCACGGAGATGAACTAGTTAAAACAAGGGAAAACTCGAGATAAGCACTGCTTAAAACGTGAGAAAGGAGGACTCGTTAACAAAGCGCCGCCATGTACTAAACAGGACTTAGGTTCTCTAATTCGCTATGCCTACAGCACAGCACGTGTCAACTCGGACTATCAAGATGCTGTGCTAACCTGCCTCATGTGGCACTGCTTCGGCCGCTCGTCGGACCTAGGCTACCTGCGCAAGCAACATGTATCAGTGTCAGTGGACGGCGTCTTCTACCTGCGGCTCCTCCGCGTTAAAACGGCTGAAGAACAAGGGTTAACGCTCATACCTGACAAGGAGGACTTCCTGACATGCCCGCTTCACTCCCTCGCGGTAGCTCTCGTCATGCAGGCCGCGCCCTGCGCGGCTCTGTTAAGCCAGCTCCCTGAGCTTGTTGCGACGAGCGAGGAGCCGCTAGACCCCGGTGTGCCACTGCAGGCCTTGCTAGAAGCAGAGCCAGCTACGCTCAGGGTCGCCCTGATGCCACCCTCGCCTGCTGTCGCCGCTCCCGTTCCCGCGCCAAGTCCCGTGCCAAGCTGCAGCTCAAGTCCCCAACCTGCAAGCACAGAAGCGCAAGTGAGTAGTACAACGATGGCCAGCGCTGGGGAGAAGACGTGCGGTGAAGACGGTGTTCAGGCGTATGTGAACCGCCTCCTCAAGCGCGTTGCCGAGCCCGCGGGAGCCACGACCGACTTGACTTCCCACTCCTTCCGACGCGGCGGCGCTCAGCACGCTAACGGAGACGATCGCCTTGCCGCTCAGTGAATCTTCGACCGCGGTGCATGGGACATGAGCAAGGTCAACAAAGGGTTCGCCTACGTGTACAACACGCCGCGGAAGACCGGAAGGTTGCGCGAGTGCTGAGCGGTTGGGAGGCCGACGCAGCTCCTGTTGTCCTTGATGCTGCGGCGCTGGATCATGGAGCTCAAGAGCGTCTGGCATCCTTGCGCGAATTCCTGTTCAGCACCTGTACTGGACTCAAGGAACACAGCCTCAACGTAAGCAGCAAGGTCCTCACCGTCCTCACGGCATACCTGGTCCGCTACTACCCGCAGCTAAAGGTGCTGGCTCCGGATGCCCCGATTGTTGAGCGCGTGGAAGAGTGCTTGGCCTCCGCGGGGATCTCAACAGCTGACGTGCTCGCATTGTCGGTGGCACTCAACGAACAAGCTTCACCTGTTGAACCTGTTGCAGAACAAGCACACGAATCCATGACGCACTCATGCCAAGTCCATCATCACCTTCTAGCTGTCATTGATGAGCTTATCGCCTCGAACCGAGCCCTCTCCGCGCGTCTTACAATCGTGGAGGTTGCGCAACTAAAGTGTAAGCGAAAACAAGTACCCGATGAGGAGCCACAGGCACAAGATACGTCAGATTAAGATCCAAAACCCAAGCGCAGAAAGAAAGCAACGACCAACCTGTCCAGCGCGTGGTTCGAATGGTACACGCGGGTGCCACGCGTCTGGGACTCCGCCGACCGCCAGAAGAAGTCCGAGTTTCGCCACGTCACGGCGTTCATGAAGCTCTTCTTGAGCGAAGGCTTCACGCTGGACCCCAAGGCGCCGGACTACAAGGATCAAGTCCTGGACGCTGGCCGTCGGGCTGAGAAAGCGCCTTCCTGATGTCGCGCAACGTCAACGCCAAGGGGGCTGGAAGCGTCTTGCGTGCGCTGCGCCCACTGCACAAGAATGGCGTCTTGGACGAGCGCATTGCCGCATACAAGACGCTACGCGCTGTCGGTAGAATCGTTGATCCTGCGCCTACAGAGACACAAGACGTCTTAGCCACTGCAGGTCACGTCTAAGAAGGTTAGATAACACCGCTACTTCACAAACGCATTCATGCACCAGCACTACCGGCACAACACGCACGCACGCCTAACCAACCACGCACACAGGAGGAACAGCAGCCGAGGCACGCCGCAGCAGCGAGGCACAGAAGAAGGGTCACGCAGGACGAGCAGCCGTCGCAAGCCCGGTGCGGTAGCAGCACGACGCAGCAGCAGCACGGCGCAGCAGTCGGAGACCCGAAACGGCAGCACCGAGTCACCGTACGACGCAACCCCAACGCCAATCTTGATCGATAACACCGGCCTGAATTGAACAGGCACCTCAGGGCCGAAGCCCTGCGCTCTATCCATTGAGCTACGGTGTTGGGGCCCAGGGGAGGGAGGCGGGGGGGGGCTGCGACTGGCTGATTGGCTGGCCGGCGATGCTGTCGAGGCTGACGGGGCTGAATCTTGGTCCGGAGGCTGGATCCCGAGCTCTGAAAAAAAGAAGACTGAGGGCGCGCGCCGTGTGTCGGCGACTGGCAGCCACCAAATTTTCGTTTGGACAGGCGGCGAATGCTGATTGGCTGAAGGCTGTACCAATCAACACTCTTTATTGCTTAAAGGCCCTGATTGGCCAATGAATTAGCCAATGATATGCCGTGGGGGGATAGCTACCGCCGGACTGCTTCTAATTGTGGCCCCTCTACCTGGGTGCCGACCTCACTAATGAATTTGCCGGCTCCTGTGCACATTGCTCCGGGGCCAAAATGCGCCAATACACAAAATGTCGATTTTCTCGGCCCAGAGGCCTCGGCTGTGAGCACCGCATGAAAGCTGACTGGAATCGGTCAAGTGGCCCCCTAGACCTACTCTACCGTACACATGATCTAATTTCCGATTTTACATTAATTCCGATTTTGCCCTGGCTTTGACAAACTTCCTAGTTGTCGGAATAGAAATATTAGTTATTTATTTTAATAAAAGTGGTATTCAAGGATATCTAAACAATTTACTAGCGTAAAGAGAACTTTTTCTTTGTGAAAATTTTAATAGCAGTGAATTGAAATATCTAAGTGACTGTTAAAAAAATCAAACGAGATTCCGTTAGTAATGACGAATGAACATGGAAATTAAGTTTATAAAAATAAAATAAATTATATGAAATGTTAACAATCAATTGGAACTTTTATAAAAAAGTGACAGTGTACCTTTTGCATAATGGGCCAGCAAGTTTATTTTTATAGCAAGCTTAATTTAATAAAGTAGGCGTAGATAAATCAAGTTTTAAAAAGCTTTTTAGTTATACAAATAAGACCCGAAACTGAGTGATCTAACCATGAACAGATTGAAAAATAGGTAAAACTATATATGTAGGGATGTCGGAACGGCCGCGATATGGAGATATATCACCGCACACAACGGCAGGTAAGTACGTAGGGCAGATTTCACACTGTCCGGGTCATATTCCAGGTCTCACACAACTTGATACTCACTGTTGTAGGTCAATTCTTCGTCATTTTCATCATTGTCGTGTTTGGTCGTGACGGTCATCCCGAAGCAAATAACGCGCCTCATCGAGCTTTCAGCGCTGCAGCACGACTATATGCACAGCTACTCTCTACGCCGACGAAGTATTCACAACGGCGGACGATGTCGTCGTTACTGGTCACGTGCGTCTGGAGAACGCTTCCGCGTTTTGAAGGATTTCTACCGCCCGCGCCAAGGCCGCGTCAACATGGACGTTGTCTTTTTGGCTGTCCGCGTTCCATCGTCAGCAGGGCCTCCGAAAATAGCATTGTCAATAACATTATTTCAGAAAATAACAATAAATTACGCATTTCGGCGGGTTCAGCCATCTACCGTGATAATTTATTGATGTGCTTTGTGATATTACATAATTTATGACAGTTACCTTTATATAATATGGTTAGCGTTTTACCAGCCATCTTCTCGCTTCCAGTCGTTCAGAAGAACTGGAATCACTGGTTGTCTGCGTTGCTAGTTGCAGCTCATTTGGCAGCGCTCACTTTTCAATTTTCACTTCTCAAGCCTCCAAGACCTCATCCAGCATGGTTCGTGCTATCCGCCCCCCTCGCCCTACCTACACGAACTCCCAAGTCTCGGGGTTTTACTTCCGCCCGTGTCGCGACGAGAACGACGAGGTGGTTCTCGAGTATTTCCGTTGCCGTTGCGGCACGGTTCGGAAGCAAACCCATAGGAACGGGTACTCCAACCTGATGCAACATATCAGGCGGGAGCACCCTGACTACGAGACCGTCATGCTCGACGCTACGACGGCGGAGACAGTCTCCCTCGTGAACTTCGTCCGCCACTCGGCGCTGAACCTCCACGGCTGGATGGTTTGGATTGTCATGTGCAACCTGCCACTCTCTTTTTGTGAGAGCCGAGAAGCTCGGCGGTACGTGTATGCATAAGGTCATTGTGTTTACATTACTACGGAAACTAACAACTTTACTTTATGGATGTTATTCAGCTACTCCAGCCTGGACCCCATCTCGGAGGAAACGCTGCGGGCTGGCATGGACGGGGTCGTCGTCGCCGTCGAGCGTTCGATTGCGTCGGAGCTCCCAGCACGCTTCGGCATCATGCTCGACGGCTGGACACACGCATCTGAGCACTACATCGCCGTGTTCGCGTGCTATGAGGTGAACGGCTGTCCCAAGACAACGCTACTCAGCATGGCCCCGCTGCTGGACGCGCTGGGCGACGATCTCTCCGCGCAGGGTCATCTCGAGTTTCTAGCGACCATGCTGCCGCGCGATTACGGCGTACAGCTGATGCAGTGTCGCTTCCTCGTAGCTGACAACTGCGCCGTAAACCGGCGGCTGGCAACTCTTATGAGTGTGCCGCTTGTTGGTTGCGCAAGCCACCGCCTGAACCTTGCTGTTCAGGCGGGCATGGCGTCGCATGAGGAGGACCTGGCTGCTGTGCAGACGCTCATGATAAAATTGCGTACTCTCACCCAATCTGCCAAACTACGGTAAGCGCCAATGTGTATGTGTGGTGTGTCAATATGTCTCTAACACAATTTGTGTACTTTTGTAATTTTTTTACAAAATTGGTTGAAAACGCCACTTCGGCCTGTCATTCGCCAGGACACGCGCTGGAGCTCTACGTTCGAGATGGTACGGCGCCACCTCCAGCTCCTCGAGTTTCTTGACGCCAAAGACGACGACCTCATGGACCTGCTGCCGCCGCCGGCGATGAACAAGCGACTGCGGGCATTGTACCAGGAGCTGTGCGACATCGAGTCGGCTCGAAGGCCATTCAAGGCCACGACGTCGACCTGCTGGACGTTCGCGAGTGGTTCGACGAGCTGATCGCTGTCAAGCCACAATATGGGCGCTACATTGGTAAGTTTATAACATTTGAATTTGTGTTTAATATTTTCACTAACAATTGTATAATGGTTTTTATTTTGCAGGGCCTCGGGCCAACATTGTGTACAGCCCAGATTTTGAGGCTGGGTGTGTACGCGTTCTCCGCGGGAAGGCGCAGCGGCTGACGCGTGCTGAAAAGGCCGCTTTGCAGCCCTTCGAAGCTGCCAGACCGGACGACGCGGCCGCGAGTGAGGAGGAGGAGGATCCAGCCGCGTCGTTCGTGGAGCGTCTTCGGAAGCGCCGGCGGCTTGCACAGGACCGTGTCAAGTATGAGCAGCTGAAGAGCATCCCACCCACGTCGAACGTGGTGGAATGCTTCTTCAGCATTGCTCGGGTGACATTTGGTCATCAACGACACGGCCTGCTGCCACGCACGCTTGAGACGATTTTGTTTCTCCGCCAGAATCGGTCGTACTGGGATGCAACGACTGTTGACAATTTGAGCTAGATGATAAGCTAACTGGTGTCTTGTTAATAGACTTCATGCTTTTCATAATGGCATTATTTATCGTGGTACGTTGGGGGCAATGCCATAATGTACTGTTGTATTGGTAGGAGCGTAACCTACTAAATAAAAATGCCATATTCGGAGGCCCTGATCGTCAGGCTTGCAGGCGTTGCTGCTCAACGTTCGCTACAGGCGTCGCACCACGTACTTAAAGGGAAACCTGCTGCATGATCGAGACGCTAAACGCGCGCATGTTGCAGAGGCGGCAGCAGTGTTCATCCTGGCAAACAAAAGTAATCCACGTCAAGTGGAGACCACAGATGCTCTCTCCATTCTACAGGCATTGGCTATCGACAAATTCCGTCTCCACGCTAGTACGGAGCAACAGCGTTTGAATGAAGACAGTGATGGTGAAATTGACAGCAGTCACAGCCGTGGCGACGGGTACAGTGCGTCCAGTGAGGGAGACGAAGACAAAGAGAACAGGTATCAAGAACAATCGCGTCCTATTCGCTGCTTCACGGAGATACTCTCGATGAAACACGCGCGTGGCCTACGAACGATAACTGGGGTGGAAGTGGCGCTCAACACGTCTGTCTCAACTGCGGACTGCGATCCTGGCGCGCAACGTTTTGTGTCCCGGCGCCACCGCGTTGCTGCGGAATCTCTTCTACTCCCCCACAGAGCGCCACTTAGTTGAGGGTCGTCGATCACGCTCTCCGTGGGTGGCTGAGTACGCTGGTGCCTTCCAGAATTTGTTTCATGCTTCCCGCGGACTTTGACGGTTTGTTGTTCGAGCACGCTGCTGAGAAGATGTACAGTACCTGCACCTGCAGTACGCGGCAGCCCTCCTTCCTGGATCGCTGGTTATGCCGTGATCTGACCGTAGTGTTGTTTTGTGGCTTGACCAGTTTCCAGGTCATGCTGATTGCGCTATACGATGGATCGGCAGTGCAGCGGGGCGAAAAGAGCATTCGACTGTGTCCGTTTGGAGAGCGCCTCGAGGAAAAGTGAGTTGGTTGACTTAGTAAGTGAACTCGCTGTTTGTTTTTGCCCTAACGTTTGCGTTGTTGTGATGTGGCTGCAGCTCGTCAAGTTCATCAATTGCACAGCAAGCCGTTGATTCACTTCGAGAAGTTGAATCCCAGCAGTATTCGCCTCCGGGTGCTTCCTCATTAATGCCTCCTCTTGTCTACGCTCCCGTGTCGATGACGGCGGCCCCTGGCATTGAGTCTGCGCCTGTTCTCGTGTTTTCCTCGGACTCCGTTCTGGAGCGGCAATCCATGAAAATCGGCGATGTTGGTCCTGTTGCTCTGGACGTTGGTCAGTCAGTTCACGGTCGCCAAGTGAAGCTGTGGGTGCCGCCGCGTTTTCGTCGCTGACAACCATTGCGTCGTCAAGTGCCTCCACAGTCACGTCGTCCAAGTTTTCTTCTCCCTTAGTGGCGCAAAAGCGTCAGCAAGAAAGCGCGAAGAGTTCGTCTCTAGATTCCACTACTCAGCAGACGCTGATCGACCACATCCTCATTTGTGGGCCGTTCGACCAGGGGTATCAACTCGCGAGTTATCTGAACGAGCTCTACTCTCACGGAGCCCAAAGAGAGGACTCTGAGCAGAGACCAGCTATATGCATTGTTCTTCTTGTCAAAACCTTGCCAAGTGCTGAGGAACTCGCAGCGTTGCCCCGCGCGCTGCCCACGAACGTTTCCATCGAGTGCGGAACGGCTGAAAACGTCGAGGACTTGCTGCGAGTGCGAGCGTACGAGGCTCGTAGCGTGCTGCTTCTGTCTGGTGTCTGGGATAAGGACAGCGTGGACGCCGTCTCCGACGACTTCTGTCAACGCTGGCGCTGCGGACGACGGACTTTACCACGAGCATCTCCAGCAGCAGCAGTCAGCAGAAATCCGCCCTGGGCTCAGTCTATTAGCCAAGTGCTCGGTTGTGAGGTCTCACAGCAGCATCAAGTACTTCGCCTACAAGAGCGACGCAGGGATTCGAGCGCCCGAAGACTCATCGCAGAGCACGCGAAGCGATGACGAAGACTCCATCGCTGGGGTCTCCGACATCCCACGAAACGAGTACCAGAACGAGCGGCTCCATGACTACCCAAGACGACGGAACTCTCTCAAGCGACTTCACTGCAGACGCCGCCATTCCTCGACTCCGATCGACTATCTGTCGTCTCCCTGCTTCTCCCCGGCCTACGCGGCTGGCGAGGTCTTCGTCGACTGCGTCTTGGACACGCTCCTGTGCCAGTCCTTCTTCAACCCGTACGTGGTCGACCTGGTTCGAGCGTTAGCAGGCGGCGACGACCCGCATGGGACCCCGACGTTCAACTTCAAGGCGTCCATGATGCGCCACGTTTCGTCACGTGGGAGCACGGAAACTGGTGCAAGTAATAGCGCGATTAATCCGAGTCCGGTGCTGCGGGTGGCGACTATTTCTCGCGAGTTGGAAGGTGCACCTTTCGCTGAGGTCTTCTCGAGAGCGCTGAGTCAGCACGTGCTGGTGCTGAGCGTATATCGACGCGCTCAGGCCGGGAGTCGAGGCAACGCGCTCCCGTACGTGGTGACTTGCCCCGAGTCGCCCTTCGACTGCGCTGTCGAGCGCGGAGACCAGCTCCACGTCCTCATGGAACTACGGCACCCCATTTCCATTCGGTGAGGCGCGTGAGGCGACCTTCAACGTGTGCCCTGCAAAGCTACATGAACCGTCAAAACTTTGTGTCTTCCCAACGTCGTGCACTCGTGCGGGCACCGACTTGTGCGACGGCGGGCTCAAGGCATGACGAGTGCCCCTGCGACTCTGCCAACTGGTTCATCTCGAAGCCATATCAAACGGCTTTTTCTTTCGCGGGACGCGGGACCGGCGAAGCGTGAGCTCTGCGCTGCAAGTGCGGACCGCGTGCCAGCCATCCAGATCTGGGCGCGTGCTCCGGGCAAAATGCGGGATTTGCCTCGGCTGGTTTTTGCTGCTCGAACGCGGCGTTCTGCTCCGCTCTCTGCTGCTTTGTATGAAGGCACTTGTTGCTGCACCCGTCCACCATATGGAAAACTAGGCTGTGACGAGACTATTGTACCCGTTTGCGCCCGACCACGACCAAAACTGAAGCAAGTTGTATACTCCATGTATAGACCGGTTAGATGAAGAATGTTCGAGAAGGCCCAATGCCGACCACCAAAGCGACTAAGCACTTGTTACTTGATGTTAAAGAGGGTAGGACGTTGGCTCTCGCCTGTGGACTTAGCAACGGCACTTCGAGGGGCGCCGCTGCGCGACCTGCCCCACCCCCTCGAGCCTTACGCTAAGTCCTCGGCTCGGCCAGGCGAGGTATCTGGATTAGATAGAAACTCCTACTTAGGTATACCTTCCGGCCCACGCGCCGAACATTGCAGACCTATGCTTTGCTTCGGTTGCAAATGGTCTCTCTGAGGCCTCTAAGTGAAATGACTAAGTGCATAGCTTACGGGGAGCGAAATTTCGAACAGTAAAGGACACTACACATCTCGGACAGTCCATTACATTGATTTTTCCATCGTTCTCTTACGTTAACTCCTACCAACAGCTCGCAAGATTCTTGTGGCCACGCCACGAGCTGTAGTCTTGTACAGCTAAACAACTTGAGCGCATGCGTTGACCTAGCCAAGCAAACAACAAACATCACCACCGGTACCCGACTGAGAACATCGTCACCCGTCACCGTACCCGACCGCCCGACTGGAAACTTATTTTCCCCGACTGATACCGCTGTACCCGACTGACGATAGCCATAGCGAGCCCCGCCCTCGAACTGATCCCAAACGCTGAAGTCTCACGCATTCTGCTTGCGCTCTTTCGCTTGTTCTCCTGGTAAAGCTGTTTGAAAGCGGAGCAGGAAGTGCCTTCTGTCTCCGCCGGTTAAAGCTGGCCGCTGCGCGTACAAACATGAGTATGAATACACCAAGTAATGCATAGATCTCCCCCGAACAGTTACTTGCCTGACAGGACTGAGAGGTGGCCTGATGCTCGTGCATCTCTTCAAACGCGCGCAGGGAGGAAGGGGGGGGGCTCTGACGCCTTTTGTGTTGCGTCGACCGCAGTCTTGCAGCCAGCCAGGGAGCGCTCCACGTCATCGTCGCCACGAGGTGTCGCTGCAGCACCATTAGGCGCTACCGGTAGTCGTCGACATCATGCGCATGCTTGTACGGCCAACAGGGCGACCGCGCGGCGGGGGGGGGATCCATGCGTGTGGCGGCTCGCCGCAGTTTTACGAATGAATGGTTGAAAGTCGAAAGTATACCGCGTATACGAAGTTCGGATGGAGGTCAGAAGCGTGGTTAGGTTATTGGTGCGGACAATTCAAAAGATGACTCCAGTAGACGGGTGCAGCAACCACTCTCTTGTATGAAACCACGTGCGGCCACTGAATGTTCCTCGATCCGTGTCTCCTTCCTGCCAGCGCGGTAGGCTCTGTTCCAGTGCCTGGTGCCTCCCCCCCCCCCCACCCGAAGTGATCTCAAGCCATTTGGCCGGGTCAGTTGTGAACTTTACCTCAGTGAGACAGAGGAATTCGCGACGTCATGCAGCTTCTCGGTGCTTCCGCGCTGGCGTTTGTGGCCTTCCAGGGCTCGGTGCAGGCCGCCATTACGTGCACCACCACGGCGGACTGCGCCTGGGGCGAGACCTGCGTGGCTGGAGACGCGGACACGTCCGTGCAGGCCTGTGTGGCCCCCACGGTGTGCGGGGGCTCCTCCATGGGCAACTGCCCGGCAGACGACAGCGGCAAGCTCGCGTGCGTGTGGAGGCCGTTCGACGACTGCAGCGCAGGCTGCGCCATCCTTAACGGCAACAAGGGCATCTACAAGTGTGTGTCCATTTCGAGGTGTGACGCGTACTACGGAGGGTCCTTCTGCAGCGGTAAGTCGAACGAAGTTCCACGGTTGTGTAAAGTGATGGAGAGGCTGACTGATGAACCTGTTACGGTTTTTGCTCTATAGACGGCTGCACTGTGAACGGAGTGCGATGCAATGGCCAGGGCTCGTGCAACATGATGTCGACGAACGCCGACGGAACGCCGAGCTTCGGCTGTACGTGCGACAACGGCTACAGCGGCTCCAAGTGCGAGATCGCTCCTGGCTCGACGGTGTCGAACTCTTCTTCCGCCACCACCGACGACGAAGACGACGACGACTCGTTCTTTGGATCGCTGGCCAACGGAGACGACTCGGCTTCGGACAAGGCCGACAAGTCCACGGACGACTCTGCTGCGGACGCCACTTCGGACGACGCGTCCCAGGAGGAGGAGTCGACTGCTGCGTCTAAGGAGAACTCGACCACTCAATCGTCCAAGAAGGAGGAGGACTCGTCGGCCGATAACGACGTGGGCCTGTGGTGCGCTGCCAATGGATACATCGGCTGCGGCAAGAACAACGCGACCTCAGACGCATCGTCCGCTGACGCCGACACTGACGCTGATGCGAGCGACGCGAGTGGCTCGAGCTCCAACTCATCGTCGTCGTCGGGCGAAGTGGCCAACAGCGCGTCGGTGTCCAGCTCGTCTCGTGGCGGCATCCGCGCCGGCGTCCTGATCCTCGTCCTCGTGATGGCCGCCTTCTTCCTGATCGGCACGGTCCTGCTGGTCGCCTACTCCCGCCGGAGGAAGCAGCAGGAAGAGGAGGAGTACGCCAGCGCTCTCGCCTCGTCGCGCGGCGTCGGCGCTGTGGGCGCGCGGGACCTGGTTGCCGGACACACCGGCCGCACCCCGCGATCACACATCGCCACGATGTAAGGAGCCGATCGACTTCATCCTACAGACTAGCAGTATCAACTTTACTATGGCCGACGCACACCAGCGATATACTTCTCGCAATATAGAGTCCTTGTTATTCGTAAACTTCGTTGCTCGCAAGAGCCGTTGATGACGCCGTGCATCAAGCTGACGGCACTGGTAGGGATCCAGTACTGCCAATCTTGGCTAGAGCGTAAATCATCCTCGTGCAGCTTTACACTCGTCATGGTGATGGTCAATGGCCATTGGTCATCGATACCTGTTGCGCACAAGTTACCGTGCCTCGACGACACCGTAACCTTGCCCAACGTGTTTTCAGAGTGGCGTGGCGCAAGCTGAAGCTGGCCGAGTCGTCCTCATTGGTCCACTTCGGTCCTCCTCCAGCGCTTCAGACGAGTCGGACATATCTTTTCGGTGGCCATGACGTTGGCAAATGGCTACAGTACATGGTTCCTTTGCGAGCGCTTCAGCTTGAGCGTAAGCCGAGCAGCGCTGGATGTTCGAGCCGCCACCCGCTTGATCTTCGTGTGACAGTGCGCTCGACAGCAGGTTGTTGGCGGCTTGAGCACAGGTGCCTGCAACTTGCAGTGGCATGTCTCGGATACATGATACATACCTTTGTGTGGCAATAATCCTGCGTCTTCACATTTGATAAACATCTGTCGCATTACTTTAAATCGATCGTTCTCATTAGCCAAACGGTCAAAACCCGCGAGATACTGTGACTTGTTATGCCTCTTTACCCTTATGCATATTACATGCATATTCGCACACTCAAAATCCAGCGTGCGGGTGCGAATCATCTCGCCGATAAAGAAATACAGTAGTCTACCGCCGCGCGCGCTGACCAAGTGGCCCCGGGACACACACGACGGGCTCCGCAGCCGTCCTGCGAGAAGCCTCCTTCCATCGGCAGAGGGCGCGCGTAAGTGCCCCCAGCCCGCGCCACCTGGTCGAGCGCTGGAAGATTGCAAGCGCCGTGAGCAACGCGAGGAGTTCAGCGACTGGAGCGATTTGCTAAGTGCGACCGGTGGCCCCTGTATGGGAGTCCCATAATGGGACACGCGCGGGGCGCCAAAAATATTTTCGCTCCCCAAACAGGTGTGGAGCCACACCACACACCAAAGAGCAGCCAGAAGCGAAGCCGAGTGGAGTCGCACACCGCCCCGCGGTACATTCTGCACATACAGACCCAGAGAGGAGGCGAGCCTTGACTATACAGACCATGCGACTGCTAGCGGCGCTGCTCCTGCTGGCGCTGCCATGCGCGACGGACGCCATGCGCATGGCCATCAACTGCACGAGCACGGCCGACTGCGGCGAGGGCGAGACGTGCGTGGCCGGCGACTCGGCCACGTCCATCCAGGCCTGCGTGGCCGGCGCGGTGTGCGGCGGCGCCACGAGCGGCAACTGCCCCGCGGACGCCAGCAGCGGCCAGCTGGCCTGCATCCAGCGCGACGGCATCTACAAGTGCCTGTCCATCGACCGCTGCGACCAGTACTTCGGGGGCTCCTCCTGCAGCGGTAAGGGCCGTGGGAGGGTGTGGTGGATACATGGGGAACACACCCAGTGACTGACTCTTTGTTTGTGCAGACGGCTGCAGTGTGAACGGCGTGCAGTGCAGCGGTCAGGGCTCGTGCTCGCTGCTGTCGACGGGCGCGGACGGCACGCCGAGCTTCGGGTGCACGTGCAACGACGGCTTCAGCGGCGACAAGTGCGAGTCCGGGTCGAGCTCCGGCTCCAAGACGCCGTCCAGCTCCTCCTCCTCCTCCAAGGCTTCAAGTATCAGCTCTTCTTCTTCCTCCAGCACGACCAGCTCATCAACCAGCTCGTCCAAGGCTTCGACCAGCTCCTCCACGTCGTCGTCTGCGTCCAAGTCGACCTCCTCTAGTGTTTCAGGCTCCAGCTCCAGCTCCACGTCCTCGTCTTTGAGCGGCTCTGGCAGCTTTTCCGCGTCGGTGAATGGGTCGTTGAGCAGCTCTTCTTCGTCTTCTTCGTCATCGTCGCTCGAGGCTGGCACCAGTAACAGGGCAGACCCGACGTCGGCCGCCAGCGGCTCCGTAGCGTCCGAGTCGGACTCGGGCGGTACCAGCTCGACCGTGTTCATCATTATTGGCGTGCTGGCTGCGTGTATTATCATCGGCGCGCTCATGTTCGCAATGTACTCGAGGAAGAAGAAGGCCCAGCAGGAGGCCGAGGCCGGCGGCTTCGGCGGGGCCGCAGCTCTGGGCGCGACTGCCGGGGGTGACAGCGAGCTTGGCGGCGGCACAGGGGCCGACACACCGAAGAGCAGTATCGTCACCATGTAGACAGACAGACAGACACGATGTTTTCCTCAGAGACATACTACAAACAAAACTATCCTTATGTAAAACTGTGATGTCCCCAAAGCCCCCACCATTGAGCCGCATGGATGCGAGCTCATTACCCCGACAGCAGGAGTCCTACCAGTAAAGCAAGCTTCACCTTACAAGCCAGCGACACAATGTCAAGTCCATATTTCGATGTCAGGCCAGCGCCTTCTTTCTTGCGTCTGCAAACTTAAACTTTGGTCACAGTTTCGGCGGTGAAGCGACGCCGCCGCAAGCGATGTCGTCGATGCCTCACCACACCGACGTGTTGTACCTCATCGCGCAGTATTTGCAGGCCAAGGGGCTGTACTCTAGCTCTTTGGCCTTGCAGCAGGAGAGCGGTCTGGACGTGACGTGGTTGCGAGGCTCGTCGCGGGAGTTGGCGCTGCTTCGGCGATGGGTTTTCGAGGGCGACGTGCAGAGAGCTCGCGCCCTGTTGCTGCCGTTGCAGGGTCTTGATGAGGTCCCACACGAGTTGGAGGCGGCTCTATTGGCGTTGGATGAGCTCGAAGTGCTGGTGGTGCAGACTCATGGGAGGAGAGATCCTTTGCACGAATCGCGGCTAGCGGGGGCCAAGTTGAAGTGCTTCGAGAGACTCGTGCCGCTCTTTCGAGCACCGGTTGATGCTGAGGAGCGAGACGTGTTCAAGTATGTTGCCATGCCCAAGCTGCAACTGGCTGGGCTGATCCATGATGCGGTTCTCTTCCATCGACAAAGTGGCGATGACACGGCCGAAAGTTGCATTTCGGTGGCGTGCAGTGTCAGTGATAACGACAAAACCGACGAAGCAGATGAGGAGCATGATGAACTTCTCCTTCTAGATAGGCCGCGGGTTGCAGTGTTGAGTAGCGACAAGTACGACTACTACTCGGCAGAGATTGACAGTGTTGCGCACTCTGTGGACTGGTCTATTTGGCGGGGCAGACAGCGAAACTCGATGACATCATCCATGAGTCTGCATAAGTATCAAACGATTGGAGATCAAGGAGAGGAGGGCAATGAGGTTGATGCTAAGGGGTATGCTGATGCTGCTGTGAACTGCACGCCGGAGATCACGGATGCCGCTGTGAGTTGCATTCCAGAAGTTAAGGAGACGGCTGATGCTGCAGTGACTTGCCATCCAGATGTGAAAGAGACTGCTGACATCGGGGTTAGTTGTGGAGCAAACGAGTGGGGTGAAGTGGCCACACAAACGGAGCTGGATTGCATCGACGATAGAGAAGAGCAAGAACGTTGTTCGACGCAAGGCGGCAATGCTGTTGAAGAAGAAGAAAACCAGGTTGAATTGGCGACTGGCAATCCCGCTGCAGTGGATATCTCTGAAGATCAGGCCGAAGTCGACAACCAACAGCTCACGAATATGCAGATAGATCACGCTAGCTCGGTTTCCTCGAGCCGACGTTTCGATGTAAGCTGGGCTCGAAAGAGTTCACGTAGTCTTGCCTTGAGTACGTCCGATGCCTCGAAAAAGCTCCATCCAGAACCCCACCAAAAGGTTGGTGAGAAAGGAATGTCATTTGAGGAAGCACCTGTGGAAACCAACCCACAAGGGCTTCAGTACGACGACTTGGAGGTCGACCACGAATTCCCTGCTCAGAAGCAGACTCCGCAGTGCTACGGCGGTCTCACGCTCGACCATGTGGTGTGTGCGAGCGTCGTAGCTGAGGTGAAAGAGCCCCAAGCTGTTCGCGCGTTGGACGTGCATCCAAACGGTACGCATTTAGCAGTCGGGACGAATGCACGCGCTCTTCGGGTCTTCGACTTGTCCACCCCATTACAGCAGCGACAGCAGCAATTGTCCTGGTCGTCCCCTCTCAACCTGATCCTGCCACTGCTCCCCGTGGCGCTTGAGAGGCACAAGCACCACGATTCGGGTATTTACTGCGTGAGTTACAATCGTTGTTTCCTCCACAGTGCTGGCGCTGCTTCGATGATCGCATCCGGCGCAGCTGATGGGTCTGTCAAGGTGCTGGTAACCAAGGGCAAAGATCCATTACAGAGACAGCAAACCGACGAGCTGTGGATTCAGCGTGGGGATGTCAACGGCTCAATGGGGAAGACGCGCGCGCTCGAGTTTGGGTCTCCACACCATCTCTGGGTGGCCTCGACGAGCGACCGTCGTCTCCGCTGTTGGGATGTTCGACGCACTCAAAGAAGCTCGAGCTCGGGTCCTTTTCAAACGCTCGACGGCCACGTCGGCGAGATCCAAGCGATTGCTATGCCTCAACCTTTGAGCTCAGGGTTGGTGAATACGCTGCTGCTTAGCGCTGCATTAGATAAAACGGTTCGGCTTTGGGATACGCGGAGTCGGCGTTGCGAGCGCTTGGTGACGTCTGGAGCTCATGCAGCATTCTCGCTGCACTTCCACCCTACAGATGAAAAGCTGGTGGTATCGGGTCACCAAGACGGCAGCGTGGCTCTCTGGGATCTGCGATCAACAGCTCGTGAGGCGCTGCAGGTTGTTGTGCCCCACCAAGACGAGTGCCGATCTGTGCGCTGGTCCCCCGGAGGCCAGTGGCTGCTCAGTGCCGCCTTTGACGGTACGCTGTGCGTCATGCAGGCGACCGGTTCGACTGTGCAGCCTGTTGCCAGCTACCACAAGCACTACGGCAAGGTGCTACAAGCGCAGTGGCATCCGACCGAGCCAGCGTTTGTGTCGTCAGGGGCGGACAAGCGAGTAAAGCTCTGGGCCTTCGCTTGAGACCGTCCAGTGCGGATCCGCTGTAGCCATCTAAAGTTGCAATGCGACGACGAAACGTACAGTGAGACCGATTAGCGCAACGTTTTCGTCTACAGGATGTGCAACAACAGCACCTCTACGCATAAGATCGCTTGCAAAGAGGGACTGACTCACAACAGGACAGCTTCAATATGCCCTGCAAAGCAAAACCCATACAAGATGCAGGCGTAAGCGATCAACAATATAGGTATATTTGAATCGAAGACAAGCAGAGCGAGGGTGGGGTGGAAGGATCAGGCAGCATAAGCACGCGAGCCGTGCGAAGAGCCCCAAGTTTTGGGCCGAGTGTACGACGTCACGCCCGGGTTGGACGCTTTCACTTGTTGCCGGGGGACTTGGAGCGTTTGTTTTTCTTCTTCTTGTGGCTGTTGGAGGAGCCACCGGAGAAGCCCTTGGGGTCGCACTCCGGGCACAACCACGTGTCCGGATGGCGCCCGTCGGCCAGGCCGACACACTCGAGGTGGTACCACTGCGACGGGTTGGGGCACGTCTTTCCGTCGCACGCGATCATGTTGCCATAGCTCGGCAGGTTGCAGATGCAGTAGAGCTCGTTGTCCTCGCCCGTGTCCGCGTCCTTCTTGGTCTTCTTGCCCTTGCCCGTCGACGAGCTCGCAGGCTTGGAGCTGCTGGAATGCGGTGGCTTGCGCCCTTCGCTCGCGTGGCTCCGGCTGCTGTGGCCGTTGCTGGATCCGCTCGAGTGGTTGTTCCCGTGCCCGTGGCTGGACGAGGTGCTGCCGGCGTTGCCGTTGCTCGTGCTGTGGCTCGAGCTGTTGTTCGTGTTGCGGCCCGACGAGACGGACACCGAGTGGTCGCGCTGGCGTTTGCGGCTGTTGGACTTGCGCTTGGCCTTCTCGGCCGCAGCCTGCGCTTTGCGCTCCTTCTCGCGCGCAGTGGAGCGCTTGACCGCCGTCCGCTCGCCGTTGCGCAGCCGCTGCATGAAGGCGACGATCGAGTCGTCCTCCTCCACCTCGAGCGACATGTCGAAGTGGCGCGCCACCTGCGCCGCCAGGTCCTCCTTGCCCGAGTCCTCGTCCACCTTGAGGTGGTAGAACTTGGCATAGCGCTTCAGAGCTTTCTCCTGTCCACAGTCGAGCCAGCCACGTGATTAGTCCAAGCGTAACGTCCAGACAGCCAGATGCTACACCAAGCATGCATGCAATCCGCCCAGCCAAGCCAAGCGCTGCATCTAGACCACGCCACGTACGCCCAAGCTCTTGAAGTCCACCATGAGCCGCGGCGGGTACATGACGCGCTTGATGCGCTGCTGCGGGCTCAGCTCGTCCACGTCGTCGTAGTAGCGTCCGCAGTCCTCGAGCTCTGCGGGGGCACACGCAGCGTTAGCGTCTTCTATTTGGACACGCCATCGCTTCAGGCCAGAGGCGCCTTACCTTCGTCCATGACGTAGAGATCGTCGCGGTCGTCCTGGAGGCACAGAGAGAGAGAGAGAGAGGAGGAGGAGAGGGGGGCGGAGTTAGCGACCACCGGCCAAAGAGAGGGGAGGAAAGGCGCGCGCGATGCAGCGGAGGGAGGAGGAGAGGGGGGAGCAAGAGCGGCGCTCACCATGGTGCTGCTGTGGGTCGAGGGGGGGAAGCGCCTGGCGTGGCTGGGGTACTGCTTCTCTCTCGGAGCTCCTGGTCGGTCCCGCCGCGCTGCCGTTCAAATGGGATTTGGCGAAAAAGCGCCGTCCGGCGCATCCGCTTTCCAAGCGGACGCTCCACTCTTGCGTACACTAAGGGGATGAATTAGGCTGTTGCCTAGCATAAGTTCGGGACCGACCCAACTTAGTGTGGTTTACACATGACATGATGGCTTCAACTTTGGGCTGTCACTTGGTCGACTAGAAAACCGTTGGACGGACCGGCGTGGCACATTCGTCTTCACGCCTCTCGTACAATACAGCTTGCACTCTCGGACGGGATTGGATTGCTGGGGGTGCGGATGCATCTTGAGCGTGCACGAAAGAGATTGCTCCATGGCATTTCGCTGCTCGTGGTGCTCGGTGACGAACACAAACCCGAGAACAACATTATCGATCCTGATCTTGAGAGCTACAGTATTCGGTAATCCTCGACAAGGAGGAGCTACAGTACTTACGTGGACTTGAACTCTGCTCTGGAAAAAAAATCGTTCGTGTGATTTGATCGGGCAAGTTTGTAAACTCTATTCAGACGTTGGCATCGCGCTGAAGTCTTAGACGTCATGTCACGAGCTGCAATGTATTTGCAGCCCCACCCGTCCAGATCTGTTTGTCTCCGAAAGACGCTAACGTTCAAACGAACCGCTTTGCTCGGAGCCCCAGATATGCGTACGTTCGTGGCAGAACGACCCGATAGAAGGCAACTATCGACGCACGCAATCTTGACCAGACGGCCTTTACGACCAGTGCCGCCGGAAAATTGGTTTGAGGCGTACCTCCAGTATTTGTCGGCCGTACGAAGACGCTTACCATTTTTGTATTTACCTCGCGTAAGTACATGTAGGGAACGTTTGTGATGACTTCTACGTAGAAGTATCGGTGAGACTCGTTGGACCTATTAAAGGTAGCGATGAGTCCATGAGCCGCAGCGATGCCCCTGTACCGCATGCATTAACTCGGCTACATGGTCACAACTCCAGGTTGAGTGTTCGCTCTGCGCTTTTCAGACCACTAAAAGGTTTGCGTGCAGACTGGCTAACTGTAGATCTGGCACCGCTTACCGGTGGTGCCGAGTCGACTTTCGGTGTCGGCAGTGCCGACACCGAAAGCCTCCGCCTCAGCGACGCAGGCTGACGACAGAGCGCCGTGTTTCCCGCTGGGATATCACAGCACCCCTCAAAAGCGCGCGAGCACACGCTCAGCTGGCAAGCACATCAAGCATCGCGCTCTGCAGACAATGCTGCCGCCGCCAGCAGGCCTAGCCAAGCATAGCGATAGCGTCCCCATCATGCCGCCACATGTCGCAGATAGTGTGGACCACCCACCCCGTCAAAGCCCCGACGGGGCGCCTGCAACTTCGAGTCAAGTCAACATTCGCGCAATTACTGGCCCGCGCTCAAGATCCGCTCCACCGCCGCCATGACCGACGTCAAGAACCCCACGTCCCCCGCCTTCAAGGCCTTCGTAGACGCCTCCGTACGTCGCCCAACCCTCCTGCTTAATCTATCGTCTCTGCGCTCGCTTTGGCGCCTCTTGCACGGCGATTTGTTTAGTAAAGCAAGCTCCTCCTTATTATTATTTATTTTAACATTTGTTTATTATGACGCGCAGGCCGGGGCCATGGGCGCGCTGTTCGCCGCGGTGCTGCTGTACCCGCTGGACGTGGTGAAGACGCGGCGCCAGGTGGACGTGGACAACAGCAAGGAGGAGGAGCAGGAGCTGGATGCCGAGGCCAAGGCCAAGGCGCTGGCGGCCCGCAAGAAGAAGGCGCACAACCTCCTGGTGGCCGTGTGGCTCATCTACCGCCAGGAGGGCGTGGAGGGGCTCTTCGCCGGGCTCAGCTCCAAGGTCGTGCACACGGTGTCGTCCAACTTTGCGTACTTCTACTGGTACTCGTTCCTCAAGACGGCCGTGGAGAAGCACTCGAGCACGCCCATCACCACGGGCATGAGTCTGCTCATGGCCTCCACGGCGGGCGCGCTCAACATGTCGATGACGCTGCCGCTCGAGATGATCAACACGCGCGCGCAGATCCAGCCGAGCGACGACGAGTCCAGCGACGCGGACGACAAGGGCGAACAGAAGGAGAAGGACGCCAACCGACGCACCATGTGGGGGCTGGCCAAGGAGATCTACGCCGAGGACGGCCTGCTGTCCTTCTGGAAGGGGTTCATCCCGTCGCTCGTGCTGGTGAGCAACCCGTCGATCAACTACACCATCTTCGACAAGCTCAAGCTGCAGCTGCAGCACTCCAAGATGGCGGCCAGCGGCGCGAAGCGCATCAGCTCGCTCACGGCGCTCGAGGCGTTCATTCTGGCGGCGATCGCGAAGGCTGTGGCTACTATTGTCACCTACCCTGTTATTCGTGCCAAGGTGCTGATGCAGGCACAGAAGAAGCAGGTTGCCGGGTATCACAAGAGCTCGCACGGCCACCACCACGCTGAGATGGGCAACTCGATGGTGCAGGTGCTCAAGCGCATCGGTGAGCTGGAGGGTCCCAGCGGCTACTTCAAGGGCTGCTCGGCACAGCTTTTCAACACCGTCCTCAAGAGTGCGCTCCTCGTGATGACCAAGGAGCAGATTACCAAGTACACCATGCGCGTGCTCTACATGCTGCGCCGGAATGCTGGTCCCAAGGCGATCGAGGCTGCGAAGGCGTAAGTGCGCTCGGTTCTCGGTGCTGTGAACAAAATTCAATATGAAGGCGATAAATATCTCTAGCGGGGTGCGTCGATTGCTTCAGGTGGATGTTGTCACTGCAGCTCAGATATTGTGCGTGTAGTGGAATGAATCACGTTTGTTTTTTAGGATACGGACGAAAAACGATGAAGCAGTTTCGATTCCAACTGCTGAAACAGTGAACTCTTGATTAACCCTGAAGGGACGATTGTTTTCCTGGTAAGCACATTTTCTTCGTTCCCGTACCCGGCGGCAAAACAGTCTTACCTCACAGGTATACTTGCCGTCGAGCCTGGTCGCATGCAGCATCAGGTTGGTACTCCCGAAGCGGCCCAAATCCTTCTCCGTTCCACTCTGTACGCCGACCGAGCTCTCTCTCGCCCCAGGTCTTCTTGGGTGAGTCGAATCGACTGTCGATGGCGAGGTCACTTCACCGTACAATTTACGGTCTGAAAATTACGACTTGTTGAAGCCGTTTCCAAATGTTCCTGCAGTTTCTATTAATCTTAATCGGCGCGCGACTGGCGGGAAGGACAAGCAGGATGTGAACACACGCGCTGCGTTCATTGCTGCTTGCTTACATGTAGGCCGTCACTCGCCTCGCCAATCTACGATCGCTTCCCAGCGCGCAAGCTGATGCATTAGCAGCGTTAGCACTGCTCGCCATGCGAGACGAGGAGGATGCTCCCGCCAACTACCGGTACGTGCTTGAACCGCAGCGACTTGCGTTGGTTCCCGCGAGATGGGGAAAGATCGTCTGGCGGCGGTTCTTCGCTTGGCGTCAGCTTCTCTTCTCTGGAGTATTTTTTAAAATAAATGGCGCGAGGTCTTGGTCATAGCGGTGAGCACCGAGCTGTCGCTGGCGGTCGCCGGCTGAAGACTGCAGGGCTCGAACTTTGTGGGGGCTGATAATTTCTTTAGCGTTAGATAGCGAATTTTTTACAAATAAATCAGCGGCAGCGCCGTGCACTGTCGATCGAAAAGTGGGGCGGCCCTTTTGTCTCGTTCCGTTGCTCGCGCTGCGGACCGCCTGTGGCGTCGTTCTCCCCTGTTCTCTCAGCGGCGGGGGAAGCTCTCGATGAGGCGCAGCGGGTGCGTGCGCGTGGGGGCGTCCTCGACCTGGCGGTGGATGAAGGCGTCCTCGGGCGGCGCCGCGCACTCGTCGAAGACGTCGGCGAACGTGGGGTCCCACCAGTCCTCGGCGAACAGGTTGCGCATCGAGTCGCCCGTGGGCGAGCTCTTCTTCTCCACGAGGTCCAGCTCTCGCACGTGGAAGCTGGTCACGGACGAGCTGCGTCTCGTGAGGCGGTGCAGCTGGCGTCTCGGCACTGCGGGCGCCACTGCACTCGCCGCACTCCGGTCCTTGGAGGTCTCTGGGTCCTGCTGCTGGGCCTTGGCGGCATCCTCCGCCGCCGCGTGGTCTTCGTTCACCATCAAGAACTCCCTGATCAGGTCCAGCGGCAGACACCTCGAGCTGTCGTTGCCGTCCCACTCGGGCGAGTCCTCGTCGTCCTCGTCCTCGTCGCCCAGCAGGCCCTGCGTCGTCTCCAGTAGGAAGCGCACGTAGCTGTCCAGCTCCTCCATCCTCGTGGACTCCAGAAGCTGCTTGGAGATGCCCAGCTTCGACTGCAGGACGTGGCGCTCCGGGAAGCGCACGCGGCCGTAGAAGCCCTCGAGCTCCTCGCAGGCGCAGCAGCTCGGGTGCTGCCGGCCGCCGCTGCCGTTGAACTGGCGCTGCAGCGCGTCGTGCAGCGCGCGGAACTCCGAGTAGCGCTTGGCCACGTACCAGTCGGCGGCGCCGCTGCGGCTCACGCGCAGCACGTAGAGCGTGGGGCGGCGGCGCGACTGGTTCTCGCGGCCGTACGAGACGATGCGCGCGGACACGGGGCGCAGCGAGCGCATCTGGAAGGCGGCCTTCTCGGCTCCGGCGGGCGTCATCGGCGTCGGGTGTGCGGTGTGAGGGGTGGAGCGAGGCTTGTCCAGCACAGCGACGCTTGCGAAGTGAGTCGAGCAGGTTGAGGCCGTGTTGGCTGACTGTGGAGGGATGCGCTCGAGCCCGATCATATGCATGCATCATCAAGATGCGCGAAGAAAGGGCGACTAGCCGAAAGTTCGCGTGGCGCACACAACGGCGGCGAAAAACACTTGCAAAAAGCAAAGGCGTGCAACGCTGCATGTAATACATCCGGTCATAGTTACGGTCCCCGGCATCGGCTCGATGGGGAAACATGCGGGGAGCGAGTGAATCTATCCTCGTACTGGACGTGTTTCTCAAGAGAAGCTCTTGCGGAGACGTCGGTGGTTGAGCCTCAGCTTCAAGCAGCCTTTGCTGTGCTGCACGCCCGAGGACAGCGGCGAAATCTGCAGCATTCGTAATCGGCGGCGGCAACCGTTTCTCAAGGGATAGGTCGCTGAGAAGATTACAAGAGTGGGCCTTCACAAGAACAAGCGAAGAACGAACGACTGTGTAATACCTGTACAAGAAGAAAGTTTACTGTATAAATTTCCACTTATTACGGAGGCATCCATATAAAACTGAAGAGTACACCATTTCCCACCAAGTTGCCAAGTTTCTCAGCCAGGCTGCAAAATGCCCCGTCCGTGGGACTGCTAATTCAAGGGAGAACCTATTAAAATCACAAATATCCGCAGAATCGCACAATCTTTGTGGCTTAGTGTCCTAAAAGATTGAATAACACACTTCAGAAAGGCAGTGTCGTCATTCGCGCTGCACAGACACAGTCCGTTGTGCGCAAGCACAGTACAGCGGGTGGGCAAAGTCAGCATCCTCCTATTCTATATGATTGGAAGTACATTTACTACTTCAACTTAGTACTTTGTATGACCACCTTTGCTGGCAAGCACCGCTTTCAGCCTCTTTGGCATTGAAAGAACGCACTTCCTAACTACTTCGTCATCAATGTTAGTCCAAATATCTAAAAGCTTAATCTTGAGATCATCGAGTGATGTTGCCGGGTTCTTCTGTAACTCCTTCTTCATGATGAACCAGACGTTCTCGATTGGATTGAGATCCGGGCTCTGCGGCGGGTGGCCCAACGAAATGAGCTTCAGTTCGCGTAGGCATCCTGCTGTCAGCTTGGCTGTGTGGGCCGGCGCGTTGTCGTGCACAAAAAGTGTCTCACCTGATAGACCCATGAGCGCCTTGGTAGTAGGAATTTCTTGGCGCAACATGCGTCTGTAGTAGTCACCCGTGACGGATTCTTCGCAGAAATGTAGAGTCCCAACACCATCAGCGGTGATGGAACTCCACACCATCAGCGACTTTCTGCTTGACTTGTATGTCGGAATGACGCAGCGTGCATCGAAGGCTTCGTGTGGTCTCCTCCAAACCGACACTCGACCAGAGGTGCCGTGAAGCTCGACGGACGCCTCGTCGCTAAACAGCACTCTGCTCCACCACTCAGGGGCCATGTTGTCGAACCGCTTCGCGTAAGCGGCGCGAAGCCGGCGGTGCCTACGACTTAGGTATTGCTTCTTACGAGCCGATCTCCCATGGAGCCCTGTATCTCGAACCCGCTCGCGGACGAGCGTGCTTGACACTGGCTGACCGATGTCCTTGGCCACTTGAGCGGCGACAACCGCAGCACTAACAAAGCGGTTGCGCTCTACTTCCCGAACTATACGGCGGTCATTGGTTCGCCGAGGCCGTCCTGTACGCTGCGGGATGGTACTGTGTCCGTGCTTTTTGTAGAACTTGACGATAGAGCGCACGCTTGGGCGAGGAATGCACAGGTGCTTGCTGATCTTCTTGTAGCCCAGCTTCTCCTTCTTCCATTTGTGGATGACGCGGTCTCGAAGGTCTTGGGAGTACTGACGCCTTGCTGTTCGTGCCATGTAGGGTCTAGTCGGATGAAAGGGATATGATACTGCTCGAATGAACTCGAGCTCGAACTCGGCTTGCGTCTAATCGACTGGTTCTCAGAAGACAGTATAACTAATGTAATATAAACGAATTTGGCTCCGTTGATTGGTGGATTTCGTTAAATAGCATGACAATCAGATGCAGGCAAGCGAAGCGAACCACAAGAAGAAAGCCGCTTTCATCGCGGTCGAGATCAAAATCTCCACTTGCACTCTAGTCTGGTAAGGTGTTGAAGTTGCCAAGGACAGAGATGGGGGGTGCTGACTTTGCCCACCCGCTGTAGAAGACATTGCTCCAGCCAAACTCGTTTATTAGCCAATGAGACCCTACCAGTAACGTAGCGCTCACAGGCATTTCTACCGGTGGACACTGTAGCTGCTGGATATTGCGGTCAGTGGCTGGAATGCTCATAGAGGCTCTATTTATTTACCCACAAACCAAGACTCTTCCTCCACCAAAAATGGGTAAACCATCGACTGGGGAGAGCTAGCAACAGCACTTCCCCCTTAGCCTGCTGCCATCGAATTGGAGCGGTTAAAGTCATACAAAACTACAAAGTGCTAGCCAATGACCTGCGTCGTATGCGCGGATCCATACCCCCATCTGATGACCTATCGGCTTTTCAAGTGCAAGTCAAAAACCTGCGCACATGCTGTACCTTACTTGGATTGCCCCTGGCGGGGTAAGCTGATTACATGCGCAAAGCATAAGGTGGCGTCCTTGTTTGAATTCGGAAGGCATCACACATCTGCGTCGTCCCCCAAGCGTTCATCGATGACAAGTCGCCAGAAGGAGTTCTGCAAGTCCCTCACTCAACAGCGACTGAAGCTGAAGCGGATTCACAGCTTGATGCGTCATCAATTCAACCTACCTGCTGACGCTATGCCACCGCTACGAGCTGTACAAAATTGCGTCAATTACCATGCCCGCAAAACTCTTGGGAACAACGATTTCTACGACGACATTGCTGCGTTTGTTCGAGAGCACTTCTTTACCGGATATGAAGAAGAAACCAAGCCGTTCATATTTACGTGGTCCGTTGACAATGATGCCCGACCTTACGCCGGCGATGGTGGAGACGCTGAACCATTTTTCGTCGGCATTCCAACGAAGCAGCTTCTCAAACGACTGGACCGACCCCCCCCCCCCGAGGACTTTGTCTTATACATGGACGCGACTTTCAAGCTCAGTCAAGTTGAATACCCAGCTTTCGTAGTGGGTATATCAGATGGAGCCGCCAGTTTCCACCTGGGTGCAGTGTTCGTGGTTTCCCAGCGCTTGACAAACATTTACACTCTCGCCCTCGCATCGCTTCGACAATTTTACACGGCTGTCACCGGAAAGAGCCTCCATTTGCGGTTTGTGATGGGCGATGCAGAGGATGCCCAGTACAGCGCGTTTGCGGATGTTTTTGCGCGAGACTCGAGCTACACGTACCTGATGTGCTTCTTTCACGTGCTGCAAAACGTCCAAAAGAAGGTACCCGCTGCCTGCCGTAGTGAAGTGATGAAGGACATCTACGGGATGCATTTTAGCAGCTGTGAAGTCGAGTTTCAGCGCCACCGAGATATGGCCCTGACGAGATGGAGAGATGATCCGCGAACGCAAGCGTTTTCCGGCTACTTCGAGAAGCAGTAGTTGAAGGATAGGTATTCCAACTGGCAGGTGTACCGCACGCTTAGTGGTTACGCGACTACGAACAATCCGGTTGAACAGTACAACAAAGTGATCAAGCGCGACTACACGCTGAGCACAAGAACTAAGCTCGGGATGCTTCTTCGTCTGCTCAGTGACTGCTGCACGGACGAATCGATGGACCAACGTCCTTTTCACATGACAGTTAAGGCGACGGACCGGCTAGCGCGACGTGCTCGGCAAATGGCGCACGACAGTCTACTTTTCGAAGTAGATGTCCACACTATGGCGCCTTCGTTTTTGGCAGAACTGCAGCACGGAGCGATTGTTAACGTTTTCTCAGCTCCCCCGCCAAGAATTTATGTCGAGAGTAGACAACGCTCAGAAGAATACCTGGCTATCTCTGCGCAGATGGGAAGTAACTACGCAAGTATGGAGGTCCTGGGTCAACCTGTCAACGGCTGGGAGGTCGACATTGCCCTCGGGTGGTGCCCGTGCAACTACCACCAGAAGTTTGGTGCTTGCGTGCATTTATTGTTTGCCCTGAGCCAACGCAACTACGTGGGTCCCAACGGCAAGCGCATGATGACTAACCGCCGAATCACAAGAGGTAAAACCACCGTGGGACGACCCCGCCGGAATGGGCCAGCGCTGTCGCACCAATAGTCCATTTGCATATTGCATTTGCTCTTTAGCAAAGAGTTAATCTTTAATAAAGAGTCGCATCGCCAATATTAAGATTCATGATCCAAGCAACAGCTCATTGAACTCGCCGTGAGCTGGGCTTTCCTCCAGTATGCCGGATATGACTCAATCTGAAAACAGCTACGACTTGAAATGAAAAACGAAGAGTCGCATTGCCAATATTAGGATTTATGGTCCGAGAAGTAGCGCATTAAATTCGCCGTGAGCTGGTCTTTCCTCCAGTATGCCGGATATGACTCAAATATGTTGATTAACTTGTAGTTCAGAAGTTAGAAGAAAGAAATCAGTGTATTGGCGCCGCTAGGACTTGTTAACCCACCGGCGACCGTTATCCCAATTTTGCAGGGATAAGAAAAACCTCGGGGGAAAGTGCCGTTTCAAGCCATACGGCCGTGGCGACCTTTCGAGATCCCGCCGACTTGGTTCCTGCCAATCAAATTGCTTTGCGGATTTCATGCGTGGTAGGTCGATTCGCGCGCGCGAACGCGTTCGCGCCTCGATTGGGTGTCACGCGTGGTTTTACGTTTGAAAGTGCAACACGAGCGCCACAATTTAGCGCTTCAACCTAATGTAAATTTCTGAAAATTAGCGGGAGGTGGACCGCGCATTATCATAACCAGTAATGTGACCATAGCGTCGCTCGTGTATTAGACGCTCACAAGTCTTGGATATTTCATACTCCCGCTGTCGTCGTGTACAAGTACACTACAGAGGCTGCTACTACCGGTCTATGATATCGAACGGGCTGAAGGAAAATATGCTGCGCCAACAACGTCTCCTCAACGCGCTGCTGTAAATCCTATCTTTTCAGCGCGGGGTTCACCTGATCCTACTAACGCGGTACTTCGCCCCTGGCAGGTTATTTGAGATGACGTCTCGACATGAAGAAAATGGAGATGTGTCTACATTGGTTTCTGTAGGAGCTTCGCGAAGCAACGTTGAGACGTGACAGTATGTATCGGATTTTGTATGGTCAACCATGGCAATATGGCTTCGCTGTCTTGTCAACATTGACATGTTTGTATAGAGTTTAGTATAGAGGTGCCATGGTTGATTCAGAGATGTCGACATTGGCATGTTTATCTAGATTTTAGTTTAGAACGTTTATGTCGTTATTGACTTCGATAAGTCAATATTGAGATGTTTGTCTAGCTTTGAGTACAGCAATTCAAACGGCTTGATGTATTGCTCCGTTAATCGAATGTAAGCTAAAACTATCCTGAGCTCCGGTCGTCCGCCGATCTACGAGCCTCACTGGGAGCTACGACAGGCTGTCCATGTGGGGCTGGTCGAGGCCCAAAAGCGCGTTGTACATGTCCGGCTTCTGAGAGACCTCGGCCATGCCGTCCACGCAAGGCCTCTAGAGGGGCGCGGGCGTGCCGTCAGTGTCGAAGTTGTCGAAGTTGTCGATCGCCACGAACGTGCGCTCCGTATCGGGCTTGGCGGGGACTGCAAGCGTACTGTCCAAGTCGATGTAGTAGAGGATCGGCATGCAGCCCGAGTCGGGCTGATCGGTGGTCGCTTGCATGAGATCCGCTCCGGGCCGGACTGGTCCGCGAGCATGCAGTCCATTCCGAGCTTGATCAAAGCCGTAGACGTGCCGTCCGTATTGGGGGTGCTTTGGGTCCGCGGGCATGGGGTCCGTGTCGAGCAGATCGGGGGCCGCGGGTCTGCCATCCGTGCCGTGATGGTCTGGGTCCGCGAGCGTGCTGCTCGCTCAGGGCTGGTCGGGGACCACGGGCGTGCTGAACTAGACGAGGTCGTCGGCATGGCGTTGGTGCCGGGTATGTCGGGGGCTTCGATCGTGGATTGCTTGCCGGGACCATCCTGGACTGCACACAGGCTCACTGAGCCAAGGTTGGGGAGGACACCGAGCATACTGTCCGTGCCGGGTATTTCGGGGGGCTTGGGCATGCCGTCCGTGTCGTCCGTGTCGGGTATTTCGGGGGGCTTGGGCTGTCGTGGCCTTGGGCATGCCGTCCGTGTCGTGGCATTGGGCATGCCGTCCGTGTCGTCCGTGGCGTCGGTGCCGGGCATGTCGGGGGCTGTCGTCCGTGGCGTCGGTGCCGGGCATGTCGGGGGCTGTCGGCATGGCGTCGTTGACGGGCATGTCCGGGCCCGCGAGCATGCCGCCCCAATAGACAGCAGCAATTTGGGTTCGGCAGAGGTCGGATGAGAGGACGCGGGGAGCCGGGCGCGATCACGACATTGTTGGCGCTTGAGTGCTTGTCAGCATTTTTAGAATTGAGCTTTCGATGCGAGGCGGCGGCGAGCTTTGGTTCCGTTCATATGCCCACGAAGACGCCTCTAGATTCCGAACCCAGGGGGGAAATTGTAAGCAAATCTATTGGTTATTTCAGGAGTAATTGGCGATCATTGGTGGAATCGTTTGAATACGTGCGATGATTGGTGGAATTGCTTGATGGCAGCAGGAACCGCTCAAGCAGGATGGCGCGAAAGGTGATGAAGATGTGCACGTTGAAGATTTGCGCGTTGAAGTGATAGCGTGACGTGCATAGCGTAGCTTAAGTGTGGAAGTCGTAAATGGCAGTAGTGCCACAAACTAAATTCTCCCGCATTTTGCAACCCCAAAAGACGAGTCCATTTTGGCCGCAGTAGCGGCCACCGGCGGCACGAAATCACAGCCGCCTGACGTCTTAGCTTTAAGACCGCGCTCACACCCATGTAGAAGATGTAGTAAGTGTATTCTAGGCCGCGGCGCCGGCTCCCCTCATGTCAGTGACGCTGCCGGCGCCGCGATTCCTTCCTTTTTGCTACCTTACATAAGTACCCATTTCGGCCTAGGTGCCGGACGCCGGCGGCATGAAATCCTAGCAGCCTGCCTAATACTTTC